TCCCGTCACAACTATCATACCTGAAGGTTTTATATTTGAAAAGAAATCTCTACCATCGAATCGAAACAAATACTTCGATGAACATTCAAATTTAGTTGGACAAGTTTATGTATACGGGTTATCGTGTAGAAAACAAAGTTTTGTATAAATAAAATTATACGTAGAAACAACTTAAGACAATGACTTTCTGTGACATTATACTTTTATCCCCACACAAATTCAATTACAAAGATAAATTCTACTAAATCCCATCTTCCCGAGGCAGGAGCGTCCACTACCATATTTATCAAAAACTTGGCTTTGGTATAGGCTAGTGGACAGGCTTGACTCGGGAAGATGACTAAATGCACAGAGCAGTGAATACGTGATTGTATGTCTACAAATTGGTCTCCGATTCTAAGATAAATAATCTGGAAATGAACACATTGAGAAAGTGCATCATTAAACTGTATGCTTGTAGAGCGGAACTCGTGGGACGTCGGCTTGAGGAAGTGTTTAAGTCGGATATGTCTCCGACATGTGTCTATCAACCAGTTCATAACCATACATGCATTTTACATCCCTGTTAAAATGGAGTGTCATATTGAAAGACCCCAGTTAGCAGCTGACCATTATCCAGATTTGACAGTGCTTGTTTTCCAAATAGCATTTAGTTTTGCAAGTATTTCCAAGACCGGATGATAAGTTTCGAAAAATAATTCATCCCCTTGGAGATGTGAGTTTGGTTGTTTCGCGATCACGTGACAGGCCCCTCGTCCAATGGAAGGCCGTATATCGTGTAAACTTCACATTAAGGAATTGTTGCACAAAAAATATGAATACAAGCTTAACGTGGTAACTGAATTCCACATATTTGGTTGCGTCCAGTTTTACATGTTACATAAACAATGTTCTATTTATTAAATGTCTGTGCCTCAGCGGAGTTCATGTGAAACTACTTCACTCCTTGCATAATAATCCTTCTTCTTCTTGCATAATCTAAAGCAATATGAAATAGGTCTACGTCATTAAATCAATACCTCTTGTCTATCGGGGTTAAGCCCCATACTGTTGACCGCCAGGCAGAGGAACAACAAGTACCATCGTTTAACGTTTTGGTATGACGCGGCCGGGGATTGAACCCCGGGCCTTCCGCTCTCCGGGAGGACGCTGTACCACAAGACCACAGAGGCGGTGATGGCACAAGTCAGTGTTCAGGGTGGCTTCCCTTAGTTCCGTATCTATTCATTGTGGCTTTGAATCCCAGGTGCGCCTCGGTAGTGACTGTCAGTATTGTAGGTATGCTCATGAGGTCCATGTGTGGCTGCTGTGAAGCGGGACTTGCTGAGCCATAATGTAAGGGAACTAGTGAGTGTGAGTGTGTGAGTTGGGTTTAACGCCGCTTTTAACAGTATTCCAGTAGGGTCGGGTAGGTACTGAGGACCCGGGTACCCACAGGACTACCCGGACCCGTGGTTAGTCACGTGATATATTGTTTCATGACAAAAAATCACTAAATAACTACATGGTTACACGACAATTTAAAGTCTCTAATGTTCGCATTTCTTCATGACTATGAACACATTCCTTCTGACTAACATAAGTTTGAACAAAGCTAAAACTTCAGTCAACTTCAGTGTATGCATGACCACATCGTTTTATATATGTATCTAAATACATTCTACAGGGCTAATGTCAAACTATTCCCAATCGGACATTTTGTACCTATCTGTTGACACAAACAGGGGTACCCGGTAGGGTCGGGTAATAGGGGTGTGGGTACCCGGGTCGTAAATTTGGACTTGTGCCAGCCCTACATTCCAGTTATATCGCGGCATGTCAGCTTAATGTGAGAGGAAGGCCCGAAGTGATGCAGGTCTCAGACGATTACCACTTCGGTGAAACCCACGAGCACGGGTATGGTGCTGACAAACCAAGAAACATAATCGGGGCGAACCGGGATTCGAACCCACACCCAAGGGACGCCTTAGACGACTGGGCCACCCGTGCCCCCAAGTGAAGGATGAGTGAGTGAGTGAGTTTGATTTTACGCCGCTTTTAGCAATGTTCCAGCAATATCACAGCGGGGGACACAAGAAATGGGCTTCACACATTGTACCCATGTCGGGAATCGAACCCGGGTCTTCGGCGTGACGAGCGAACGCTTTAACCACTAGGCTACCCGACCACCTAAGTGAAGGATGAATAGATGAGGGGATATAGTAACTGCAGTCACTGAGTCAAACATGGGTCGAATTTCTTGGGGACTTCTCGGTTCTCGCTCTTCTCCATTTCTGTGTCCATTTGGACACCTATGACGTTCAACTGGCTGTCACTGATATATACAACCAGCCTCAACAGATCAAATAAACTTACAATGAACTACTGAAATAATGTACTGCATTGACTAGTTCACTTTGTTACGGTCCATAGCTGAAAGTTAGACAGGCTTAGAACTTCTTGACCAGCCCTTGCATTCTGACCAGTTCGTGTTATTCCGGGACAAACCGAACAGCGACTCGTGTCCCACTCGTGGCCATTTTTTAAACTGGGTTTCTAGGTGAAAACGCGTAAAGCTAAACGAATTGTCAACTGGTTGCGTAATGGTTCACATATATTTTCCTCATATATCATATATATTTCATATGGTAATGGACATATTGGGACTTACAGTATTATACAGTATGACTGAACACATTTAACTGTATCTTGGGTATATATTTAAAAGCAAGACATATGTAAAGTCAAAAAGTATTCCTGAGGGATTCCTTGACGGAAGTACTTGAAGTCATACGCGCATTCTGATTGGTTTGTCGTATTTTCGCACATAACGTTCATCGATGGGGGAGACGTGTCTTCTTGCAGGTTACGGAAACGGGCGAGTGGTGACGAATGCAGCCCTCTTATAGTGAGTGAGTTGGGTTTAACGCCGCTTTTAACAGTATTCCAGTTATATCGCGCAGCCCTTGTATAAATTTCCATTTTGAATGTATGATCTGTAAGTTCAATGCCCTAAAGTCTCCACTGGGCGATTGTTTCTGTGACATACAGAGTGTGACCTGGTTCATTTGGGATCATCATACCCAGAGGGTGTAAGTCAGTAAATACAGTGATTCAATGGCTTATCTTCTCCATACATGATTACCCACCAGCCACATTAATATAGCTTCTATATATTGCTGATTGCAGTGGAAGATAGTGGATATTACAGTCAGTAGTCCAGCAATATCACTGATGCCTGTAAATAATTTGAGTCTGGACCTGACAAATAAGTGGCTGCACATAGAAGTCATCCATGGCATCAGGGTTTGGTTAGTTTGTTTGTTGTTTAACGCCGCACTCAGCAATATTCCAGCTATATGACGGCGGTCTGTAAATAATCGAGTCTGGACCAGACAATCCAGTGATTGACATCATGAGCATCGATCCACGTGATTGGTAATACGATGACATGCACCAACCAAGTCAGCGAGTCTGACCCCCTGATCCCGTTAGTCGCTTCTTATGACAAGCATAGTCACTATATTAGCTGCAACACATATTGTTACAATTCCTGGGTTCTGGTATTTCTCAAAATATTGATCAGCACTTACGCCTCTTACGACAAGCTCCAAGCCAGGCAGGTCAACAACAAGTTTGGAGAATCATGTCCGGACTAATGCCAATTTTATAGTGCTAGCCCACTGATATACCATGCTACAGTTTAACATGAATACTCCAAGCCGACCAGTCCTTGTCTTAGAACCCTTTAACATGTTTGGAGAATCATATCTTTACATTAAGACACCAGATATATGGATTTCTAACTTATGTATTCTTTAATCCATACACTAGTACCTTGTGTCTTATAAATCACTAACTTCTAAATGCCTTTTCAACTGTCTTCTTTTTATATAAAGTGAGTGAGTACGGCTTTATGCCACTTTTAGCACTATCCCACAATATCAGGGGACAACAGAAATGGACTGCACACTTCATACCCATGTGGGATTCAAACTCTTGCTTTTGGTGTAACAAACAAACACTTTAACCATAGGCCACCCACTACTCTCCCTCTATATAAAAAATACAGATGTTCAAAATCCACATATCTCATGTCGTTAGGAATCACCAACTTCAAAATGCCTATTGAAGACCATCTTCCCGAGGCAAGAGAGTTAACTGAGTATAAAAGTCCAGTTTCCACCCTTGCCGAACTAGGCTGGTATTATGGTATTTTAGCACTATCCCACAATATCAGGGGACAACAGAAATGGACTGCACACTTCATACCAATGTGGGATTCAAACTCCTGCTTTTGGTGTAACAAACAAACACTTTAACCATAGGCCACCCACTACTACCCCTCTATATAAAACATACAGATCTTCAAAATCCACATATCTCATGTCGTTAGGAATCACCAACTTCAAAATGCCTATCGAAGACCATCTTCCCGAGGCAAGAGAGTTAACTGAGTATAAAAGTCCAGTTTCCACCCTTGCCGAACTAGGCTGGTATTACGGAGTTACATTTTGGCTGGACTAACGAGTCTATGCATAGTCCAATCAAAATGGTGCACCGAAATCGAAATCCGGTTCGTAAACTGTAGTGCAGATTTCGGTCGATTGCAGGATTTGCAAAGCATGTGCACCGCCAACTCATTGTCAGCAGATATTTTCAACATCTTTTCATGTTTTTAATCAAGATGCTCACATGATTTGATGCATTTTGCAATGTAAGACCCGTTTTATCACAATATAGATCTTGATTATCGATCAGATCGTCCTGACTCAGCGCCACCATTTTGTGTGAAGCAAACGCAAGTGATACGAGAGGTGGAATCTAATTGGTCCATCGGAGAGGCTTAGAAGGGACATAACTGGTAATAGCCACTGGTGGCGCTACGATTGAGTCAAGTAATTCCAGCCTAGTTTGGCAAGGGTGGAAACTGGACTTTTAAAGTCAGTTAACTCTCTTGCCTCGGGAAGATGATTGAAAACCTGATGTCTTAACACACCAAAACCACCAAACTGCACCTGAACAGTGAATATACTTTAGTACATATAATCAGGATCATGAAACAAACCATTTGTTTTCAACATTTCAACAATAAACAATTAGCATCCAATGAAATTTAGCTGAAAGCTAAGAAGGGGGTTTATAAGTTAACCCTATTGGAAAATTAAGAACTGAACATACTTTCAGAACATGGATGTCAATAACAGGAACTTCACCAAGTTGGAATATCGCCATGCAGTAATTCCAGGCAAAACTATAGTACAATAGAAAACTAAATATTTTATATAATAGATTAACTGTCAAAATGACAGATTTCTCTGAGGGTTTAAAACCATCCATATATCTCATGAAGCTGTCATGAGTTGTAAGGAGCTGTGACAGTCAATCGATCAGCAACATCAGGAGCTGTGACAGTCAATCGATCAGCAACATCGGGACCTGTGACAGTCAATCGCTCAGCAACATCAGGAGCTGTGACAGTCAATCGATCAGAAACATCAGGAGCTGTGACAGTCAATCGCTCAGCAACATCAGGAGCTGTGACAGTCAATCAATCAGCAACATCAGGACCTGTGACAGTCAATCGATTAGCAACATCGGGACCTGTGATAGTCAATCGTTCAGCAACATCAGGACCTGTGACAGTCAATCGATCAGCAACATCAGGACCTGTGACAGTCAATCGATCAGCAACATCAGGAGCTGTGACAGTCAATCGATCAGCAACATCAGGAGCTGTGACAGTCAATCGATCAGCAACAACAGGAGCTGTGACAGTCAATCGATCAGCAACATCAGGACCTGTGACAGTCAATCGATCAGCAACATCGGGACCTGTGATAGTCAATCATTCAGCAACATCAGGACCTGTGACAGTCAATTGATCAGCAACATCAGGACCTGTGACAGTCAATCGATCAGCAACAACAGGAGCTGTGACAGTCAATCGATCAGCAACATCAGGACCTGTGACAGTCAATCGATCAGCAACATCGGGACCTGTGATAGTCAATCATTCAGCAACATCAGGACCTGTGACAGTCAATTGATCAGCAACATCAGGACCTGTGACAGTCAATCGATCAGCAACATCAGGACCTGTGACAGTCAATCTATCAGCAACATCAGGAGCTGTGACAGTCAATCGATCAGCAACATCACGACCTGTGACAGCGGTCAGTATATCGTCCATGTCACATGTTTCATCTGAGAGGTCCTCCCAACAGTGAGTTCTTCAAGGGCCATCCTGGCTTGTTCTGGAAAAATAAAAATAATCCCATTTCTCTTGGATTCAAACACATGATCAGAGGATCCTGGAATACTTAAGGGATGCAACTGCATAGAACTATGAAACCTTAGGCCAGGCGTTTTATATTTTTCAGATTTCAGAAAATGTAAAAAATAATAATCAGGTTTACACATATTTTTTTTCCCGCCGACAGCCGCGTAGTCAGTTACTTTATTTGTTATCATCACCTCTTAGTAAAACAAATATGAATTTACCGTTGTAAACTAGTGAAGAGATACATAATTGGTCTTTGTTGATCTTGAAGCCGAACATGAATAGCCTCCCTTGACAATTGTCCATGTTGGAAGTGGTGGAATTTTTATTGTTACAAGGAGCTTTATCGTCACAAATGGAGGTCTTTTGAGCACAGAATATGTTCATAAAGTATGCCAGAGGCATTCTGCATTTAAAAAAATGCATCTGGCTTTTTTCTTTTTTTCCCCCTCCTCTAACTCTGGACTTTTGGCTGAAAAATATGTAATCCTAAAAATAAAAAAAGCCTGGCCTTAGATGACTCAGCCACTCATGCCTGATAGTCTGTCAGGCAAACATGGTACAATTGATAGCCAGCCCTAGGGTATGAAGGGCCACTATAACGACCAGGTCCAACCCTTCACATTGTCATTCACCATGTTTACAAAGGAGGTCATCTTCCCGAGGCAAGAGAGTTAACTGACTATAAAAGTCCAGTTTCCACCCTTGCTGAACTAGGCTAGTATTATGGAGTTACATTTTGGCTGGACTAACGAGTCCATGCATAGTCTAATCAAAATCGTGCAGCGAAATTGTAATCCGGTTCGTAAACTGTCGTGCAGATTTTGGTCGATTGGTCGATTGCAGGATTTGCAAAGCATGTGCACCAGATATTTTCCAAACCTTTGCTTGATTATAAATGCTACAATATTTTTCCTAAATATTATATGATTTCCTGGAAATTATTGTAATAAAAATTTGGTTACATACTAGCTTGAACGCCCCCCCCCTTGCAAAAAACAAAACAAAACTGCCGCCCACAAAAAAATTCAGAAGCCATAGTGTTATGTGTGGATCCACTAAACCGTTTCCATACATTACAAGGAGAGATCACACAACAATTTAAAAATAATTTAATACTGGCATTCTAATCAAGATTCATATTATTTACAAACCGCAAAAGCAAGTATCAATCACAATAAAAACAGTCTTACTTTATGATGAAAAATCACATCATTTCCAAACAAGATCCAGTGAATGTTTCGTGTAATCCATAATACACCATAGTTCACAAATTGCCGACATGGCATACACAATTAAAGTTTAAAATCTTGCCGACATGGCATGTCAGTTAACACCTCCAACCCGACCTGGGAACTGACCACTTTGTCTACCCGTTGAGCAATAGCCAAGCCACAATTGCATAACATCAGCCTTAACTTGGCTGTGAGCTTACCAGGGCTTACATATAGACAATGTGAAGTGAAGTGTGTAATTGGTCAGTGTTGATCACTGGCAATCTGTACACAAGCAACATAATATATGAAAAGGTAGGAATATACATTTCATGATAACAAAGTACATTTAATATATTCTACATATACGTATAGTAAATATACATGTATAATGGATTCTCATAACAATAGCCCAAGAACCAATCTCATTAAAATCTGATCTTAGTTCTCGCTACCACTAAACAAAGATCTGAGGACATCCCATTAGGGGTCACGTCAGAACGACCTTTCATCCGACCAATCAGAGCGAAGCTTACCAGAATCATGAAAGTGACAGTCGGAATGTAATTTCTAATCATGCAACCTCAAAAACTTTAACACGGGGTATTCCGAACGATAGTTACGGGTTTAACGACTGAATCCATACAATCTATACCATATATTTGCCATTCCAGAATGTTCTTTTGTTCAGGTTTCAAATTTTTATTTGAGAATTTGTCAAAATATGTTTCGAAGCGAAGTCGCCAATTTGAAATTAGTGCCGTAAAGCACGAGAAAGCTGCCTTCTGATTGGCTAATGTTGACTTCTTGTAAGTCCTTCCATTGGTCGGTCAAAATTCGCGCAAGGTCGGTCTGACGTGACCCGTAATGGGATGTCCTCAGATCTCTGTTTAGCAATAGCCAGAACTAAGATCTGATTTTAATGAGATTGCCCAAGAACCAGATCTACTATTTTTTTAAGCCTAAACCAATTTAATTTTCACAACATTCAGCATTTCTCAATTGCACAGTATTTTATGGGTAAAGGATGAAGGCATTTTTGAGAACGGATGATTTTTTTAAAGTAATGCCAGGTCCCCCCCCCCCCCCCCCAACACAGAATATGACATGGTCAGACCCTAGTCAACACATCCCTAAATGAGTACCAGTGATGAGTGGACAACCGTGGAAGATCAGGATGTTGATCTGAGGACAGAACTGAGTGATGGCCTCCACAGACTCATCTGTCAGGTGCTTGCAGTGATCCATGTGGATTTCCTGAAATTAGCAACACTTGACATGAAGTGCTGAATGCTAGGACAATACACAAGTACACATCAGCAATACGATATGCATTGCATCCTGTATCCATATCTACTTGAAACAAATGAACCTTGTACTTTCAATTCACATTCTGCACTAATCATCTGAACTAGAAATAATAAAAAGTCTAGCCTTTAAATGTGAAACTAATACCCTGTTCACATGCACCTCTATCCATATGTGTGTATATTTGCATATACCGTATTCGACGTAATAAGCGCCCCGCGGCGATATTTGCTAATATATTGGCCAGTGAACAATCCTAATTAGTACCCCTTCTGATTGATCAATGTACACAAGACTTATATAATCGCGTATAATACGCACTCATGTGTTATATGCACATTTAATTATGGGCAATTAAATTCCCGGAAAAATATATCTGTCGTACATAAACATTTCAGGCTGTCAGCATAAACCACAAAATTTATCTTTTAACTCTGTTTATCTTACTAAACTAATATTCTAATAAGAGCCTCCTATTTCTAATTTTGAGAGCGCCCTGAGTGCTTATTACGTCGAATACGGTATGTCTAAATATACATACGTGAGTATATTTCTTGTCAAGTGAACGTGTTTACTCATATGTGTATATTTACACCTGAAGCACATTTACATCATGTCTGGAGCAGGTGCAAAGGTAAATGTAAATTTGCACTGCATGTATTATGTTGTAATGTGACCGTTTATGCCAACGTCAGAGGATGATTTAATTAATATACCTGTTGATTTGCCAACACCAACAAATTGCCAACAGTTCTGTATTCTATTCAGTATACAGCATTACCAACTTTAATCCGGACATCCAGTGCTGGGCGGGTGGTGTTTTCTCTGTGTTTCCGGGAGACAAACATTTGTGTATAGGTTAAATTAAACATGTTGCTCTATGTGAAGATTTCTGTAAGGTAACTCTCTTCTCATGTGACTTTGATTGGAAAACAACATTTTCATGTAGAAAGACGTGAACAGACTGATGGAGATGTGTGCCTTACGCCATTTACGTACCCTATTTACACACCTTAGCTTACTTACATGTGAACGCATAGTAAATTTACATATACACATGTATGTACAGTTACACATGCAAAATTACATACAAATGTACTTGAGTAAATGTTGTGCATGTGAATGGGGCATAATACCCTGTTCACATGCACAGCATCTCCAGCAGAGTTTGTTGGTGATTAAATGCTTCAAAATATTCTAGCTACATGATGGTGGTCTGTACAGAAATTAGTATGGAGTGAGTGAGTGAGTTGGGTTTAACACGGCTTTTAACAATATTCCAGTTATATCGCGGCGTGTCAGCTTAATGTGGGAAGAAAGCCCGAAGTGATGCAGGTCTCAGATGTTTACCACTTTGGTGAAACCCACGAGCTCGGGTATGGTGCTGACAAACATAGAAACATAATCGGGGCGAACCGGGATTCGAACCCACACTCATAGGTTTCTGGCATACCCAAGGGACGCAACTCTGCACAGCAAATCGCAGCGCTTAGACGACTGGGCCACCCGTGCCCCCAGAAATTAGTATGGACCAGACAAACCCGTGACAGGGTTAGAACTAAACTCAAATGGTACAGATAGAATGCCCTTGTAATGTTAAAACAATGGGAAATTTGTACTAGCCTGTAGGAATTTATACTGGCCCCGGGCTAGTGTCAATCCACACAACTGCCATGTAATCAACCAAATCACCCAGCATAACCACTTGATTCATTCAGCTTCGCTTGCAACAAGCATAGATTGCTGGGGACCTATATTCTTAATCAGCACCCGGTTCGCACCGATTATGTTTCTAGGTTTGTCAGCACCATACCCGTGCTCGTGGGTTTCACCGAAGTGGTAAATGTCTGAGACCTGCATCACTTCGGGCTTTCCTCCCACATTAAGCTGACATGCCATGATATAACTGTAATACTGTTAAAAGCGGCGTTAAACCCAACTCACCCACTCACTTAATCAGTATGCCCACAAGTTTCTCAGGCAGACCACACATACTTCACATTTGTTTCAGATTTTCCAATTATCATCTATAGGCAGATATATTATGCCAGACATCTTGCAGAGGTGCAGATAAATAAAAATGAATTGAAGCAATTGCAATCTTATTCATCAGTTGGCCATATCGTACAGTGTATGATGAACTGCAGCAGTTTGATGCATGGAAGCACCAATGAGGTGTAATCAGGAGGGATTATGGAATCAGCAGATTGGGTGGAGCCCTCTTGTTGTGTTGGATTACCTTCAATGTTTTGGCACAGGCTCCATTCACAAGATTGAAGACTCCGTTATCTGTGATCTGTATAATACAAACATAGAGCCACAAGTAGGGCTGGGACGGGTACCCACAGGACTACCCAGACCCATGGTTAGTCACGTGATATATTGTCTAATGACAAAAATTATCTAGAACTCTATTAGTCATGTGATATATTGTTTAATGGCAAAAATTATCTAGAACTCTATGGTAATACTACAAGTCACTAATGTTCGCATTTCTTTCTGACTGTGCACCCATTCCTTCCGATTTTTCATATGGTTGAATGTATCTAAAAAAGTTTTGCCAGGGCTATGCTAAAGATGTTCCCAATCAGACATTTTGAGACTTCTGAGACCTAAGTGGGTCCCCGGGTTGGGTCGGGTCATAGGGAGGTGGGTAGCAAATTTGGACTCGTCCCACCCCTAGCCACAAGGCTCTGTATCTCACCTGACTTAGGAAGACAACTGACCTTATTTTAGTGCAAACATAAACAGTAAGTTAAAGAAAAATTGGCACAAAAGATAAATTATTATTTTAAAAAAAAACACATTGATATTAACAAGATAAGTTGTATTCATAAGAAGGAACCTGCATGCCAAATTTCCGTTTTATTTAAGATAAAAGATCAATGTCTGGCTTACTGGGGGCCACAGGGTCGTGAACAATGGAAACAAATTCATACACTGGTAACAAGTACCAGTTTGAGAGTGAGTGAGTGAGTGAGTGAGTGAGTGAGTGAGTGAGTGAGTGAGTGAGTGAGTGAGTGAGTGAGTGAGTGAGTGAGTGAGTGAGTGAGTGAGTGAGTGAGTGAGTGAGTGAGTGAGTGAGTGAGTGAGTGAGTGAGTGAGTGAGTGAGTTGGGTTTAACGCCGCTTTTAACAGTATTCCAGTTATATCACGGCGTGTCAGTTTAATGGGGGAGGAAAGCCCGAAGTGATGCAGATCTCAGACGTTTACCACTTCGGTGAAACCCACGAGCACGGGTATGGTGCTGACAAACCTAGAAACATAATCGGGGCGAACCGGGTTTCGAACCCACAATCATAGGTTTCTGGCGTGCCCAAGGGATGCAACTCTGCACAGCGAATCGCGACGCCTTAGACGACTGGGCCACCTGTGCCCCCACCAGTATGAGAGGTTTCAGCAGAGGTTGCAGTGGTTGCAAAGGAGAAGATGTTTACGATGGACGACACACATGACAAACCATATTTGACGTAAGAAGCGCCCAGGGCTCTCTCAACATTAGAAATAGGGGGCTCTTATTAGAGTTAAAAAATAAATTTTGTGGTTTATGCTGACAGCCTGAAATGCTTATGTATGACAGATATATTTTTTCCAGAATTTAATTGCCAATAATAAAGGGTGCATATAACACACAGAAGCGGTGAGTATTATATGCGAATAGGGGTCGGAAGGGGTGCTAATTGGGATTGTTCACTAGCCAATATATTAGCAAATCTCGATGTGGGCCCTTATTAGAGCGGGACGCTTATAACGTCGAATACGGTAAGCCCACTTGACTTTCAGTCAGGTGAGCAAAATGGACAAATCTCGGATTCCAACTCAGGATCATGGGTATCTGGCATGCCTAAAGGACACACTTTGTTATAAGTATAACTATGAGAATATTAACACATTTCTTCTGACCAAATGGTTATTCCTCACCGTAAATGCCTCAAGTTTAATTGAGGATAAACAGCCTTTAAAGAAACTTTCAACTGTTTCTAAAGATCAGAATAAAGATGACAAAACGATAATGAAAGTTCTTCTCATGAGAGGGAGTGACTATTGCATTAAGCCGCATTTAGCGATATTCCAGCAATATCATGACAGGGGACACCAGAAATGGGCTTCACACATTGTACCCATGAGAGGAATTGAACCCGGACCTTCGTCATGACGAGTGAACGCTCTAACCACTAGGCTACCCCACCGCCCCTGCCCTCATGAGAAATGCTTGCCCAAGATTAATCACAAGAACATGTGAAAATCCAATGACCCTCTATTTCTGAGAAAAATGTGTCCTATTCGTTTGATACGTGGCCATCATTTCCACAGTGTGACGAGTCAAGTGAGTGAGTGAGTATGGTTTTACGCCGCTTTTAGCAATATTCCAGCAATATCACGGCGGAGGGCACCAGAAATCAGCTTCACCCATTGTGCTCATGTTGGAAATCGAACCCAGGTCTTCAGCGTGATGAGCGGACGCTTTAACCACTAGGCTAACCGACCACCCCTGCTTGAATGTTTTAACAAATATTTGGAAGATATTCAAAATCTTTCCAGTATATTGCTCTGCTTCCTTTGTTGCCCAATGCACATATTTAATTTCAAGGAAGTAAAACGAAAATTAAATTGAAACTCAATACTTTGACTTTAATGTTAACTAGGGCAAATGTATTCATTGTTTGTCTTTTCCTGTACTTAGAACACTCACATTGGCTCTTGAAAAGTTGAGAGATTTCAGAAAATGGGAATACTGTCCAAGTGCTGTGAGGGTCCTGTCTGTGATGTTAGGACAGCCTCCTATATTGAGGTCCCTCAGTTGCGGACAGTTCTGAGACAGGGCAATGAGAGCATCATCTGTCAGGTTAACACAGCGACGCACGTACACCACTTGAAGTTGATGACAGTACTGGGAAAGGGCTGTGATGCCTGTGGATTAAGAATCTTTATCAAACTATGGCTAAACTCTCCGAATAATTCCTTCATTAAGTAGGCTTCCATAGAGAGAAATGTCATCATAATAATAGCAATTAATCCATAATCAGAGTATTATTTTATATACTTATCCTGCATTACATATTGCACATTGCTCTCACTACCAAAGTCTGAACTGGAAATGAGGGACAATCTATCAGCATCTTCAGTAACTCTGCCCAACATGATCTCCATGACATCTGGTGTCGGAAGGCACGCCCCCGATATGTCATTATTATGTCTTCGAACATCCATCAGGGCTGATGGTACAGAGGGGAGATATCAGTCAGGGCCCTTTAGTAATAGCCATCAACTCTGATATCATGAATAGTTTCCAGACCTGAGCGACAGCGCAGACAGTATTGATGGCGGACAGGTACACAGCTATAGTACCAGCCTTAAGGTGTTTCTTTGTTCTCAGGTGGAGCAAGTAATCAGCCATTAATTGTGCTAATGCATCTGTAGGGGTAACGCCATGTTGCCATCAGAAAATCTTATTGGAGGCACATTTATCATCACACAGACCCCTGGTGGATGGTCTATGAGCCTGAGCTATGGCTTTGGGTAGCTCTCCTGGAGTAATCCTTGTCTGCATACGACAATGCCGTGAAGTTGAAACTGCTCTTGGTACGGATGGAGGCAGTGGCTGTGAGGGTCATGCAGTGGATTGGACCACTCTGAGAGTTTTTGAGCTGGTTGCTCGGCAATGTGTAATATGTCCGGGAACCAGTCTAGGGTGAGGGTATCAATGGTCCAGGCCTGATGATCCAGCATTGGTGACACGAGTGTCTTCAACAACGTGTTGTGTCTTATGGCAAACAGGTCGACGGAAGCACTCTGGATGCAGCTTCCACTCTGTGGGGGATGGGCGGTCCGGCCTTGTTAGTGCATCGGACATTGTGTCTCGCTCTGGTCTCCAGTCTATTAGATGCTTGTTGATGAACCAGATGACCGTTGTGTTTTCCGTGGCAATCAGCAGCTTGGCATTGGTCAATACTGTGCTGCCAGCTGACCGCAGTTTCTGATTTGCCACTGTTTTTGATCTTGAGACCACAGCCCTAAGGCTGTCTGGTCCAAGAAGTGGACTCCCCTGGAGTGAGATCTCGCCATTGAAGCGGGAAGTCGCAGACCAGGGTTGGCAGAGGAGCTTGTGTTGGAATTCGAGGTTCCAGTTGGTGAGGTCCAGATATCCCAGACGTCGAGTCTGACATCCTCCTAGAGTGTTGTAAGGTCTACCATACACTTCCTGGATACCTGGAGATACTTAGCAAAGACTGGCAGGGAGAGGGGGGAACAAAATTGACACTTCTTCCCAAACAGCAGAGAATGGTACAATCAAGGCACCGTGATGAGGGTCCTTTGGTGACTTCTTACCATGGCAAACAATACAGTGGGCAAGCATCAATCTGCAATTTAAGCATAAGTATCGATAACCAAATGTACCCAAATATAGGGGATAATAATCCAATATTTAACCCAACAATTATGGTTGTTAAAGGATGAAAATGATGCTGAATAAAGTGAAAAAACACTTTATAAGCCAAGGAGAGGTTATAGGTAAGGCAATATAACGTGTGCCACAAACGAGACCATGCAAAATATTCAAGATGGCGGAATGTAACAAAGCACATGAATACTACTGTGACTATAAATCACCATCATGTGCAAGATATTGATATTATCACAAAAATATAAGGTGAACCGTGAAGACACCAACCAGAGGAGGAAGATAAATCACATATAAATCATAAACAATGAACAACCAAACAGGATGAACACAGATTGCTGAGCAATTTTATTGTTCACAACTTGTCAGCCTGGTCACAAGCAGTAATGCAAAGATAAGTGACGTCATCACTTCCGTGGTCACGTAGACGCTGTGCCATGTGGTCTCCCTGACAACTGATAGGAACAACTACTTCTTCAGCTGGACCTTACACAGCTTCATTTTACTATCAAAAGAAACCAGCAAATGCATTAAGGAGTCATGCAGATTAAGTTAAAATTTATTCATATTCAACATAAATCATGATGTTCACAACAACCATTCACATCGCCCGCCAACAGGAAAATTGGCAGCCAACATGAAACACGACCCAATGTGAAGGCATGGATATTTTTAGTTCCATGAGTTGTAAAGGATGGATAACCTAGTCCACTGAGATAAAAAGGATGGATAACACACCGACTACACTCAGTATAATATGAAATTCTTAAAAAATCTAGGTAAGATCTGGGCCCACTTGCACAAAGTGAACTTAGCGCTATGACTATTGCACGCCTATGTTAAAGTATGGGAGTTACAATCATCTTAGTGCTAAGATCACTTTGTGCTAGTAGGCCCTGGTCTCCAACATCCTGCTTTGCAAGCAAAGAGAATAAGGACATATAGGGGGCGTGTCTTCGACACCACATGTCATGAGGGTCATGGAGGTCATGCTGGGCAAAGACTTACTGACGACGCTGGTAGATGGTCATTCTTTTCCAGTCAGGACTTTGGCCCTTTAGTAATAAGAGCAAATTGCAATATGTAATGCAGGATAAGGTAATATATAGGTTTATCTATACCTTATCCATGTGTTCTTCTGCACCAAAATCTTTTCAGTCAACTAGCCCAAACATGGATCCTAGCATCAATTTCACCTGAGATTGGTGTCATCATATGGACTATTGTTAACTGTGCTTACAAGGCCAAACAGACTTATACTAGACTCGGGCTGTGGACTAGTGGCTAAATCCACAGACTGCCTTATACTGCTCTTATAAATGTAGAGGTCAATAGGAACTTCTGAAAATACTTGGAATCCTCACTTGCAACCACATTTGCAAATATAAAATGATGAGAATGTGTTTCTCATTTCTCTTTTTGAACTAAGATTACCATGGACCTGCACCTTGATGGATGAACTGCCATCTTGAAAAAGAAGCAAAAGCAGCCAACTGCTTGTAAGAAAAAAACATCTAACTTAAGCCTTACCAATATCATTGATGACAATTGTCTATAACCCAGTTTAAACATTAACAACATGGCTGCACAATGTGTAGTACCAAATAATTTGTCAATAAGTCTGTTAAAGAAGTCAGCTAACCTGCTGCCCCTACATGTCACCAGTCTGTGACAAAGACTTTTGAGTCTCTACTTGGCTCTTAGCATCACTTTCATCACATAATAAATTAGATTAAGAACCATTATTAGCTGAGCGAACCTAACATACCTAACAGAATTTTACAAGACTTGGGCTTGGGACGTGCGGCTGAGGTCACAGATTGCGGAATTATTGGAAACCAGTAATACTAGATTCAGAAGTATTTCAAGAAACCCTGACTGATACTGCTAGTTACAGATCTGTCACCTTGTGTTGTGACAGCTGTTCTTGATTCTTTGATAGAGTTTAGATCAATCTTCTTGAGTTGAGGACACTTTGAAAGATTTGCAAGACCAGCATCTGTGACTTCAGACTCGCTGAGGTCCAGCTTCTGCAACCTGTTATGAAGAACCTGCAGAAATAATAACAATGTTAAACTTTCTTAGGTGGCAATGTCTTCTGATATAGTTGACTACTTCGTTACTATGCCTTCCTCAACCTTAAACAGTTATTGGCATGATTAGGATAAAAGTCTTTTACAGCTATTGGAACATCAGCCTTTTACAGTTATTGGGACATCAGCCTTTTACAGCTACTGGGACAAAGGTGTTTTATAGTTATTGGGACCAAAGTATTTTAGGCTTAAAAAAATAAAAGAATGGCTTTTGAAAATATCTTGCGGGCAGGCAGACTTATTATTATTTTTAAGGGGGAGGGTGGGGGGGGGGGCAAACTAGTAATATGTAGCGAAACAAATAAAAAGTTCTGTACAATCAACCTGTGAATGTATTCCTTGATGAGTAATATACTGGAATACAGTATTGGGACATCAGCCTTTTACAGCTACTAGGACATCAGCCTTTTACAGTTATAGGGACAACTGTCCTTTACAGTTATTGGTGCAACAGTCCCTTACAGTTATACTACACAGTCAGACATGTCATCAGTAGTGAAGGGTGAACATTTCCTCACAGCTCTGATGTTAGAGTCTGATATGATCCCTCGCTTGCACATCAGAGTCAGACATTTGTCTTTGATGTGGAGAGGCAGACTTTCCAGGTCGCTTCCACTGTCTAGATTCAGTACCACAACCTTCACTGACCTGAAACACAGAGCAAACTGAAAGTCTTCGCTACATGTCCACTGGACCAACACACACAACGTTCAACAATGAAATAATTGTTGGTATATAAATAATTACCCAACAGGCAAGTTACTCAGATGAAGAAATAATGCTGGAAGAGGTGAAGTGAAACAGTTGGCTATATGCATCTTGATGCACACCTGTGATAAAAACCATTCCACATTTTCAGGATCACCAGTCCCAAAGCTTAAGAGATTTGTGTTTTGCCTCCTAACCATGGCTGAAACAATTATTGTTTACATACTGTAGTACATAAAATAATGTTGTTTAATATTCTGGAACATGTTATTGATGTGCACAAACATGAGACAACATCTTACATGCATCATAGTTATTATTTTGTCTTGATATCTCTTGTATATTAATCAAATGCCTCGGGGCTTGAAATCTGAATTCGATGTAAAGCACATAAACCATCATTCATTGACATGCAGCACTATTCATGCTATTTGTGATGTCCGAGGTTTAAACTGACATAGATTTACTCCCTCTTGGGAGTCAGCATTAGAATTGGTCCCCAGGAACCTTAACTGGATTGGCTGGTCAGAGTCTAACATGGTTGATTGAACATTTTGCTTGTTTGCTGTTTAACGCCGTGCTCAGCAACATTCCAACTATATGACCAAAAACCAAGTCTGGACCAAAACAATAGAGCTCTGCACAGCGTAGCCAAAAACACAAGTGCTGCGCAGAGTAAAATGGCTTCAGTCAAGTTTTTTTATTAGTGGCAAATTGAAGTAAAACTTTTGTGTTTTTCTAAAGGATGAGTTACAAAATACTAATTGCCAGCTCGATTAGATTTGAAGCCAGTGTTTATCAAAGCCTAGATTACGAGTCGTGTGGAGCCAAACACTCTGCTATCCATAGTTTCTTGTGACCAGTCTATAGTACCTCTGTCATATTGTCACATCTTACACAGTCCATTAATGTGTTTCTCATCAGTTTCAATTTGTATGAGTCTATACATACAGAAAAACATAAATTTCATTGAGAAAATATCCTTAAATGTGAAAAACTATTTCTATTGCCCATTTATCCTCAACAAACTGTTATCGAACCCTTCAGAGAGATAGCAATATGTTTTCTTTGTTGTGTGCAGCTATATTGTCATGTACCTCACTGTCACAGCTGTAGTAGTATGTCAATATAATTATGCAAAACAATATGTATAAGGTGAGGTGAAATGGGGTTTAACGTCGCATCCAAGATTATTGCACTTATATAGCAACGTGCATGCACGTGTGTGTGTGTGTGTGGCTACTTGTACCAGTCACAGACGTAACGTGTACGCGTGACGGCTCAGCCGTCTCTTGTACGCGAGACGGTGCGGTCCGCAGTACTCAGTGAAGCGCTTGATACTAATTAATTCAATCACCGTGGCTGTGCTGTCACCCGCGACCTCCGCGAAAGTAATTAAAGCGCTATGTAAAATCACCCACTGCCGAGAGGGGCCACAACAATCCACACAAGGTCGTGACTGGCGGGTCGCGTGTGCATCGGGGCATCCGCCTTCCTATTTTCACATACCCTATTTTCGAACAGTTAAAACATGTCAACATGTCATTCTGGACTGGATACACTTGAAAGTGTACACGTCGAAGCTAGCGACCAGTTATCGCCATTTTTTCATGTTATTTCTGGCATATTCCGTGTATACTCTGACCTCGTGGTACCGCGGCATTCGTCGTATCGCGGCATTTGTGATTTCCGGTCGCTCACGCGGGACACGCCTTTTAGCGGGTGTCTGTTATGACAATCAGTAACCAGGAAGTGCTCGCTCCGTAAACAATTTCAATTTCCTCGGAATGTTCCGTCTGCTGCAAGTTAGGGGTCATTATCGCATTGATACTTACTTCTGGTATCTTTTTATTTTTTTATTATTGCCTTACCTCCATCTGTCAATGGACAGCGATATGACCGGCAGTTTCCCAAATAAACTTTCTCTCTCGACCTGAACTAGCTCATCTACATATTCATGGCGACTAATAAGGTAACGGAAGTTACGTAGCCCGCACATTTTCCCGCGCTGTGGTCAGGATATATTAGGAGATAATTAGGGCCAAAATTTCATACTTAGCAGTACTTTCTTCACTAGTAGCCAAATCATAAATACATACTTTTGGCATAACAGGAGTGAATAATCATAAATGTTAGTGAGTGCCATTTGTTCCGTTTATGACAAGTACCGCGAAACCCGAGGCTGCAGGCTACAAAGTTGAATGTACCAATAACTTTATTTTTTGTGAAACTGTGAGCATATGCGCTTTCTTGAATAAGATTCAGTTGATTTCGGTTATAGCGTTACAATGTCTGTCTGTGCTACGATAGGGAACAGTGGAAACTTTACCGGTGACTTATTGTACCAGCTCTCGCAATCGCCTTACAGCACGTGAACACGCCCACAGTTCCAGTTTACAAATTACATTTTGGGGATATTTCAGTTATCGCGCTCAATATTATTTTAATTCACCAAAATTAATAAGAAATGCTATTATCAAATTGTTCTTTGCAAACTGACAATATTCCCCAAATTCGATATTGCTTATCCCTATGTGTACATCAAATAGATTTCAGAATTGTATTTTGAGGAAGATAGGATATTGAAGATATTGAGCAAGGTGAATATGGCGGGTTTTGAAAAAAATATGTCCGCACAAGAGTCCTTTTGATCATTGTTTTCGGATAAATATTTCTCTCCTCTTATGAAAACTAAGACTCTCAAAACTAAAATGAGATGCAACCACGTGCGCGCTATAACGGTTAGCGATAATTGTCCCTCGGCGATATAACAAGAAAAACTATCAAAATGTCCGATCACGTGATATACAATTTAGCCTTTTGTGGCAGTGGAGAAACGCTTAGTCATCATGATAAATCCGCCTGATTGCGGTTCGCTCTATTCTTGCTGCGCCAAACGACACCTATCTGAGCAGCAGCCACATTGGCGTGTTTTTGTTGTCGATTAGTGTATACACGATCATTATCATATTATGCGCAGTATCCTATATTTTCTGTTCTGCTTGGCATTGTTTTATAAGCAGATATTAAAAATACCGCATGTATTTTCTCGTAAATTATAGGCCGGAAATAGCAATCAGCTCACATCTACCTGTTCTTCAGCGGTGTTTCTGGAAATAAATCCGTTCATTGATGCACGATTCGTATATCTGAAAAGTATTGAATGGAATATTCAATCGGGTAATAACAGGATTTCATGCTAATTTGCATCTTGTGATTACGCGATCTAATTGAAGAGGCGCCGGCGAGACGACTGACCCGCGTTTTGTTGTCCTCATAATAAAGTGATGAGAATAGAATAGAATACTACAATGATGAAAGCGCTTATAACGAAATAACGGGTATAGAGAGAACCCGTGTGTATTGTCAACGACAATGTTTACGATAGCGAACGGTTAATACCTGAGCTTGGCTGCTCACGTGTCAACAGTCAGCCTATCAAAATGCGCGTTGTTAAACGACAATATACAACTGAAGGCAATTGGTGCTGGTACCGTGTTCTCAAATTACAGCCTCAATTGCACAAGGACAGTGACAGTGATTAACTATTGCACAGTATTTGCTGCAAGAACTTTGATAGTAGGCTCGTTAAAAACAAAGAAGGTGCTAACAGTATCAAATATATTTCGTTTGTAAAAGTCTGATGGATTACTATTTATACGTATCCCCTCGAGAGACCCGAAAGTTACCTATATACGATTCCCGCACCAATTGATGCCCCCTCCCATATAATTTTTTAACTGGTGGTGTAATGACAGCAGACGAAATTGAATTATGTTCTTGTATGAACACAATTGAAAACAGGCAATGATAATGAATCACATTTCGTATTTAATCCCGTATTATCAGTAACATGACAATGTCTGAAATAATATAAATATAGACGAGTGCATATTTTAACACGATACAGTTGTATATTGATCGATCAGAAGGGGATTAGCCAGTGTGAGCCAGTCGGTGGTCAGACTATGCCCACAACTAAGCGGTTTTAATCACCTGCATCACAAGTAGGTCCGTGCTGTTTCATATTGAATATATGTTGTTACCGTTTAGCAATTACTATTTTATGAACAAATATCCATGCACGACGTAGTGGTTGATGTCATGTAAACTAATGCAACTGTTCAACAATTGTTAATTCATTCGTCATATTTAGATTTGTCAAGCGTGAGCATAACCGTTTATTCATCCACACTAGACTAAAGTTATGGATCTGCTGACGAAAAGGTTTTCGTCCTTAGTTCAATATGTGCATTCTTTCCGTGGACCTACTGGATGGGGATCCGAAGTTTTTCCAGTCACTACACACGCGTCGGTGTATCCTGTAGTGGTATTTTCCACAATTTATGGGTAAGTAAGGAACTGTAGCAGCGTACTAGTTCAATTTCTATTCCGCTACCAAACTTTATTTTAAAAGCGCATGCGTGTAACCACAAACGTTAGACGGATGACGTGTTATGCTACAACAAATATACTACTGATAATAGTTGATGTCATTGATTCGACGGGATTTGGGAATATAACATATGCCGAAACAACTCGACTTACCCTAATGGTTACTCGACAGTTCTGAGGCTTGCGAAGTAAAGATGAAACCCACACTTGTGGAACATGCAACCGTTCAAAGATATCATAAATTTTCATAAATGGTCTACAAACAGCTATACACACAGCATTCGATGTATTCGAAATAACTGAAAAACAGGTATTCATCAATTGGATGAAATCGACATGTCTTTTTTATTCTGCAGATATCATGCTTTCCGGGTATAACCACCAATCGCCTTGCCGTTGAACATGATGAAGATTCACCAAGAACCGGGCAACCAATTCGACACCTCAGCCATCAACTGCTGCTACCAGATGGACAATGTGTGGGTAGGGTCCCAAAGACCTGGCGTCATCACGTCAGCGATGAATGATGGATCTCTGCAGAACGCTACCCCGTTCTTTCACGATAAATTTAGTGCAGTAAATTCACCACGACAGTGGTCCAAAGTTAATCCCTTTTAAGTCTCCAACAGGCACACGCTTGATCAAAAACCGAAAACTGGCAGGATTCCAGAAGATGACTTGTACTGTTGAGACAGACACACATGTATATTATCATGATTTTTTTGTCATTGTATAGTTTTATGAATAAATGAGTCTTGGGAACAGTTGTGTCAATTACTATCCTCTGATAATCCCATTATGAAAGAACACGTAACCGGTGCTTATGCAGATTAGTTAACCTCAATAAGTGTCAATTCCAATCCAAGTTGAATCACTACTCGCACCAATCGGCAGCATATCAGGGACGTGTATACTGATTTCGCTTAGCAACTCGAATCACACATGTGGGTAGGCTGTGTCAGCCATATCCAAAGGAAGCCAACGAAATTTATACAAGCACGGTTTCTGCGAAGTCTTTGATAGGCATATATAATGGTTTACATCGCTTTAGCATAAATGACCTAATAAAGTATAAATAAATCAATCTCTGGTGGGGAGGGGGTTGGGGGGTACAAACCCACAAGCAAATCCAATTTTATATTTACTTTACCGCATCTATGGGGTATGGTGTTAGTAATGAAAAAAAATATATATTTGGAATTGTATATTGTATTTGGAAATATACATTGTGAGCGCGCACACGGCCAGTCCTTCAGGGCCAAAAGGCCATGTATAGGTACGGGGAGGGACCTGTAGGATTTATGACCACCTCAAATTGCACTGAATATACAGGCAGTCTCGGCAATTAGGTAAAACACGTGCGATGCAGTAGTATATTCTATATAGTAGTGTATTCTGCGTGCGTGATAGGCCGTTTGGACCAGATTATATAATTTCCTGTCCACCTGTGCTCGGGTATATTTTGTGTATAAAGAAAGTTTATCGTGTCATACATGTTCCAAGACATCATCTCACAAATTAATGTATATTCTGTCCTAAATATTGATCTGACAGTCATTAAAAATGCCGATACGTCGATCGTTCGCGAGGCAAGATTTACAAACAATTGCCGATAACCCCCGAGCTCACTCGGCCATGCTCGCCTTATTTTCACCCCCCACTGCGGTTGTGCAGGGTATCACGTGATCGAACCTTTCTCTTGTTAGAAAACTAACGCACCTATTCTGAAATAAGAGTGAGCGAGTTAATTTTTAACGTCGAATCGGTATTATTTCAGCCATATGGCGACGAGACCAAGTTAATATGTTTACATTTTGAACAGAGGTGCCTAATGCATGCCCTTCGGACCGTTTCAAATATTCTTTTACATAATCATATAGAGATGCTAATTAAACTGCGACAGTGAGGTGCATGACAAACACCATGCGAAATGACGCCAATTATTCGTTAGTTTTGATGTTAAATTGTTCGATAACAAGTATTACAACAGTCAATAACTACGTATGTTTGTTTTTATGGACATCTGTAATCTATGGATGTTGACCAGGCAGTCACGCCTACAAGTGACTCTCTCTCAGGCCGTGTTTCACTGCTTGTTCGGAGAGCCGTCTCTCGTACGCGTAACGGGGCTGTGGGACGACTTGTTTAGCAACTGCGAGCAGTTTGAGGAAAGTAGATATGTTTCAACGCGCTGGCACATAGGTGTGCGTTGGTGTGCGTGAAATAAGTTATATATGTTGTTATACAACGACGAATAAGCTTTAAGAAAATACTGAAATTATGTATCTGAAAAATATGCACATAGGAGAAAATCGCTGTCCAAAATCGACAAAGTTGGTTCCAATTTCGTACATTTCTCTCCAAATTTGACCCCTTTAATTTATTTTTCTACTTTTTATATCGTTCGATAACAAGCATCCAACAGTCAGCTACGTATATTTGTTTATATAATCACATAGGAAGTGTGTAGAGACGGTTTTTTGGTGTCACATGCAGACATCTGTAATCCTTCGACAGGCAGTCACGCCTACAAGTGACTCTCTCTCAGGCCGTGTTTCACTGCTTGTTCGGAGAGCCGTCTCTCGTACGCGTAACGGGGCTGTGGGACGACTTGTTTAGCAATTGCGCGAGCAGTTTGAGGAGAGTAGACATGTTTCAACGCGCTGGCACATAGGTGTGCGTTGGTGTGCGTGAAATAATTTATATATGTTGTTATACTACGACGAATAAGCTTTAAGAAAATACTGAAATTATGTTTCTGAAAAATATGCACATAGGAGAAAATCGCTGTCCAAAATCGGCAAATTTGACTCTTTTAATTTCAATATGTTATGTGCATTACTCATTTTTTCACAGAAATACTTTGTTTTCCAACAATTTTACTTCCACCTAAAAATATATTACCCACTGCAAAATTGTTTTTCTAATACGTGATCAAAATACATTTCCTCCTTGTTCTAACCACGAAACTACGCGCTAAATAAATATCGTGCATATTACACGCATCATTCTGATTCAGACACATTTAGTGTAACAAGACGGATGTTCCGATTGAACATTTTAGTCAGGCATCGGTTACCTCCCTTTATCGGCTTGTCGACCAGTCACCTGTACGCGAGACGGTTCGCGCAGTTTCGAAGAAAGTAAACATGTTTCAACGCGATGGAAAATGGGTGTGCGTTGGTGTGCGTGAAATAATTTATATATTTTGTAACTCTACGATGAATAAGCTTTTAGAAAATACTACGTGTTAGTTTCTGAAAAATATGTACATAGGAGAAAATCGCTGTCAAAAACAGAACATTTTGCTCGATTTTTACACATTTTTCTCCCAATTTGACCGTTTATTATTTTTCTTATGACATTTTTTTCATGTCATTCGATAACTAGTAGGATAATCAATAACTGTACTTAATTTTGTTTTATTATTTTCACAAATAACGCTTGTAGAGACATTTTTGTGCAACAGGCAGAAATCCATGGTCCACTGACAGACCGTCACGCATACGCGTGACCCCTCTCAGGGGGTCACTTGTACGCGAGACGGGAGAGCCGTCTCGCGTACACGTTACGTCCTCTACTGTGTACTAGACCGGACTGATGCCGATTTATAGTGCTAGCTCACTGAGATACCATGCCGCAGTTTAACATGAATACCCCACTCAGATACAGTATACTGACTCCGAGCCGACCAGTCCTTGTTTTAGCCCTTTAATGCCGAGGGCCAGACAGGGTAACAACAAGTACCATCTTTTAATGTCTTTTGGTATGACGCGGCCGGGGATGGAACTCTGGACCTTCCGCTCTACCACTAGACCACGGAGGCGGTCCAATATGTATAAAGCTCATAGAGAAGGCAAGCACTAGGCCTGTCTGTACCTATTTCGGTACAAGTAAGTTTGTTTACAAACAAAAGAAAAGTCTGGTCACTTGATAAGCCTACACCCATGGTCTGGTCAATGGAGCAGAACATTCTGTCGCGGAATAAGCTCAAGGAGTTAACAACAATTGTTTACAAACAAATGGCAATGAAAAATTTGTTTTTCTACAAATTTTTTAAATGTTAAAAAAGCAAAACGGGGAAATATTAAGTTTGTATAATTGGTATTGATATCTTTCCGTCGTGCATATCAAGTTCATAAACTGAAAATTGGCAAGTCAAAAACTGATTTTTCAATTTTACAGCCAGTAAAATTTGTACAATTTTGCACAGGAACTCGTTATTGGACAGTAAATAAAAATATATACCCCCTATTTGTCTCTACTTACATATAGGGGGTATATATTTTTATTTACTGACCAATAACGAGTTCCTGTGCAATTTTGAGAATGACTCAGCTACTAAACAGTAACAAACACAATGTTAGATACGTCTTTGGTTCGAGATTATGCCATAGGTCTTCAAATTATATATGGGTAAACTATTTTAGTCATCTTCCCCAAACAAGATCTGACTCATGGGTCTTCTTTGATCATGACACATCGTGACAGCTGACGATCAAGCTAAAAGACACGCAAAATATACAGTAATGTATAAGCTGTTAATGCGTCCTATCGAAGCGCCTGATAAAATTACTTCACTCAGTGAAATGGTAGTTTCTTACGAGTCAAGTAAAGATGGCACAGTTGGAAACATCATGCTGTCAGTGAACGCACCTGGCTTCTCAGACGCCATGTTGTTTATGATTGCAACCAACGATTCTCATCAGCCAATCAAAGGACGAAGCATATTTTCTTCTGCCTGTGTGTATCCGGTCACGTGAGTTGAAAGGGAACGTCATCAAAATGGCAGAACAGCCTTGTAAAGCCGATATTAATGCAATTTTCAAGCGTTTAAGGTCGATACCGACCAACAAAGTAAGTATATGTACAGAAATAATCATACAAAAGCTCCATACGTAGTGATCAATGTATTTTACCGTCTTCAAATGATCAAAATATCGACTTTTCAGCTTACATGTGTTAAGCTTCCACGCGAATGGAAATGACGTGACACTGACAAGTCGCATTTTCTCAATGTTTCTCTTTGCTTGAATTCTGATCACTTGATATTCTTTCGATATATCTAGTGTTGATGTACTGCTTACAAAGAAATAACCTATTTGACCATTTTTGTATAATGCAAAAAACTATCAAACGTTATTAAAACACTTTTTACATCTCAAAGGTAGACAATATTGACTAGGGATAGCAATCTGTACCTGAACAGACACATTTTGTTCACAATTTAGAAACTGCAGTGGCTTATAGTGAGGCACTGCTTGTCGGTTGCATTGTGCCTTTATAAACATTTTTTTTCATGCTACAGATGGTTACCCGGGTTATGACTGTACAAACATACATACATCTGCTGCTTCTGCTTCAATAAGGAAGTAACATATTGTTGTCGTTCATGGGATGTAAACAATAGGGCTGCAACGAATAACCTATGATGCGAATACCATTCGTATCACGAATATAGGGTAATGAATACAAATATTAATTCACGAATACAATAATAAGTCAGCAGTTGATGTATTATTTGTTATATTCAGTGAAACATTAACAACATAAATTATTTGAAATGGTTTGTTAATTATCTATATTATACATTCACATACTGCACTTGTCCAGGTACTTAGTCTTAGTATCTGCTCAAATGCTACAATGACCAGTGACCAAATTCCTGTCAAATTAAATATTATAAGAGTGTTGTCTATCATATGTTCTTATGGATGTTTTCGGTACAGGGTATGTAAATGCACATGATTGCATATTCATAAATATTCGATTCTAGCGTCAACGAATTCAATTCATGAATGGATACAGTTCGATTCACCGAATACGCAAGTGAATCGTAACGGCCCTAGTAAACAATATGTTTATTTTAATGCAAGCAAGTGGATAGCATTATGTTGACCTTAAGGTGAACAAAATGGAGATGCTATTTGAAAAAAACGACGTAGTACAAGAAAGTAATCCACAAGCTAACTTAGCATAGAGAGTGCGACTGCTGGAAATCCATACCTGTCCGACAGGTTATTTCTAACTCAACATCAATATTAATAATATTGCAGACTCAAAATACTGAACTAGAACCAGCTGAATTTTGGGTATATTCTTGATCGTGTTGATATCACATTAGTCATGGTTGTATTTTCCATGCTGATGCCGAGATATATATGTGATTCAACATTTTTAAGACATATTTTGCATCATCAACCAATTTGTGGAATGTGTATTATGTGTAACATATATCATGATATGTAGAAAGATTTTAGTGTTATTCCATCATGTCCATATTAACAACTGATCTTACTGAAATTATTGAGCTTTTGACTAGTGACTTTCATGAGTTAAATAGCAGATACACATTTTGATTAATTTCTGAGTATTAATAATATATTATTTGTAGACATAATAAGAAATATGATGTTAAGTTGTTTAATTTATTCTTAGATGCTTCGCTAAACGATCAAAGGCACTGTCTGAACTTTATCCCGCGATCTAATGTATCCTTGTAACACCATTCTTTAATTACTGTCAAGCAAGATGGCCCATATGTATCAATTTCCGGTGAAATACTTTCTTTAAACTTGTTGATTATTTGAATATTATTACCTGAGAAGAAATATGGAAAGATAATGTCAACCATCTCTCATGCTGCAGGCTTATCCGTAACATATTCAAACCATTGTGTCTATGCAACAGCAGTCACAATTGTCTGAGATAGGCGTTAGTGCCCTAGGTATTATGTATGTCTCTCTGGATAAAGGTATGAGCAATCCTTGAAAAGTTGCATAACCACATGTTCACCTGTTGCTCATTGCACAGCAATTAACAACATGCAGCAGTCAAACAAAACAGCTGCTGTTGCTCTTCCTCAGCCATGTTCGTTCCGCGGCGACGCCATATCACACCCCAGGCCATCAATTCACGTCAGTTTCAGTATCATGTGGTGCTTCCATCTCAATAACCACTCCATTTCATGGGTTCCAGTTGCTGCTGTCTGCTAACATTAGTGGTGAAAGCATAGTTGCAACTTGCATAACAGAGAACACCTCACACAACTCACAATACACCAGCGACACCATACTTTGGCTATGTTTACATGTGTAAGCTCAGCCCCACTATGCAGTTGTGGAATGTTTGAAGTCACATGATTAAATTGAAGCAAATTAATATGAAAACTTAAATTTAAAGATACTACTTATTGCTGTATTGGTTCATGGATAACCAACCACACTATAAGTGGATAATGAAATAAGACCTATTTATATCATAACTTATCCATTTTTATGGTGATGTATTTTGTTTAAACCTTAAATGTGTCTCTTAACGTAAGGGTACTGTACAGGCAATGAGGTGAAACTTGTTTGCCTTGATCATGGATTTTAAGGCACCACTCATTACAGGTTTCTTTTTAAACCCATCCCTAAAAAAAGACAAGGTTAGTCTTAGATTCGGCATCTTAGGAAAGTAATTAAGTTTGCTTTACCCCAATTTATAGTGTAACATAAGATAGCTTCACAATAAATTACAATAACTACGATACTGCACCAAGAACAAGTTCTTGCATTAAATGACATTTCTGAGTGCCATTAGACAACCAATAAACAACCAAAATAACACCCAGAACTTAATTGTGAAAATACAGCAAAACTATTTCCATTCTGAGTGCAATGTTGATGAATTTTTTATTGTGTTCCAGCAATGTTTTGACTGCAGTCATAGCAACCCAACATGGGCCAGTGTTACATACGGGGTGTTCCTGTGCATCGACTGTTCAGCTGTCCACCGGTCACTAGGGGTGCATGTGACATTCATCAGGTCCACACAGCTGGACACCAGCTGGACCTGGCTTCAAATGCGGGCCATGCAAGTTGGAGGCAATGCCAATGCAGTAAGTAGAAGTGCAGCATACAGTGTATAGTTCATAGGGATGTCACTCGTGTTGATACGTTGTGATATATAACCATTGCTGACTGGGTTAACCTCTCTGGACATGTGGACCAAGCATTTGTCCATGCTTCAGAATGTCCATGGTTTGACTCCCATCATGTGACTCAAAAACTTTGTGGAAGCCACACATGTATCGATCCTTGTTATTTATAAATTTTAAGACTAATTTGTTGATCAGGCTTAAAAGGATAAAAGAATCGGTTCTCAGGCAATGACTTTGAAAATATAATGCGGGCCTGTTTTTTTTTTGGCTTGTTCAAACTAGCATGTGACCAAATAAACAGTTGTGTACCATCAGCCTGGGAAAGGGCCTCCCTACATAAACAAGAGTACAAACTCCTATTGCCGCCATGACCATAACACAAGATGCCCAGTAAAGCAGTGCTCATGTAAAGGGAAGTAACTGTGTGCTATATTGGATTACAAAAGGATTTTTACATATATTCTTTTTAAATGGAAATGTACCGCCTCCGTGGTCTACTGGTAGAGCGTTCGCCCGGAGAGCGGAAGGTCCGGGGTTCGATCCCCAGCCGCGTCATACCAAAAGACGTTAAAAGATGGTACTTGTTGTTACCCTGTCTGGCGCTCGGCATTAATCGGCTAAAACAAGGACTGGTTGGCTCAGAGTCAATATACTGTGTCTGAGTGGGGTATTCATGTTAAACTGCGGCATGGTATCTCAGTGGGCTAGCACTATGAATTTGCATCAGTCCGGACTAGTACAAGCAGCCATACACACACAAGTGCATGCATGTCACTACATAAGTGCAATAATCTTGGACGTGACGTTTAAACCCAATTTCACTTCACTTCACCTCACCTCAAAGTTAGTGGAAATATTCACTTTTTCAGTTTCTTACTTGTCAGTGGACCAGGATAGCTCTTCAGTGACCTGTAATAAAACCCTTAAATAGGATTGGATGGTTTGTTCGTGTGACACCTGACTGATAGTGTCAGCTCGCTCTGAAAGCACGTGTCTTTGCTCTTGCTATCATCCACTTGTTGTCTCACTCAGTTCTTAGTGGGGGCAGTGGGGTAGGCTAGTGGTTAAAGTGTTTGCTCACCATACCAAAGACCCGTGTTTGATTCCCCACATGGGTACAATGTGTAAAGCCAATTTCTGGTGTCCCCTGTCGTGATATTGCTGGAATGTTGCTAGTGGCGTAAAGCAAAAGCCTCTCACTCCTTGTTCTGAGTGCGCTGTAAATAACTAGCTTGCACTACCTGTTTCAGATCTCGTACTTCCGCCAACATGGTTGTGACACAAATGATGCACAGAAGAAGTATAACAGTCGTGCTGCGATGATGTACAAGGAGAAGCTACTCGGACTCTCCCAGCATGCATGCAGGTTGCACGGCACTAAGGTGAGGAGAATACAGTGTCTTCTAGGCAAACCACTCAGAGATGCTGTCTGTCTGTCTGTAAACACAGATTTACTGTTTCCTCAAATCTGATTTGAAAGTGACACTGTTTACATGTTGTCACCATGTTTTCATGTAATGATTTTAAAATTAGTAGCGGATGAGAGTATCAGTATCTCTGAAATTAAAAGAATGTTCTGATGGTCATTGGTTGTCCGGGATGTATAAACTTGTCCTTTTCGTGTTCCAGAAACGTATGAATGTGGGTTTGAGCCCCAGATTTGACACAATTATGTATCTTGGTTTGTCAGTACCATACCCTTGCTCATGGGTTTCACCAAAGCAGGGATGGAAATTGGCTCTAGCCTCTAGCTGGGACCAGTTTTGTAATGTAAAACGTTTCTTAAGGGCTAGTAGAACTTCAAACATTTTGAGGAGTATTGCTATATGTGTTATCACTTCTCAGACTAGTGGACGTTCGTGGTTAATATCCATCCCTGCAAAGTGGTGCTCATTTAACACATGCCTCAGTTTGGTCTCTCCTCCCACATCAAGCTGATGTGCCGGGATGTAACTAAGATACTCCCTCTGTGTAATGGTACAGATACTATTACCTTTATGACTTGCTTGACGTTACTAGGTTCTATACGGAGACATAGTGTTGAAAAGAACAAAGAAGCAGAGATCCATAAGTAGACTTATCTTCATTGTCACTACAGCTTCGAAAAGTCACAGAAAGAAACAAATAACTGGAAAAAGACATATAAGTGTAAGATATGGGTGAATGAGATCAAATACACCACAGCTTGATGATGATGATGATGATGAAGAAGATGAAGATGATCCCAATTATGCAGCTTCAGAAACTAACAGTTTTAGTCCACTAGTCCTTATAATGATAACCTGTAGCAAAAACCTTCAAAAGGGCAGATTTCTACTAGTCCTCATGATGGCTTTGCTATTGGGCAGTTTGGCAATGACTATAGGACTAGTCCCAATTTCTAAGGCTGTTATATTTTGTATATTAAATCCTGTTCATGAACTGTCCTATGTTGCATCTTGGGTAAGACGTGCCAGACGATTCTGGCAGTGTGAAGTTGGTGGGAGGAGCTAATGTCACGTGTTATCTTTATTCCTCACAGCTGCACCTGGAAGAAAAAGGAGACTCTAGCAAGAAGGTCATTAAGTTCAATTTTGTTGATCTTACCCCTTCTTGGTTACAAACTCACTTGCTAATGTTTCTCTTTCAAAATGTGCTTACATGTTATTAACAATTTTATTTTATTGTATTACAGTATTTTTATTTGGTATAGTTTGATAATTTTTCAAATTTCCAACGTGCGGATGAAATGTCTTGATGACACTTATTGAAGATTGTGTAAAATGATTTTCTTTTCCTTTTTGGTTGTTTTCAATTCACCAGTTTGAAACTTTCTTGGATGTTCATTTTACTGGTTTGAAGTTTTCACTTAGGGGAAATAAGCTAAGCTCACTAACCAATGCTTAAAATTACTCTCAAAGTTTTGAAAGAGGAATATTTATTAACTTATGCATATTCGGTACCATGTATCCTGAGGGCTTATGATATACTTTAGTACCAGTGCAGAGTTTTGCACACACAAGACAAATAATTTAGCTTTTTCTTCCAGATTATTAGATTTAGTCTCAGTAATTTGAGAACATTGGAGGTATACTAACCATTCTGATAGAAACTGAACTAAACATCCACAGTGCTTCAGCTTCCAAGGGGGCCTGGGAATTCCATTCCTGAAAAAGCAAATACAAAGTTTGAGTAACATGGGCCTCTGCAGGGCTCGAAAGATTTCTTTAACCAAACTTGTCCTGTTGGGCAAGCAGATATTATTTTGTACTTGTGCAATATTTTCACTTGCACGTTTGAAATTTAGGAGGTTTTATGTTCTCAGTTATTACCATTTTCTGTGTTTGAACTTTAAGAATGAAAAAAATCACATTTATATTCATTGGTTTTGAGTATTGTGCTGACAGAGCTGAGTTTATTCATAAATCTTTCGTGTTCGCAGCATTGGCCATGTTTTCTACTTTCCAATGACATTTTAGTCAGCCATTTCCTTCTCTTAATTAATTCACTCTGCATTTACATTTGACTGTCAGTGTTGGCGATTACAACCCAAATAATACATAGTTACCTCCCTTTAAAAACTTGTTCCAAGCTCCTCACTTTGTTTATTTCTTTAACAGACAGTTGCCAAGTATGCCGCCATTTTATAATATGAGCCATATGTATTTCGTTATTACTACTGAGAAAGTGCAAGAGATGAAACTTATTTTAGTTTCGAAATTATGTTGTATTTTGTGATGAAAATTGTTAGTGATGAATGATACGATTGAAATTGCCCAGTAGGATGGGTGTTGGTTCACTTCTTTCTTGCCCTGCACATGCTGCTACTCGTTAATACGAGCAGACGAGGGGATTTGTCGAGGCCTGTCCTGGTCATATATATGTAATAAGTGTGGCCCATTGTTTTCACAGGTGATGGTCCTAATGACCCATGAATAGTCACTTCAATTGGAAGTGCTGGGTTTTAGGGATGAAATAATACTGGAGTTTATGATACAAAGTGAAATTGAATAGTTTCTAAGTTTATTGGAGAAATAAAGTCATTAACATGACAGTCGCTTAGTGCTGATGAAGAGAATCCTCTCCTAACTGTGCCCGAAAACATATAGTTTGTATCTTCGTGAAACATGATCTACGTCTGTATGTATCGTGTATTGTATCGAAGGAGCATCAGATCTGCTGTGTACCGCTTCACCCTTACTTGGTGTATCTTCTAAAATGAGCATATAGACCTCAAAACATCTTGGACATGTTGGAAGGAAAATGGCCGTCAAAATTACCAATGTGCCCCTATAGAAATGACACATTTAGCTTTGCAGGCTTATCAAGCTTGGACTTATTGAATCACTGATGAGGCCGTAGTATCTCACTATCCTGTATCATGCCCATGATGTAAATGGGTTGGCAGGTCAGGAATTTCACCTCATTATTTATATTTAGAACAAAGTCATCGAAGGAAATTCATCTTGAGATCCAGGCTCCCTACTGTTGGTAGAAAGGATTGGATTTTTTTTGGCTTTATCATGTTAATATTTGGACAACACTGCAGTGCTTGAAATAAGGCATGCCAGTCGAGGGGTGCTTGACATGACTCTATGTGATTAAGAGTTACAGATTTAGACAGTCCAAGATGCTAATGTTATAGCAGTAAACATTAACCAGCCCCAGGGCCCCTTGTTTACATTCACTGGACTGTGCAATGGCAGCTTTCATGATTCTCTGTACAGTTGTGGAATATTCATTCATAATTTGCTCAGTTTTACTTTTAGCACACAAAAAATAGGTATTTAAAGTGTTGATTTTACAAATTAGGCAATGGGTTTTTCATATTAACACAACTAACATATCCAATCTTTGGGGAGGTAAAGGAGTTTTTTTCAGTATATTTTGTGCAAAGCCCTACTTGTCCATAATACTTGGGTTTTGGATTTGTTTGGCAAGGACCAGGAATGATGGGGCCCCCATTCACATGATTAACATGATGAGGAAAACCAACAGGAATGTACAAATTCTTTACTAACGTTTTGATGTTTGCAAATGGTTTAGTGAAACAGAACATGAACATGTCTGACGTTGAAAGATTTGAATAAGATTTATGAAAAAGGCTGATATTTCTGTTGAAACGCTCCACTATGAGGGGCAGTCGGGTAGCCTAGTGGTTAAAGCGTTTGCCCGTCATGCCAAAGACCCAGGTTCGATTCCCGACATGGGCACAATGTGTGAAGCCCATTTCTGGTGTCCCCCACCGTGATATTGCTGGAATATTGCTAAAAGCGGCGTAAAACCCTACTCACTCACTCACTCACTCTCCACTATGAGCAAGTCTGTGAAATTGTCCCCTGATGTTAGTCTTCCCCAAGTGCCCTTTCCATCTTGAAAACCCCATGTGACTGACGCCTTCTTCCTTCTCTCTGTGGATTATGGTGATGCTCAATGAAAGCAAATACTGGTGTTTCATTGCGACACTCTCTGTTCCTGCAATTGTCAGTTTACTCTCTTTATTGTTTGGCTGAGTATGTGTCCTGTATCATGCCTTAATTATCTATGTGTTACAATTCTAAGTGCTTTATTTAGCGTTGATTGTTTTGGTATTGTGTGTGCACATAATCAGATACTGGTATACTGAAGGATATCTTGCTGCAAGCTCACTGCATTGATGTTCCTGCAGATTAACTTCTACTCCATGTCACGCTGTGCTTACTGTACTGTGCCTTGCCTGTATACATGTAGGTCTACATCTGTACATGATGTAGGTGAGATGATTCATTAACTGATCCAGATTAGTAAACATGGCATAAACCTCATGGCAATGTATATGTTGGGTGAAATTAGCCCAATATTGAATTCCGTTTTATGTATTCATGTTTCTTGATAAATTTGAAAAAAAGTATCCTGGGGAGTTTTGTTCATTCGGACCCTGTTAGTGGACCCACCTACCAGACTATTCCTGCTTATATATTCATGGACCGCCTCCGTGGTCTAGTGGTAGAGCGTCCGCCCGGAGAGCGGAAGGTCCGGGGTTTGATCCCCAACCGCGTCATACCAAATGACGTTAAAAGATGGTACTTGTTGTTACCCTGCCTGGCGCTCGGCATTAAGGGGCTAAAACAAGGACTGGTCGGCTCGGAGTCAGTATACTGTGTCTGAGTGGGGTATTCATGTTAAACTGCAGCATGGTATCTCAGTGAGCTAGCACTATAAATTGGCATCAGTCCGGACTAGTACAAGCAGCCACACAAACACACACACGTACATGCATGTCGCTATATGAGTGCAATAATCTTGGACACGACGTTAAACCCCATTTCACCTCACCTTATATATTCATGGTGACATTCCCCACACCCAAGTTTCATCAGTAGAGAAACTTGATTCGGCATATGTCACGGGTATCTCTGCAATCCAGACTTGTGTTGTTTCACTGAAAGGTTTGGATTTATTGTTCATTATTTTCATGAAACGTAAACAGTGATGTGTGGGCACTACGACAGGCACATTGTATAGCATTCTATGCCATGTTGATTTGTCAATTAACTTGACTGTCAGCTGGTCAGCTATGTAGCATGCGGGGCTCGATTTAACAACTGGATTTAACTTGCACCAAAAGCATGTTGACATGAAAACCTGGTTGCACCAGACAAAACAGGCTGCACCATGGTTGAAATGAAACATCAGCTGGTCTGCTGCCTGTGTCACATAAATTTATGACATTGCTGTAAAAAGTTCAAATATTATTGAAGTGACGTCAAACCCAAGAAAGGATGACAAATTACACATAAGACAGGGATTTAGGGATATTGTATGGAAAATATAGCTTAGAAGCACTATGTTCAAAGATCAATGTTGTGAGGTCCAGTAAGGGTTAGTCAGACACAAATTTGATAAAATGTTTACATGCTCTTGATGCAAGTGGACTTTTGCATGTTTTATGTTAGTCGAGCCCTGGCATGGCATCATTAACCACCAGCTGAGCATCATTCAGCATAAATTAACACTCACTCGATCACTCACCAGCTGACAGTGCAAGCAAGCTGCACTCTTATTATCACTGTTTGTAAAGTTGCCTTTAAATACATGTTGTTATAATACCAAGGACTTCCGTACAAATGTTCAGAGGCCCCAGCTCTTCTGCAAATGTCAGTATCATTTCAAATTCCCACAATGGATATAAAGTTTCCCAATTGATGTTGATCTACCGTATTCGACGTAATAAGCGCCCCGTTCTAATAAGCGCACATGGCGATTTTTGCTAATATATTGGCTAGTGAACAATCCCAATTAGCACCCCTTCGGATTGATCAATGTACACCAGACTTTTTTATTCGCGTATAATACGCACTCGTGTGTTATATTTACCCTTAATTATAGGCAATTAAACTCTGGAAAAATATATATGTCGTATATAAACATTTCAGGCTGTCAGCATAGACCATGAAATTTATCTTTCAACTCTGTTTTTTTCCACCAAAATAATATTCTAATAAGAGCCTCCTATTTCTAATTTTGAGAGCGCCCTGGGCGCTTATTATGTCGAATACGGTAGTTCATGTATTTGGAATTTATGTTATGTATTTCACTGATAACAGGACCAACAGAGAGGATGAGGTTCTAATGCTTAGTTTGACGTAATGGTTTCGACAGCATCATTAAAATACATGTTAAACATGTCACAGTACCTCTGAATTTTTAATGATAAAAACAGTTTTTCCTGTTTGCCTCCCAAGATTTCTTTGTTTGGAACCCAAGATAAATCACTGGACAGTGTGTCAAACGTTTTTTAACTATTATTTTCGATTAGGTTTTGAGGTTGACACTGACTTGAGATCAATAAAATCTTTAAACTTTTTTTTGTAATCATTTGAACTTTTACATGTTTTGAATTCTCATCTGAACTTGTATTTAGTCATTTGAAAGTGTGTACAGCTGGATATTGATAGAATTGTCACTAGATTGATAGAATGTGCGTGATTGGTATTTGAAAGATGACCATATCCATCAATGATATTGCTGGCTAGATGATAACAGACATACTATACACCTATTTCACTGCTGCTTTTGGCTAATTTGTGAAAATGATCTTGCTCAGAATATGTATCCAGATCATATCAGTCCCCATTTACGGCAAGCATGGGTTGCTGAAGACCTATTCTACCCTGGATCTTCACGGGTCACCCTTGTGTAGGCTTTCTTATAGAGGTAGAATTAGGCTTGCTGTGCTGGCGTTGAAAGAATTTTCAGTAGGTAAATTGTGTAAATCAGCCATTTAGATAACAACACAATGCACAGCAAATGCATCAGAGTGAAATATTTTTCTTCTATTAAATCCTCTGAATAGAACTATTTAATTTATTTGGAGGTAGATTATGGAGGAAAATGTAAGCGTTGTTGACACGTCCGCTAGCTGCGACAAAGATGTATTACCAGCTGTTGTAGATGTCCTCATGATGTAACAGGGGAGACTCAGAGCACATCAGTCGGTTAGATTTCTCACTTTATTGATCTCAGCCAATCATGTATAAGTTACATCGTTTTTATGCAGAATAAATTTTTTGGTTAGCAGGGATCTAAATTTAGCACTACCCCACTAGCCTGTACCAGTATTGGTAATGTTAAAGGTATCTGTTATCACTATTCACTATTATCTTTGTTAATTTCCATCCCTGTGAAAATGGGAAGGATGTGACACTGCTGACTATTCAGTCTCTTGTTCAAAATAAGACATGTTGGTGCTTGTGGGTTTCACCAAAGTGGTAAATATCTAAGGCAAGCATCACTTTGGGCTATCCTCCCACCTCAAGCTGACACACTGTGATTCAACTAGAAATTAGAATACTGTTCAAAGCGGCGTTAAAACCAAACTCTCTCACTCACAATATGACAAATTGTCATTTTCAAAGTTTATTTTAAGAAGAAATGGTCCATTACCATGATTACCCCAAATTGAAATTCAAAATGGTAGTAAAGCTGAAACAGTGAAGTCGAGGGGACTGCTTTGCTTGCAGTTGTAGTATATCCTCTGTTATTGTCCTATTCATTATATTTATGAACATTTAGCAAGCATGGTGATTCTTTATTATTATTCAAGGTGTCATTTGATGTGACACAAAAGATATCCTAAAACATTGTTGATGGTAAAAAAAAAAAGACTTTTGCATGTTCACCATGTGGATGTCTGTTTTTTATGTGAAATAACATGCATTTTCATTGTTTTTACAAGATTCTGTTGCTAAAGGTTTTGACGTCTTTCAAAAGCACTTCAATGACATTGCATTAATCCCATGTTTCCTATTTGAATTGGGGTAAAACCTGTCAGTTTGTTGCCTCGTTAATTTTGCATGTTTGATATATCATGTATACTGCTTACTATGTACCAGTGTTCGAAATTATGGGGAAACTGGGGTCCCTAGAGTTTTGTTGTTGTACATGCTAAAGTATTTAAATCTAGGGACTCCTTAACGCTTAACATTGATGTCATGACAAGGATCCTCTGCAGTGAAATTAATTTGAAAGTCAAGGGGTCCTTGCCATTCCCCTAGTGTTAAAGGTTAAAGATTAAGGGGGTCCCTTGATTCAAATATATAGAAGCAGACCTCAGTGACTCCAGAACACCCTTAGTTTTGAACACTACATGGATTTATATGCTTACTTTCAAAGGATGGTTACCATGGTTGATAAATACTAAATATTCTTTGGAAGTTCATCATATGATCATGATGATGAATTATGTATGATGCTTTAGCTTGGTTGCTTAAAGCAGCTTGGCAGTTCCATTACTTTCATGAAATTGCCCTTTAATCCTCATGTCTGTCTGTGCATACTCATTTGATGATAAAAAAACAACCTCTTCCTACCTAATTACATATGACAGTATAACAGACATTGCCTGAAACAGATGTGGTTTTTTTTATGATTGCCTCATTTATCATGTTTATTGGAAAACTTAGTAGTATCTATATATAGACATGGTGAACTTGGTGTAGCATTCATAATCAGCATGTTCAGTCTCGTAGTGATGCCAGGGAAGTTTACATGAATTACGATTTCAGATCATATGATGATTAGGATATGTGATGACTTACAGGGATAGCCAACATGTGTGAAGTTGCCCTGGTCCACGAGATGACGTGGACTTTTGTCTAGATCAATACACATCCTTGGAAGGGAACTGTACATCTTTTCAAATTGTCTACTGAGTCAGTCAGTTATAATGATGTTGTTTCAATGTACAATGATGTACAATTCTTAAATATTAGAAATATAAAAAAGGCATCTCCTGAATGACTTTTGATAGTTTCCCCCTGAAAACGTGTGCTGGACAAGTTTGTCTGCTTCAACAATGTGACACTGTGACAATTTCATGCCATTCATAGACATGCGATATGATGTGAATTGTCTATATCATAACATGTGTCCCATCTGTGCTGTAGTTGATGTTTTATGTATGTCATTGCGTGTCTATATTCCATAACATTTGAATGAGGAAATAATGGTTGAAATGTGAACCCTGAGGTAAAGACATGTGTACATGTTATGTCTTCAAGTTTCTGACAGTTTTATTATGCATGGAAATACATTACTAGTCACTGTAGAGACGTCTAATACAATAATGGTTATTCAGAAACTTCACAGGAGGACATTTATTGGTAAAATGTGTACTTTAGTGTGCAAATCAGTGTTAGTTATCAATGAGTGGTTATCTCTGTCTGCAGCTTCACATCGATGGAGGTCATGCTGAGCCATCACCAGACACCAAGGAAGTGGACTTTTTCCGGGAGCATACAGAGTTTGACTCTAGGGCCAACCAGCCCAGCCCCATCACTGAGGGAGCTAGACTGTACTCCGAGCCCCAGCCCATCAAGAATGGCGCACTCAACAGCAAAGGTATGGACATCTGTTACAGATATTGGTACACTGATCGTTTTTTATGTCAAAATTCAAATAGGAACATGATGAATCACATAATCAATCGATTATTAAATAGTAACCCCATACTTAAGTTTGATAGCATATATACCTTGAACATTGATTAGCATGTAAATAAGTATTTAGGTCAACTTGCTTGCTTAGGTCAACTGAAGGCATCTAACTGTGAGCAAGCAGTGAACATCTGTCAAGCATGTGTCACCTTCTGCGAATATTATAAACATCAGTCTCGTTAAAAGCAAATCTTTTACTCCGATACTCTTGTGCATGAAGATCTGAGGTCACCTCCATGGAAGGTCACGGGATATTAGCATATTCGCTATACAATGGAGTGATTTGGTTTTCACTGTATATGCAAAAATATGTTATGTTAAATGTATTCTGTAAAATTGTCGGTGTGAGATACTTCATTGACTGATCAACCATAAGCAATTGTAAGACTGAAAACCTGTGGTAGGGCAACTCCGATCAAGAATGTGTTAAACAATATTCACTCCCCCTCCCTTGAAGGATGTCATATCCACACTGAATGTACAAGAATCTTTCTATGCAAAATTATTTGATGTATTGGTCAGTATTTATCTCTAACATGATTTGTGTGATACTTAGACAAGTGTGTATGTGAAATCATTGTTGTTTTCAGCTGCAGAGATAGACCCTAATGAAGGACCCAATGTTGAGGCTGCCCTGAGCATGTCCCCCACCCAGGCTGCTGCTATTGCTGAACCCAGGAAGGCAATCATTGGGGGCAAGAAGAGTGCTGCCGCTAAGAAGGGGGTGAGTCCTCTGAACTGTTTTCATTGCCCCTTTATTGAAAAAAACTTTTGCATATCACTGTTCTGACCCATAAATTTTGGTTCCCCCACAATTTGAATACTAATGTTGAAAACCTCAAAGAGTCCCCCATCATTGTCAGAGAGCACAGCCACATTTGCTACTAAGGATTGCATTAACTGAATGCATCAATGCCCTCTAATCATCAAAGTAGGTAGACGCATATGCATGCTTGAAACTTGGCCAAAACAACGTCACGTTCAAACATCTTTGGTGTCAGCCAAAGTGTGATTGCAGCAAGATGTCAATACTTCATGACTGCCACCACACTCAGAAATGACCTGCGGAACTAATCAGTGTGTAACCATCTCCATGAGGCTGCTCTTCAGTCATGAAGGGCAGGCATTTGTAACCTACTTACTCAACATCACAGGCAGACACGTTTGGTTTGGGTCGAAGATCAATTGGACAGACCAGGACTGGGCTCCAGTACTTTTCACTGATGAATCGAGATACTTTCTAGACTTCACAGATCATCGTGCCCGGGTATGGCAGAGACAAAAAGATTTCAGGATTCCAATGTAGCCGAACATGACTGCAAATCATGATTTGGGGTGGGATCAGTAGAGCTGGAAGAACCTATCTCCCATGTCCTACAGCAGTGCATGATGACAGGTGTGCGCTATAGGGAAGACATTCTGGATGACCGGACTTCATCCTTACGGACGATAATGCATGACCTCATCGTGCCAGGTTTGTTGATGCCTACTAAGAGCAGCAGACCATTGTCCGCCTGGAGTGGCCAGACCTCATCCCTATCGAACACACGTGGAACGAGCTGGAGATCACCCTCTTGAGATGCCCTGTTCTTCCAGCAACTCTACAGAAACACGTCAATGCTCTTACTGAAATATGGAACAATCTTCCCTTGGCAACCATCCAGACACTTATTGGGAGCATGAGATGATGGTGCCAGGCTGTGATCGCATCATATCGATCACACACACTACTGAGAGTTGTCGTCACGCCGAAGACCCAGGTTCTATTCCCGACATGGGTACAATGTTTGAGGCCCATTTCTGTTCCCCGCCATGATATTGCTGGAATATTGCTAAAAGCGGCGTAAAATCATATTCACTCACTCACTCACTACTGTCTTTTTGGACAGTGAATTTGTTTTTGTGGTATGGTTTTCATTTCAGTTTTGGGCAGATACTCTTATTTTGACGGGTGATGTGTCACATGTTGTCCGTTGGCATTGCGTGGCACATGACAACAGACTTTTGTTCATTAAACAAATCTTCACGCAATATTGTCTTTAGCTATTTCAACAGATGCCCACAATTTTACCTTTTAAAGTGGTGATCCTTTGCAAACTTTGAGTAGTATATGTACTAGTTCAACAACACAGATTAATGATACTCAGAAAATCCTTTGTATTCTGGATGTAGATAAAGCCCAGTGTCATCTATTGATTGGTAGAGAGAGAATATAACAGACTATGCATATTACTGCACCATGTGTTGCTTTGATACAAGTGACAGCTTGGGTCATGACACCAGACTTACGGTGGGGGATTATTCTATTTCTAGCTGTTCATATATTGATTTCTCCAGTGTGGATGATTATGAAGGGGAGGTAACTCTTAACTTTCTAAAAGTCCAAACAGAGACCCATTGTTTAGAGGTTTCTTGTGGCATTGTCGGTCTTTATTTGCACAAATGGACATTTGTTGAAATCACTAGACATGCTAGATACTAGTAAGTTCATTTTTATCCCCCGCCGCGCGAAAGCGCGAAGCGGGGGATATAGTATTCACGACCGTCCGTACGTACGTCCGTACGTCCGTCCGTACGTCCCACCTGTTTGTTGCCGCGATATCTCAAGAACTAAACACTGGATTGTCTTCATATTTGGAACTATGGTGTATATACAGACTCCGCAGACACCAGTCGGTTTTGGTGACCTTGATCCCATTTTCAAGGTCACAGCAGACAAATCTGCTTTTAGAGTTGGAAAACGGTGTTGCCGCGATATCTCAAGAACTAAACACTGGATTGTCTTCATATTTGGAACTATGGTGTATATACAGACTCCGCAGACACCAGTCGGTTTTGGTGACCTTGATCCCATTTTCAAGGTCACAGCAGACAAATCTGCTTTTAGAGTTGGAAAACGGTGTTGCCGCGATATCTCAAGAACTAAACACTGGATTGTCTTCATATTTGGAACTATGGTGTATATACAGACAACGCAGACACCAGTCGGTTTTGGTGACCTTGACCCCATTTTCAAGGTCACAGCAGGCAAATCTGCTTTTGGAGTTGGAAAACGGTGTTGCCGCGATATCTCAAGAACTAAACACTGGATTGTCTTCATATTTGGAACTATAGTGTATATGCAGACTCCGCAGACACCAGTCGGTTTTGGTGACCTTGATCCCATTTTCAAGGTCACAGCAGACAAATCTGCTTTTAGAGTTGGAAAACGGTGTTGCCGCGATATCTCAAGAACTAAACACTGGATTGTCTTCATATTTGGAACTATAGTGTATATACAGACTCCGCAGACACCAGTCGGTTTTGGTGACCTTGATCCCATTTTCAAGGTCACAGCAGACAAATCTGCTTTTAGAGTTGGAAAACGGTGTTGCCGCGATATCTCAAGAACTAAACACTAGATTGTCTTCATATTTGGAACTATAGTGTATATGCAGACACCAGTCGGTTTTGGTGACCTTGATCCCATTTTCAAGGTCACAGCAGGCAAATCTGCTTTTAGAGTTGGAAAACGGTGTTGCCGCAATATCTCAAGAACTAAACCTCTCGATTGTCTTCATATTTGGAACTATGGTGTATATACAGACACCGCAGACACCAGTCGGTTTTGGTGACCTTGACCCCATTTTCAAGGTCACAGCAGGCAAATCTGCTTTTGGAGTTAGAAAACGGTGTTGCCGCGATATCTCAAGAACTAATCGCTGGATTGTTTTCATATTTGGAACTATAGTGTATATACAGACACCGCATACACCTGTCAGATTTGGTGACCTTGACCCCATTTTCAAGGTCACAGCAGGCAAATCTGTTTTTGGAGTTGGAAAACGGTGTTGCCACAATATCTCAAGAACTAATCGCTGGATTGTCTTCATATTTGGTACTATGGTGTATATGGCGGGGGATATTTCGTCACTCTGTGACAAATACTTGTTCTTATTTCATTCATGTTCATCTTCTGTATTCGCCATATTAAGTACACTCCAATAAGGTGCTTTAGTAGCAGCTAATACCCTGACCAACTTCTTGACCAATCTGTATGTAATCTTTATAAGCACCTCCTACAAAGACAGGGTATATTATTGCCTTATAAATTTTAGATTCATGGACATTTGAAGGTTTTTTTAACCCTTGCTTGATCTTTAAAAACAGATTTAACCCATTGTGTATGGTTTTAATAAGCGCTTCCCTTTGTCAGTTTTCTTGCCCTGGGCACTTACGCAGCAAATACAGTATGGACAAATGAATTGAAAATTTGTAAGTCACAGTACATTCAATTGGATTTTATTGGCATTCAAATATTGGCGATCCCAAAATGAATTCCTATGATTACGATCAGCTGTGTTTGTTTACCTCTTTTCACTTCCATCTTATTTCTACTGTTCCTGTTACAGAAGGGTTTTGGTGCCCAGCGTGTGAAGACAAACTTCAGCGAAATAGAGAACCGTGCCCAGCAGCTGGACAAGGAGAGAGAGGAGTTGGCCAAGGCTACAGCAGTGCAGGAGGCTCGCACAAAGGAGGAGCAGGACAAACAGATGTAGGTGCAGGTCGGCGTGGGGACTTCTTGTACCTGGTGCAGCACAGACTGGGGTGGGGACTACTGGTACCTGGTGCAGCACAGGCTGGGGTGGGGACTTCTTGTACCTGGTGCAGCACAGACTGGGGTGGGGACTACTGGTAGCTGGTGCAGCACAGACTGGGGTGGGGACTACTGGTAGCTGGTGCAGCACAGACTGGGGTGGGGACTACTGGTACCTGATGCAGCACAGGCCGGGGTGGGGACTACTGGTACCTGGTGCAGCACAGGCCGGGGTGGGGACTACTGGTGCAGTACAGACTGGGGTGGGGACTACTGGTACCTGGAGCAGCACAGGCTGGGGTGGGGACTACTGGTACCTGATGCAGCACAGGCCGGGGTGGGGACTACTGGTACCTGGTGCAGCACAGGCCGGGGTGGGGACTACTGGTACCTGGTGCAGCACAGGCCGGGGTGGGGACTACTGGTAGCTGGTGCAGCACAGGCTGGCGTGGGGACTTGTTGTACCTGGTGCAGCACAGACTGGGGTGGGGACTACTGGTACCTGGAGCAGCACAGGCTGGGGTGGGGACTACTGGTACCTGATGCAGCACAGGCCGGGGTGGGGACTACTGGTACCTGGTGCAGCACAGGCCGGGGTGGGGACTACTGGTAGCTGGTGCAGCACAGGCTGGCGTGGGGACTTGTTGTACCTGGTGCAGCACAGACTTGGGTGGGGACTACTGGTAGCTGGTGCAGCACAGATTGGGGTGGGGACTACTGGTAGCTGGTGCAGCACAGGCCGGGGCGGGGACTACTGGTACCTGATGCAGCACAGGCCGGGGTGGGGACTACTGGTACCTGGTGCAGCACAGGCCGGGGTGGGGACTACTGGTAGCTGGTGCAGCACAGGCTTGGGTGGGGACTACTGGTAGCTGGTGCAGCACAGACTGGGGTGGGGACTACTGGTGCAGCACAGACTGGGGTGGGGACTACTGGTAGCTGGTGCAGCACAGGCTGGGGTGGGACTACTGGTGCAGCACAGGCTGGGGTGGGGACTACTGGTAGCTGGTGCAGCACAGGCTTGGGTGGGGACTACTGGTAGCTGGTGCAGCACAGGCCGGGGTGGGGACTACTAGTGCAGTACAGACTGGGGTGGGGACTACTGGTAGCTGGTGCAGCACAGGCTGGGGTGGGACTACTGGTACCTGGTGCAGCACAGGCAGGGGTGGGGACTACTGGTAGCTGGTGCAGCACAGGCCGGGGTGGGGACTACTGGTAGCTGGCGCAGCACAGGCTTGGGTGGGGACTACTGGTACCTGGAGCAGCACAGGCCGGGGTGGGGACTACTGGTAGCTGGTGCAGTACAGGCTTGGGTGGGGACTACTGCTAGCTGGTGCAGCACAGGCCGGGGTGGGGACTACTGGTAGCTGGTGCAGCACAGGCTTGGGTGGGGACTACTGGTACCTGGAGCAGCACAGGCTGGGGTGGGGACTACTGGTAGCTGGTGCAGTACAGGCTGGGGTGGGGACTACTGCTAGCTGGTGCAGCACAGGCTGGGGTTTGGGACTATTGGTACCTGGTGCAGCACAGGCTAGGGTGGGGACTACTGGTAGCTGGTGCAGCACAGGCTTGGGTGGGGACTACTGGTAGCTGGTGCAGCACAGGCTGGGGTGGGGACTATTGGTACCTGGTGCAGCACAGGCATGGGTGGGGACGACTGGTAGCTGGTGCAGCACAGGCATGGGTGGGACTACTGGTAGCTGGTGCAGCACAGGCTGGGGTGGGGACTACTGGTAGCTGGTGCAGCACAGGCCGGGGTGGGGACTACTGGTACCTTGAGCAGCACAGGCTGGGGTGGGGACTACTGGTAGCTGGTGCAGCACAGGCTGCGGTGTGGACTACTGGTACCTGGAGCAGCACAGGCTGGGGTGGGGACTACTGGTAGCTGGTGCAGCACAGGCTGGGGTGGGGACTACTGGTAGCTGGTGCAGCACAGGCCGGGGTGGGGACTACTGCTAGCTGGTGCAGCACAGGCTGGGGTTTGGGACTATTGGTACCTGGTGCAGCACAGGCCGGGGTGGGGACTACTGGTAGCTGGTGCAGCACAGGCTTGGGTGGGGACTACTGGTAGCTGGGTTTCCCCTGACAAGTGGATCAGAGCTGTGACTGTCATAACTCCCATATTAACATTGACTTTGAAATCAAGGGCCAGGTTCCCTATTCTTATCACACTTAGTTTTTAGATTTAAGTAAACTGTTGCTCATGCTATCAACCACAAATTGTATTACATACAGGCCACCTTCAAAGGGCTGTCATGTTATAAAACGTCACTCTCTTCACATGCTCAGAATGTCCACTACTCATGCTACTTGCTGACTTGTAATGGTTTGTGTTGTCCTGCAGGGCTAACATGAGACTGGCCTACAAGGACATGAGTATACAGAGGCAGAAACAGGAGGAGAAGCTAAAGGCAGCCGACCCCAAGAAGGCCGAGCAGTTCGAGAGGCTGGGCATGGGATTTGCTGGTAGCAAGTAAGTTTGGCTGTAAAGCATTGCATATAACTTTATGGAAATAGATTATTTGATGTAATTATGCCCAGGTTGGTGTAATCACAAAATGTGATATGATCTAAGACAGGTTAATTTTCCAGTTCATGATGCAAAAGTTTTATTTTATTTTATTTTTTGTTAATTTTATTCATGTTCTGTTTGATGCAAGGGAATGCCGTCAAAGCAACCTGCAGAGATACTTATTTGGTATCTTTGTTATGACTTCATGGATTTGAGGCAGAACATGTCCCATGATTATCTACAGGGAAATTAAGTTTGTATGTTTGTTTAATGCCGCACTCAGCAATATTCCAGCTATATGACGGCGGTCGGTAAATAATCAAATCTTGACAAGACAGTCCAGTGATTGACATCATGAGCATCAATCTATGCAATTGGGATACGATGACATGCATCAGCAAAGTCAATGAGTTGGACCACCCGATCCCGTAAGTTGCCTCTTATGACAAGCATGGGTTGCTGAAGACCAATTCTACCCAAATCTTCAAGGATTGGGGGAAACTAAGAGTAGGAGGCTGTTGTCAAATTGGCTGTTTGATAGTGATAGTCTTTGCATCAGCAGGAAGGGATAATTGTCATTTGACATGACTGATTGACTGCCATCCTACCCAGGTGATGGGGATTATGATGCTGTCACTATTGACCTGAAGTTTGCTGGTCCAGGGAGCTCCCAGGGACGGTTGGGTAGCCTAGTGGTTAAAGCGTTCGTTGGTCATGCCGATGGCCTGGGTTCGATTCCCGACATGTGTTCAATGTGTGAAGTAAGGGTGAAATGATACACCGATATTCCGATGCATCGCGATACTTGACCCACAGTACGATATACGATAAACGTATGCGCCACAATACGGAACGGGGCGACTAATGGGATCGGGTGGTCAGGCTCGCTGACTTGGTTGATGCATGTCATCGTATCCCAATTGCGTAGATCGATGCTCATGATGTCAATCACTGGAATGTCTGGTCCAGACTCGATTATTTACAGACCACCGTCATATAGCTGGAATATTGCTCAGTGAATAAACAAACAAACAAAACAAAACCTATGATTGTACTTGTTGTTTGTTGTATGAAGCTTGTGTAACCATTGACTTACTGTTGTCTCCCAGGGGCATCAGTCACTCTGCCATCTCAGACATGCAGACTATACAGCAGGAGGGCGTCAAGGAGACAAGAAATGAGCGCAACAACCGACGCCGGGACTTCTTTGATGAGGAGATGGATATGATGGGAGGCCGATTCTCCTCTGGTTCCAGTTCCAGGTATGCTCACAGGATGTTGGTCTGGAATACACGAGATCGAACATTTGGTTGTGTAGAGTTGTCTCCCTTAGCTGTTCCTGGATCCATTGGTCATATGTTTGAATCCTAGTTTCGTGGTTTCATCAAAAGGAAATATATTGGTATTCATTCTGCATTACATTGAGATTTCCTCACACATCAGGACACACTGTGATATAACTTAAAAACTCCCTTACACTATCTATGTTGGTATTGCTGATGACATCACAAAGTTTGACTTTCACAATCACAACCATGCAGGGTGAAAAGAATAAGTGGTTTCACTATGCTCACAGTGACTCTTTTTGGCATCTTGTATATCTGTCCTTAAAAGATCAAAGATTGCCATTTCCTTGTGTTTTTATCTGTGATGCTTCAAGAGAATGAATTTCCTGTGTCAAATGATAAATAGTTACATTCTAGTGGTGACTAAGTGCCACTGATTTTTATGTATACCGCTCAATTTTAGACAGGGACATTCCTGTATTTCTTTTTAATGCTGAGTAGTACATGTGAGTATGGTTTTATAGTTTTTTTTATTAAGTCTGCTTTAATCCCAGATACCGTATTTGACGTAATAAGCGCCCTGCTCTTTTAAGCGCCCACTGCGAGATTTGCTAATATATTGGCTTGTGAACAGTCCCAATTAGCACCCCTTCCGACCCCTTTTCACATATTATACGCACCGCTTCCTTCTCCTAATCGCGTATAATACGCACTCTAGTGATATATGCACCCTTTATTATTGGCAATTAAATTCTGGATATATCTATAAATATATCTGTTGTGCATAAACATTTCAGGCTGTCAGCATAAACCACGAAATTTATCTTTCAATTTATCTTCTTTTTTTCACCAAAATAATATTCTAATAAGAGCCCCCCATTTATAATTTTGAGAGCGCCATGGGTGCTTATTACGTCGTATACGGTATACACTGAGTCGAGTTTGTTCTATGCCATGTCTGGTGGTAGTTACTAGGTAGTACAATCTTGTCTGCATCATCTATTTTCAGATACGGAGACAGGTACGATGACCACTATGGTTCAAAGCGAGATGACTTCGGCAGCTGGGGCAATCCTAACAAAGGCGGCAGTTGGGACATCGACAGGTTCGATAGCAAGTCCAGCAGTTCAGACAAGTTCTCTTCCAAGGATGAAGACAGGTGGATGTTTAGATATTAGTCAAGTCTTGTGGCTGAAAGTGTCTGCATAATTGTCTCGTGTCTCCATGTTTTTCACAAAACAACAATGAAATATGGTCAAAAATAGACACCATTTTATCAAATTTGTACATAAGTATGTTTTTATCTTTTATTAAAAAATTAACATTGAAAAAGAAGTCTTTACTCTAAGATGTTTTATTCGGAGAGCACCGAGAATTGTGTAGACATATGCTAGGTTGATTGTGTGATAGGAAGTATGGGTCACATTACAATTATGACATTCCATTTCGGCTATTGCAAGGATATAATTTCACTATGCAAAGTGTGTCTTCATAAGCCAAAAATGGTTGTGTGGCCAATTCTCAGTGTGATCAAAACGAAGATCTGTCTCTGTCATTCTTGAGATCAAACCTCAGTTCAAAATTCCTTGTATGTATGATCACAAAGGGTATCTTGTTTCCATTGTAGACTGATCTGGGTTCCTCAGAATCTATGTTTAGTATGGCTGTTTGAAATAGGCAGGGCTAGAATGGAGGAATAACCTAAACAAATAGGCTTAATATCCAGCTTAATTGAAATAATTTGAATTTGTAAAATATTTTAAAAGATCCAGGTCATTGTTCATTAAATTGGTTTGGTTGTTGATGCTTTCTGGAGATATTTTGAATAGTTTGAATGTAGTAAACATGTGATTTGATTAATTGGTTACGTTTGCTACTCAAAATTTGCCAAGGACCACACCTTTGACTAAAGATGACTCTTCAGGTCCTTAGCAAATGTTGAGTAGTAATGTTCTGACTATGGTTGACAACAGTAGGTGCCTGAGATATCAATACCAAAACAAACAGGATTACGGGTCGTATGGGTATCTTTAGGTGCTGAGTTGCATCCCTTAGGTGTGGCAGAATCCTATGATGAGTTTGAATCCTAAATTCAACTGATTATCATTCTTGGTTTGCCAGCATCATACCAATACTCACGGGTTTTACCAAGTGGTAATGATGTAAGACCTGCATCACTTCAGGCTTTCTTCCAACAAGACGTGCTCTGACTGAAATTCTGTTCAAAGCCGAAAAACAATATAATTCAACATAGTATTATCTAGGTAAGACTTCCTGATAAATCACATTTGTGAGTATGGAGGGACATGGTTGTCAGTAATAATATTAAGCTGAGTTTACAAATTCATTTGGTCAAGTCTTTATATATACTATTTACCTGTCAAATTGACCAATTCGAGTTTTGTCCATTTTAGTCCTACCTATTTAAGTGACCGTACATGTAGTCAGGTCAACAGGGTTGCATAGCTGAGATCATTTTCATTGCACACTCGGCCCTCTACAGTTTTTCAGCATAAGAACGAGTCCCATGTACCGTCATGTCCATCTGTCCATCAGTGTATATAGGCCTGTGTATCTTGGACAAGTGTAGTCGTGTGTTCTTGGTGTGTACTTCTCTGTGTATTTATTTTTACAGGCACATGTTCAACTCCACCTGATACTAAGTGCAATGAATGTCAGTGATCTCCTCAAGTTCCATAATTTGTACATTTAGGGGTAGGGAATTCGGTAGACCAACTGCTTGATTGGGTGTTTATTTGACTTATATGAAAGGATTATGAAAGAATACATTGTGAGTTTAAATCATGTTCACCTAAGAGACAAGGAGGAGTAAGTTGTTTGGAGTTAAATGTTGATGTTGCAAGATGATGATTGAGGGCTCCATTGTGCTAACATCTTTGAAGCAGGGGTTTTAGCTTTCTTTTTACCCTATGTAATTTATAGACTCATGAAAAATTGTAAAGATAATTTAGTCAAGTTTTGTGTACCATGTTTCCGGGTATTGGCCCTCATCGAAATTAGGACGATCTCCCAACTTGACCTTGAAACCACTACCAAGCTGATATGCCTTAGAGAAAAGTTGACCCCACAGTATAAACAATGTAGCAGGGTACAGCCGATATGAGTCTCAATTCTTGTGATGTATCTAGTATCCAGTAATAAGTGGTAAGAATGTCTGTTTGGAACAGTCTGACTATACAGTTTCTTGTGGGATGATAAGTTTTGGCAGGTCCAAACCATTCAGGTGTCATCCAAAGCTAACAAGTAGTTACATTGTAACAAGTCAGCGTTGTTTCAATGTGTAATAAGGTTACTTCTTTAGCCCCTGTGAAGGCAGACAGTAATAACCATTTGTACATCACCTTTCTATGTAGAGACTCTGTTCTGTCTGTCAGCACCAGGGACAGTCAAGTGCAGGTTTAGAGATATTGTGTGAGAATTTGATTTACTTTCTGCTCTGTCCCAGACATAATAGAGTATTTTAGAGTTCTGGAGTTTTCAGGTGATATCTTATCCTTATGGACAGTATGCGCATTTTTTATCCATTTGGCTAGTCCTTGGCCCCACTCCACAAAGTGATCTTGGTGTTAGATGATCGTAACTCCGATACTTTAACATTGACTTCATAGTGCTGAGGTCGCTTTGTGGAATGGGGCCCTTAACAATGGAGAAGTGTTTATTGTGAACACTTGGATATTTCAAAGTCATTATTCCAGTGTTGGCTTTACCCTGTTCATCTTTACAATAACAGATAGTATCAGTTGTGATAAATGCGTCAGTCGTCATCTTTACGTGTTATACATGTGGTATGAGAAATGTGCTGGTGGGCACTGCCATAGATCAGTGTAGCAGAATCAATGATTTCTTAGCAATGCTCACTTGAAGTTCAAAACATTTTATGACATTGGCAGAGGATTATGTCACAAAGTAATCCTAGAACTCCCTTTATCGCAAGTCTACTCTAGCATAGACTTACGACAACTGCACTTCCTGGATTGTTTGAGACAAAGCCTCAGTCAGTAGAATGGTTTTAGATATATTATTACTTCTACTTTGAAAGGATTCTTATTATTCTTATTGTGATATGTCTGTAGTTAATGTTATAATAAAGTTTGTGCTGAGGGGAGAAATATGCATGTATTTCTTTGTAATGTACCATGACATAACCGTAGGCTTGTTAATGCAGTGCAGGGTGTGATGGAAACCTGTATCTTTAGTTGTACAGCTTCATCATATTGATGCCCCTACTTTGTTGCTTGACAAGGCTGTTCTAGAGGCAGAGTGATTGTCCATACTCAACATGTTAGGTTTTGTACTTCTTTCATTCCAAATTAATTTCACGTTTAGTTGAAATGCTTTTGAACTCAAGTGCCAATAAGACCACCTTTTTGTATGTCTTTTATAAGCAGTTTTTACCAGTAAAGATATTTTGTTTATATTTTATCATGAAATAAAGTCTTCTCGAAACAAGAACTTCTAAGGCCTCTTAGTTGTTTTTTCCCTGTTAGCACCAAGATGTTTTCTAGATCAGCCTTGTTATGGTTACCAAAAAGCAGTGACTCTAGCAATGTCAGTGTTTGGCTGGGGAAGTGACCGGTGGTGTTTCTATAGGTCAAGGGGGATTGGTGGGACCGAACCTCAACCTCAACAGTGAGGTTGTCCACGTGTATTCAAAGCTCAAAGTCATGGTTTCCAAACTGATTCGGAACATTGTAAAAATGCATCAGGCACCTCAACTCCATCGGTACCCAGTTTCAGCCTCTTAAACAATACATTACTGGAATGTTAGAAGTAAATAGTAGAAGTGATTATCAAATATGGAACGAAAATGTCGATGATCTTGTTATGTCAAAACGTTTAATTGATCTTCATTTTTATGAACACAGGTGTAAACTGACAAACTCTAACAAGAACAGAATGTATATTATGGGAATAGAGAATAAGGAACCGTTGATGCTATAGTTTTTGTGTAGAATATGTTAAAATGTTCGGTAAATGTTAATGAAAACCTACATGGTACCCATAGTTTGTGTAATGTAAGACCCGGAAATTGGGAAAAAAATACTAATTCATGAAATTTCCAAATTGTGACAAGCTAGATTTGAGTTGTTCAATACAGAGATCGGTGATTTTGATTAGTTTATGAAACCAAGACTAATGTAGTTGAGGTTACTGTCCTGATGGGAACAGACATTGCATGGTAGCGAGCTCCATCCCACAATGTAATCTGGTGTGACGAATATCACAAATAACCGACACGCTAAGAGAGTAAAAGATAATATAGTTTGTCAGTCACAGAAATAATGTCCAAGGGCCACTGTTTTCTCCATGAAACTGACATTCTCCTCCATAAGGCTAGCTGTGTCCACTGCCCCAGGGGAACATATGCATGGTTGTTTAACATCTTACAAGCCTTATTTCTGTCGTGGTTGTTACAAAGACAATGTCATGTATTTGGTTGGTATTAGGTTTCAAATGTCATATATATTATGTCATGAACATCACAATCTCATTAAAATCAGATCTTTAACTCCAATACTATACCTCTTTGCATGAAGATCTGACACCTCTTCAAAAATAACCTGATTGACCTTGAGCGCCCAAGTTATAATAAAGGATGAATGAGTTCTTGTGCCAATCAGATGTCTGCTTTCTGAAGTGATTAAGCTTAATTTTTTTCCACCTTTAATCAGTAATTTATATTTTAACTACAGAAAATACAAATTGAACACAAATACTTTGATGGTACTCCTTTGGGTGTAGATGCTGTGGTGCTGAAAAAGGACATAATATAATGAATTAGCCTTTATCATTTACATTTGGAACAGGCCAATTAACTCTGTTTTTGAGATACAGAAATCAGATATGCTGGTCTGAAAGCTTTGCTCATACCTAGAATTTAGAGGCCTTGACACAAATTGGCTGAAAAGTAATTTGAGCTGACCTCTGACATGTCATATGGAGGTGTGAGATCTTTACACAGAGGGTTATCATATCCGAGTAAAAGATCTGATTGTGATGAATTATGAACATGGTGAATGAATATCAGGTGGTGAGAGAAGACAGTAAAATATCACACAACACAAATCATTGAACAGATCTGTTTATAATACTAATGATAGTCATTAGAAGTATAGAAATAACATGCGTAAATGCTTTGTTGTGAACATGATTATGGCTACACCTGTTTTGCATGCCAACTGATTTCTTTACAAGCTATCATAACGAAGATGACGAGGAGAATGGGTAAATATCACACAGTTGGTGTGCTTCACTATGGTGCTTCATCATATATTTTACACTTGTATTTCTTTTATCTAATCATGGTGGTCGCTGGGTTCCCTTACTTGCAGAGCTTCTAGAAATCAGCAGTTACTCACACTGAAGGGTTTGTTGTACAGACCTTACTCAAATTTGAAATATACCCTGACCAAAATTGAAAACACGCCAGTTTGGGAACGTTTGCTTGGCAGGAAGGGCATATCCATTCCACAGTGCATGAAACTAGATAGGAAGTCTGCAATAGAACCTGTTTCCAGCAATGTGGAATAGACTGGTCCTGGGTCTAGTTCCATACATTGCAGCCCTAAGTTACGTTTGTGTATCAAGTTAGGGTACATCAGTATATAGAGTGAGTGAGTGAGTATGGTTTTACGCCGCTTTTAGCAATATTTCAGCAATATCACGGCGGGGGACACCAGAAATGGGCTTCACACATTGTACCCATGTCGGGATTCGAACCCGGGTCTTCGGCGTGACGAGCGAACGCTTTAACCACTAGGCTACCCAACCGCCCCATCAGTATATAGAAGGGTTCCTGGCGTACATATGTCTGTAGTTCATTGTACATCAACCCCTTCAGTGTTACTTAGGGTTAGACACAGCCGCTGGTCCTCAGGTCACAGACTAGTGATAATCTGGAAGGACTAGAAATCTATAGAAATAACTAGCCTGAAATGAGCTGTGGACTAGTTGGATAAAGCTGTTGGTGTCTACCCCTGTTATTACTAGTCTTTTGTTTTGCTGAATAGTCATTCCTCATCGTTTTGTTGATGTAGTTAGTATAAAGTACTCTTTAATTCAAAGACAATTTCACACCCGTCCATTATAGAAAGAAAGATTTGACTAACATAATTTTGAAATGCTCATGTATGTCTTAAAGATATTCAGAAGTGGATACAGACTTGCACATAATATATGTTTCTGGTTCTGATACAAGATTCTTTGTAACCAGTGAGAAGGTTTATATGTTGGTACAGCAAAGGATTAAGAAATAGGGATAGGATGGTGGGGTGTGTAGTTCTGGAATAGCTTTAGACTTGATGCTTAGTGTCAAGTTTGACTGGTAGTTCCAAACGTTTTTGGCACAGGCTGCAGGATGGATAAAGGTGCCGGTGCCTGCACTAAGATATATCCTGTGTAAATGGAATTGTCATCAATACTGATGTACATGCGTGTTCAAATACCACAGTTTCCAACTTGCCCAAGGGCAAGTGTACTTCAAATTCCCCTTTCCCAGTCAGATTTTCAAGTTGCCCTGCTAAATCAGAGTAAAGAAGAAAACTTGAATTTGACAACAAATCTGTATTAACTGAAGTGATAGCTAATGGAAGATGTCCAGAATAGAAAAATGACAAGTCAGGTACTTCATCTGTGACAAACACACAATCCATCTTCTGAGTTTCAAAGTTGATTTTCAAACTTGCCCAAGGGCAACTTAATTATATTTCCTCACTTGCCCGGGACTTTATTTCCACGGATGGGCCAAGTCTGTATGCTAATCGAACAGGCCTGCTGTAACCCCATCTCACATCATCCTACCACATCTCTTGTAAGTGATTTCACAGTCACCACGTAACTGTTTCATTTACATACACTTTGAAGTATAGTCGCAGCAGAATCACTACAACATGCTCCATCACGACCCTTGTGTATTTCTATGACATTTGTTTGATTCATTTTATCCTGCTTTTTGCATGGTTATCCAAAACTGTTTTATAGCATGAGGGGTGTCAGCTTTATGTGGGAGGAAAGCCGCAAGTGATGCAGGTCTCAGACATTTACCACTATGGTGAAATCTACAAGCTGACAAACTTAGAAAATATAATAGGGTCTAACCAGGATACCAAACCACAATCATAGGTTTCTGGTGTGCCCAAGGGATGCAACTCTGCTCCGTAAATTACAGCAGCTTGGACGGCTAGGCCACCAGGCCTAAGATCTGTTGACTGTGAGTGGACAACCCACATAAGTTCTCTGGTTTGTCGGCAACCTGTGTTCATTGGTTTCGTGATAACATCTTCAACCACGTCATGTACATCACGTTTGGTTCTCCCACATCCAGCTGACATGCCGGATATAACTGCATTACTGTTGGAAGCGACATTAAAGCACACTCACTCACTCACACTCACTGGAATGGAAGGAAAGCTAGAAATGTTGGCATGAATCAGCGATTTATTTGGACCTGCTCAAAGGCTGATATTCTGGCAGGAAATGTCAGTAGAAATGCGTAAGTGATCTGAGCATTGAACTGATGCCTCTCATGTTGACAGTGGTAACATATTCTTAATGCCACTGTTGTATTATTACTTCCGTGAACATGGGCACAGTGTGTGAAGCCCATTTCTGGTGTCCCCTGCGGTGATATTGCTGGAATATTGCTAAAAGCGCCGTAAAACCTTACTCACTCACTTCCGTGAATACAATGATATGATTAGCTGCTCTGATGGCTGCGTATAATGAATAAGTGATCATATGGCATCATTCTGCTCAATAATATGAGAATACAATTCACAGCAGCGACTTCAGAACACATGGTCTACCTGTTAGCTTTGCTGCAGATGACTCCTTGCAAGCTCGGATGCCCGAGCTATTAAGATTGAAACCGAAGGTCTCCGATTGGAAGTGGGGATGATTTCAATACACCACAGAGAAATAAGAATGAAGTTGAGATTTTAGGTGGGAGTTTAACATGTCAGATCACATTTCACATTTACCTGCTCAGTTCACAAAGTGCATTACTTCCATAATAAAAGGCCTCTGTGATCCTGTTGGATGTGAAAATGGCCAAAACAGACCTCTGTGGAATCCACCCAGAGCTGACTAGTGAGGATTTGTTGTTTACAGTGTGTAACCTGGCTGTTTCTGTGTCATCATGCTCACATGGAGTTGATCGTTGCTCATGCTGTCAACCATTTGTTTGGCCCAAGGTCGCTCTTTAACCAAAGGTTCAAATGAAGTAGTGCCACTGTATGTAAAGTAATCTGGCAGTCCATCCATTCTGTTTTTAACATTTGACTCTCCGATGAACCGTCTGACGTGATGAGCCTGAAACTTTTAAAGGATGTAATTGGACAAGTTGTTGGAATTAACGCTAAAATAACCAATTTATTAATGAGATGAATTCGTTAAGAGCTATTCCATTTCAACATGCAACACATCCTTGCCCATGTCTAACACAATTCCCTTCGTCACCTCGGGACTCCAGTTTCAATACATCTCAATGACAAGGAGTGTCTGCTGTCCCCACAAAGTGATATTGCTGGAATATGCTCATAAACATTATGCTCGCTCGCTCACTCACTCACTCACTCACTCACTCACTCACTCACTCACTCACTCACTCACTCACTCACTCACTCACTCACTCACTCACTCACTCACTCACTCAGTGACACTTGTTTTAGCAGTCAAAGTAAAATACAGCAAGTAAAATAGGTTTCAGTTATATTTTTGCAACTGAACATCGTGATTTACATTTACAAAACTCCTTGGTCAGTATTTTCTACAAGGGTGAATGGTCCAGTGTCTAAGGCTGTGTATAGTTTTACATGTGTGTCAGTGTCAGATATACTTCGTATACTGCACCACATCGGATGAGGGTGAGATCAATATTTGAATCCTGTAATTTTAGACTTGAGATTTTGACATGAAGCACACACACAACAGCCATGTGGAGTGGCTCCCAGACAGAGGCTTAACAGTGAGGATGACTGTTAGGATTATGTTTCAGGCCTCAGAGGAGCAGCAAGAAGACATACAGTGAAACATCCTCATCCTCATCCTCGGCGGATGCCCAGAAAAGATTTGGTAATTCCAAGGCCATATCCTCCGACCAGTATTTCGGCAATAAAGATATGGATGTGAGTTCTCAATATGTTTCTTCTCAGAACTCGGATTTCTTGTCCTTAAGCAGCAGTGTGAATTTATGCTATGGACATTTGCCTATTGTCCTTCCATCATTTATGGTTAAACCTTCAAAACTACTGGTCATCTTCTAATTAACAGAATTGTCTTATATCAGAATATGTTCTGTAGGTTCTGTGTGAGATCTATACATTCAAAGAAATGGTTTGATTAAAATGTTCATTAATTTAAAATCAGATAAGCATCTCTCAAATGGCTCATCAAGTGTCCAGCTTATACTCAAAGAGCTAATGCATTGATTTGAGGTGGTTTTATACTAACTACTTCAGCTCATTCTAAGTGAGGTATATTCATGCAAATATGATGATCTTTTGTACCTGTTTTCTGGGATTGTTTTGCTTAACATAAGTAAGTGAAGCCTTCTTTATGTCTCAATAATTAAAATAAGAGACCAATGTAAAATTCTACCCCAAAAGACTATTCCAGTTTAACAAGAGAATAATTTTTCAGTTCGAAGTGCGCCAAAATCTGAGCCGCCTTGATGGGAAGACTGGTATATCTAGTGACGATGTGTTCGGGAGGTCGGACAAGGGGTCCTCCCGAGGGGGATCCAGCTCGCAGTACTACGCCTCCCCGGACCTCCAGGACATCCGAGATGGAGTGAAGCAAGGAGTCACCAAAGTTGCCGGCAAAATATCCAATCTAGCAAATGGTGTTTTAAGTTCATTGCAGGTGGGTGATCAATGATATTCAGTCTCTAATTTGCCATGACAACATTTGTGTACGGTATACATAAGTTTGCACATTTGACAATAAGAGTCAAAAGAATGCAATTATCGTATTCGACGTAATAAGCGCCCACGGCTATATTTGCTAATATATTGGCTAGTGAACAATTCCAGTTAGCACCCCTTCCGATTGATCAATATACACAAGACTTATTTATTCGTTTATAATACGTACTCATGTGTTATATGCACCCTGAATTATGGGCAATTAAATTCTGGAAAAATATATTTGTCATGTATAATACGCACAGACATTTCTTTTGTATCATTCCAGGCTGTCAGCATAAACCACAATATTTACGATCTTTCAACTCTGTTTTTTTTCTCTCACCAAAATTATATTCTAATAAGAGCCCCCTTTTTCTAATTTTGAGAGCTCCCTGGGCGCTTATTATGTCGAATACGGTATACTACACAAAAGAAGTTAAGGACCACCCGTTTCGTTCATATTAATATAGTTAATGTATCATATCATGACATTGACTATAGTAATATGAGAGAATTGGTGTCCTTAACTTCTTTCGAGTGGTATATTTGTCTCTTAATACAACACATTGAGATGCCATGCAAGAGACTTGTTGTTTTTCATTTTGGTGGTGTTACAGTGTACTCAACACGAAGTAATGATTCTTATACACATGCACTATTGGTTTGCACAGTGAAGGCTTGCCACAGAATAGTTTATTTATGCTCAGTGAACACTGAGTGAACAGTTGATTGAAGTGATGACATATATCTGGAATAATATTTATTTTGGTTTGGGATATTGTCATGGATTTATCGAGACCTGCTCAGAGGCAGATATTCGGCCCCAAGTCTGCAGCAAATATCAGTAAAAATTCCCTAATTGGAATTACATGTTTCAAAATTCCTGTTATATAGAAATAACGGATGTTACTGCTTTGTAGGAGGTACTACTCTCTCACTGACAGATTAGAGCAAATTAAAGATTTTTATTTCCAAAATTGCTTGCCAAGGGAGCTTGGTTTGGAATCCTAGAAAAATCCTTGATTTTGCTGCGATGTGCAATGTTTCTGAAAAGGTGTGTAGAGGTGTGGGTATGATTAAGATTTTGAAAGGATTTAGTTCAGTGTTAGTCCTTTTCTTGCTGACTGAACCGTCAGTATCTCAAATACTACAGTTTGGTGTTGTGTTTAAGTTATTGTGTGATATTGATGTGTGTTGATATATCTTAATTTCCATTAGATGTGCTGTTTGTTCATTTTCAATTTCACCCTTTGCAGCGAAAATAACACATCACTAATATTAAGTGGTGAAGGTAATAGTATTATGTGGTTGATATTTTTATCTTTTTGGTTTGTGTGTAAGTTTTGAATAATTCTCATCAATCATGTGTTAATAAAACCTGTTCATTTTTCTTACCTTTCTTTTTGGACTTAAAGCCATTTTTTTTACAGCTAAATAACTCATTTGTGTGTTGTCCTTAGCAGGTGACAACAGTTGCAGTACTGTACTTGTTCGTACTGTGGATTACACTGATGGCTGTTTCTAAACAGATGTTCATCTAGGAACAAATCAGATCTTTTGGATAAATTAGTGGATTTTGATTTAAATTTAGTTGGTTTTAAACAAGCTTTTTTTCAAAGCTTAAGGTTATATTAAGATTAACACTGTTTATGGTGTTATTTGAAACTTACACATGCTTTGTAACCAGTGGGAATTTATTTAACAATGGTGTAGTTGATGTTTATGTAACTTGGTGAAAAGCTGGACAAGTCTGTGTTTGTCTTGACCTGTGTCTAGTCAGAACATCTGGGGTTCAGTTTGGTGAATGTGACATTGTGTCTGATGTTGCCAATGTCAGATTTTTCAGAAGATATCTGGACTTGAGAATCATTAGCAGATTCTAAGGCCTGGTATTCTTCTTCATGCATGGTGGCTCTGGTTCCTTGTTTGTGGAGTATTCATGAAGATGGTTTAGTACTGTCCCTACCACAAAGCTGGGAGACCTGTGCTTGAGGATGTAGACCAAGCAGCCAGCCTCGGCTGTACACTTTGACTTGTAGCCCTTGGCTGTGCCAGGATCCGCTGGTCATGAAGTGTATGGTAGGATGTGTGAAGGTGTATGATATGATGTGTAAAAGTGTATGATAGGATGTGTGTAAGTGTATGATAGGATGTGTGTAAGTGTATGATATGATGTGTGAAAGTGTATGATATGATGTGTGAAAGTGTATGATAGGATGTGTGAAAGTGTATGATAGGATGTGTGAAAGTGTATGATAGGATGTGTGAAAGTGTATGATAGGATGTGTTAAAGTGTATGATAGGATGTGTTAAAGTGTATGATATGATGTGTGAAAGTGTATGATATGATGTGTGAAAGTGTATGATAGGATGTGTGAAAGTGTATGATAGGATGTGTGAAAGTGTATGATAGGATGTGTGAAAGTGTATGATATGATGTATGATAGGATGTGTGAAAGTGTATGATATGATGTGTGAAAGTGTATGATAGGATCTGTGAAAGTATGATAGGATGTGTGAAAGTGTATGATAGGATGTGTGAAAGTGTATGATAGAATGTGTGTAAGTGTATGATATGATGTGTGTAAGTGTATGATATGATGTGTGAAAGTGTATGATATGATGTATGATAGGATGTGTGAAAGTGTATGATATGATGTGTGAAAGTGTATGATAGGATGTGTGAAAGTGTATGATAGGATGTGTGAAAGTGTATGATATGATGTATGATAGGATGTGTGAAAGTGTATGATATGATGTGTGAAAGTGTATGATAGGATCTGTGAAAGTATGATAGGATGTGTGAAAGTGTATGATAGGATGTGTGAAAGTGTATGATAGAATGTGTGTAAGTGTATGATATGATGTGTGTAAGTGTATGATATGATGTGTGTAAGTGTATGATATGATGTGTGAAAGTGTATGATATGATGTGTGAAAGTGTATGATATGATGTGTGAAAGTGTATGATATGATGTGTGAAAGTGTATGATAGGATGTGTGAAAGTGTATGATAGGATGTGTGAAAGTGTGTGAAAGTGTATGATATGATGTGTGAAAGTGTATGATATGATGTGTGAAAGTGTATGATATGATGTATGATAGGATGTGTGAAAGTGTATGATATGATGTGTGAAAGTGTATGATAGGATGTGTGAAAGTGTATGATAGGATGTGTGAAAGTGTATGATATGATGTATGATAGGATGTGTGAAAGTGTATGATATGATGTGTGAAAGTGTATGATAGGATCTGTGAAAGTATGATAGGATGTGTGAAAGTGTATGATAGGATGTGTGAAAGTGTATGATAGAATGTGTGTAAGTGTATGATATGATGTGTGTAAGTGTATGATATGATGTGTGTAAGTGTATGATATGATGTGTGAAAGTATGATAGGATGTGTGAAAGTGTATGATATGATGTGTGTAAGTGTATGATAGGATGTGTGAAAGTGTATGATAGGATGTGTGAAAGTGTATGATATATGTGAAAGTGTATGATAAGTTGTGTGAGTATATATGTGTGAAAGTGTATGATATGATGTGTGAAAGTGTATGATATGATATGTGAAAGTGTATATGTGTGAAAGATGTGTGAAAATGTATGATATGATATGTGAAAGTGTATATGTGTGAAAGTGTATGATAGGATGTGTGAAAATGTGTGAAAGTGTATGATGCGATGTGAAAATGTGTGAAAGTGTATATGTGTGAAAATGTGTGATAGGATGTGTGAAAATGTATGATATCATGTATTAAGGTGTATGTTATGATACGTGAAAGTGTATTAATGGATGTGTGGAAGGGTATGATACAATGTGTGGAAGTGTGTGAAAGTGTATGATACGATGTGTGGAAGTGTGTGATATGACGTGTGGTAGGTGTGTGATGCTCAATCTTCTATTCTCATGCGCTATTGATACTTCTTGCTTTGAGTAAGTCAATTTAAAATTTGGATGAGTCCAAGTCTTCATCATACAAGGGGTCATGGGTAATCCAGTTGTTTAAGGTGCCACAGTTCATGACATTTTTGGACAACTAAATTAAATATTATAACAACTGCTACTGAGATCGTATCCATTTCTCTTCCGCATTACATTCCTGTATATCATTATTCCCAAAGTCCTTAATCACAGTATGACTTCTCATAAACAACACGTCACAGACACACAAACAGGGAGGAGAAGCAACTTGTCTGCCTGGAAATTCTTGTGTAAATAGATGTACTTCAGGAGTTGTACAGGGGCGGTTTCACATGCTTACACAAGGAACTGCCTGAGATCATTTCAAAATGGGTCCATGGTATAACTCTTGCATGTCATGGTAATACGTGATGAGAAATAGAGGACATGGCAAGGCATGATTCACTCAGGTATACTTATTAATTATTGGGGGTCAGGGGTGGCCCGTTCGTCCAAGGTGCTGCATTTCGCTGTGCAGAGTTGCGTTCCTTGGGCACACCAGGATTCTGTGAAATCAAATCCTGGTTTTCCCTGGTGTTTCTAGGTTTGTCAGCACCATGCCCATGTTCATGGTTTCACCAAAGTGGTATATGTCTGAGACCTGCACCACTTCGGGCTTTCCTCCCCCATTAAGCTCACACTCCGCGGTATAACAGGAATACAGTTCAGTGCAGCGTTAAAACCCAACTCGGTCACTCATTAATTATTGATTCCACATTATACATCGTCATACCATGGCATATATTCATAGACACATTGCTTAGTATTCACAAATAGAATTATGAAGTAAGAACCTAACGGTTCATTTTGCATTTTGATGTACCTAATTGTACATGATTATTCCTTTCAATGAATGTGCTTATCTTTAGCTGATGATAGTCAATAGCTGAAAAATTGCTGATGTGACGTAACATTTTAACTTACTCACACTTAGGCTGATAGTAAATCTAAGCGTTTTCCACTAAACTTCAGTAAAATAAATGTTTCTTTACTCATCTTTAGCCAGATTCCCCCCGAGTGTGATCCTGGTGGTGTCAAAGTGGTAAATGTCTCTGCACTGTGTTTCTCTGGGCTTTGCTCCCACGGCTGTAGACAACTGAAATACTGTCAAAGCCTTAACACCTTAACGCACATGCTTCCTCACAGTGTGGCACAGGCGGCCAAGTGGTCTAATGGGCCACAGTTTATGGTGCTGAGTTACCTTCTTAAGCTAACAAGCAGGGGGTAGCCTAGTGGTTAAATCGTTCGCTCATTACACAGAAGAAAGGTGACTATGCTTGTCGTAAAAGGCGACTAACGGGATCGGGTGGTCAGGCTTGCTGACTTGGTTGATGCATGTCATCGATCCTAATTGCGTGGTTCGATGCTCATGATATCAATCACTGGATTGTCTGGTCAAGACTCGAATTATTTACAGACCGCCATCATATAGCTGGAATATCACTGAGTGCGGCGTTAAACAACAAACCAACCAACCAACTATTACACAGAAGCCCAGGGTTCTATTCCCCTCATGCGTACAATGTGTGAAGCCATTTCTGGTGTCCCCTGCCATGATATTGCTGGAATATTGCTAGAAGCAGCATGAAACCTTACCCACTCACTCACTCACTCACTCCTAAGCTTAACCAGGTTCGAAGGATCAAGGGTTCAAGTCCCTTTTCACACTCTGATTATAATTCTTGGTATGCTCATAGGTTGTATATGTGTCAGATTGGCCTACCTCTTGCACCATCAAGCTGACACTCTGGGAAATAAACATCTCATCAGCAATAATTTGATGTGCATAGTAGCTTCCCTCTGATCATGTGTTCTAATCTTGCATTGGCTGTGTTTATGATTCTTGGTCAGTCGTCCCCAGGCCTTTGCTCTTTAGGACCCATGAAGATCCCGTTTAGAATAGGTCTTCAGCAACCTCGATTGTCGTAAGGCGTCTAACGGGATCGAGTGGTCGGGATCGAGTGGTCAGACTCATTGACTTGGTTCATGCATGTCAGCGTATTCCAAATGTATAGATTGATGCTCATGATGGCAATCACAGGATTGTCTGGTCCTGACTTGATTATTTGCAGACTGCCATCATATAGCTGGAATATTGCTGATTGCAGTATTAAAAAACATACAAACAAACAAAACTATGCTCTTAAGCATGTTAAGTTTAACAAAAATGCTAAAGTAATAAGATCAGGCATCTCAACATTCCCTCTCTATCTCTCTCCTCAGACCCCACAGCCCACACCCCCACATGCCCCCCACACACACCCCACCACCCCGACACACCCACACACCCCCCACACCCCACACACCCACCACCACACCCACTACTTTCACATTCCCTCAAGCTGACACACAGTGATATAACAGACATTATTCAAAGTGGCCGTACACCCAACTGACTAACTGTACACGTACAACATAGAGCCTATTCACTGCTGGGATATTGCTGGTAAAAGGGCCATTGCACTCACTCTTCATAACCATTTAAAGAGGTGTGCTTCCTTAAGGAAACTAATATGATGGTAATAATAATATACATACATACCCATACAATGTAATCTGTTTGCTTGTCTGTCATCTTTGCATGCATGTGGGACTACAACAGCTTTGCTTTCAGCCTTCACTGTTTGTCTTTGTGGAAAAAAAAGATAATTGCAGTTTAAGTTGTGGAACATTTGATGCAAAGAATGTGGAAAATAACAGATTATTTTTAAGAAAATGAATTTGTAACATGTGTAACATTCTTTCTGAAATATCTCTTTTTTTCAGTGTCATTGTTTTAACATGCAATTCTATATTTATCAAATCCATGAAATATATGAAAGTACTTTGTTGTGCTAAACAAATGTTTAAAGTACTTGGTACAAATGCGCATCATATTCACCATTTTAACAGGAAGCAAGTGTGCACATATCTACACCAATAATGTCATCATTTGTCTGTAACTTAGGCATGTTAGGGGCAGCTGTTAGCAGAGCTCCAGAAAACTTTTTGAGCAATTGAGTTTTTACTCTATGGTTTCTGTTTCAATTGGATTCTTTCATTTTTCATTGGGTATCGAGTATTTTTTCACTCATCTATTCATCACCTATTGGGTTTTCCAAAAATTAGTGAACATTTTAAAATTTGAAAACAAATATGAAATAATGTTTAAAATGTAGATAACTATAATAAATAGGCTTGACCCAGAGAGTAAATTAGCTCATTGTGTTTCGGAAATTAGCTCCTTTGTATGCATGCTGAAAAAGCTTCATTGGGAATTTACACAAGCTGTTTTTATACATGTGAGTTTTTTCATTTTTCAAGTTAATTGAAAGAAAGTGGGTTTTGAATATTTTGGAGGGTATTTGTGTTAGGGAATAGTTAAGAGAGTTGAAGCGTCATGCGGGTAGATGGTTCCAAACCACTTGTTATTACCCTGTATTCTGGCATAGCGGTGGTGCTTTTGTGTGAACAGCAGCCTAAATCCTTCTCAATCTCTCATTCAGCACTCTGTGGGGAAAGATGGTAGGGTAGCCTAGTGGTTAAGCATTCTCTCATCATGTGCCAAAGTCTAGGTTTGATTCTGCATGTGGGGTATTAGAGTACAGTGTCTGATGCCCCTCTCTAGTGTCCCTTGCTGTGATATTGCTGGAATATTGCTAAAAGCAGCATAAGTCTCAACTCGCATACTCTGTTCAGCGATAGAAACTAACATTTATAGTTAACTACTCCTTACAATGTTAACATATAGCAAAACCCTTAAAATGGCAAATTTCTGCTTGTCCTTGTGATACCTAACTATTGGGCAGTTTGGCTAGGACTACAGGACTAGTGCCAATTTCTTACGCTGCTGTTCAGATTATGAGAAATGAGGGGCGGTGGGGTAGCCTTGTGGTTAAAGCGTTCATTCGTCACATTAAGGGCCCGGGGATGATTCCCCACATGGGTACAATGTGTGAAGCACATTGCTGGTGCACCCCACCATGATATTGCTGGAATAGTGAAAAACGGCGTAAAACCACACTCACTCACTCTCTCTGAGACAGGGGGTCCCTGCAACAAATCCCATTGTAACAGCTCACGAAAATCAGGATCGTGAGGTTACAATATGTAACCTGGTTTATTGTGAGAGTGCAGTGTTGTAACCAGGGTTTGTGATGGCAAATACAAGGTCCAACACAGGCTACGGGTGTGAGTCTTTTTTGCCATAGTAGATAATGACACCCAGTAATGTACAAAATACTCATGCTATCAACCATTGGTTCGCTTGGTCCAGACTTGATCATTTACAGATTGCCATGATATGCCTGGAATATTGCTGACTGTAAAAGAACATTTCCATCGTGACTTCGAGATTAGTGCAAATGTTAGATTTGTGTACCTAAGATATAATTAAATAGCTTCTAGCCTGTTATTCTAATGTTGTTGTTTTTTTGTTGCAGGATCGCTATGGGAGTTAACCGATGTTGAAGCTAAGCCAGGAATGTGTTTCATGCCTGCCAGGGACAACAGTAGTACTGACAGACATTGGTGTTCACCTGACAGCACTCTCACCCAGTGCAGGAAGGTGGAGGCAGGGTTCTCTCCCTTAGATCAGAATAGTCACATGACACTCATCCATTTCACCAATCGGAAACGCCAGTCACGTTCAAGTTTATGCTCAGTTAATAAAAGCTCACGAAAAGGGTAAAATCTGCTTAAAGTGATAATGAAAGACTAGTAAAGGGAAAGGGTAAAATCTGTTAAAGATAGAGATACGAAAGCCTGGGCGTGTCGAGGCTTGGAATATAGGGCAACTTTGAATGTTTTACTACAAGGAGAGTATCAGTGAGGACTGCATTCACTACTATTTCATTGGTTAAAAATTCCTAAATGTTACCCCTTGTTGAAGTGAACCAAGAATAGCTTTGCTGTACTTCACATGTGTAGCGGTGTGCACCACAGAGCTTTGAATGTCTTGCAAGCCAGAGGCTAGTAAACAATTAACAGAAGTTCTATTTTAATCTTTTTTTTATTTATGCTGTTAATATCACTGGACATTTTTACCAAATATGCATACAGCGATAATTTCATGCATTTTAACACAAAATTACCATTTGATGCATATGTTGATGAATGAGCACATATTCAAAGTAGGGAAGTTCTGGTGGAAAAGCAGCTTCTTTCTTACAATTGTGTTGTTCAGTCATAAGAATGTGTCCACTATTTATCACGTCGTCTAAGGCGCCACGATTGGCTGTGCAGAGTTGCGTCCCTTGGGCACACCAGAAATCTATGATTGTGGGTTCGAATCCCTATTCACCCCGATTTGTCAACACAATACCCGTGCTCGTGGGTTTCACCGAAGTGGTAAACGTCTGTGACCTGCATCACTTCTGGCTTTCCTCCCACATTAAGCTGTGATAGTAACTTGAATACTGTAAAAAAAAATGGATAAAACCCAACTTAAAACATGTTAGAAGTGAAAGTGTTAGTGTAATATCTGAAGGGCTGCTTGTATCTTCCTGGCTGTAATGACTAGAACATAACACAGCAGCTGTTTTGCACTCTATAGTACCTCATCAGTCGACCAATTTCTACAGGAGAGAACCCACTGTTAAAACCTGCAAGTCAGCACTTCTCATATAGAGGAATTCTGTGACCAGGATTGGTGGATCTAGACAGACATTTCACCCACAATCTTGTGAAGTTCATTGTCATCGCTTGATGTGGCCAAGTTGTTGAAATCGTGTTGTGTTGTTTATGCATTGTAAATATTGGGATAGGAATACAATATTTGAATTCATTTCAAATGTGGAGAGAATGGGTCTATATTAGCATGTTGTTCACTGTTATTTACATGCTTTTCAAGTATTGTTGTACATAGTCTAACATTGTATGTTTCACAAATGTTGCTGTTTGAATTGTATTTTATCAACCCAAGAAGTAAAATATATTTTCTGTTCAGCAGAGTTATGTCACTGCCTGGACTTTCCTGCGTCTTGCCAGTTTTATTTTGAGCGTTCTTTGGTGTTTCACAGCAACATAGCAAGTAATATGTATTAGGCTGTTTAAGAATTTAAGTGTTTCTCAGGCGCTTTTTTCTCTTAAGTTAGGAGGTAGGACTTTTAATTATTTTTATTTTTTAGAAAGTGAAGTGATGCGGGAGGAACAAGATTTATCAAGATCAAGAGGACCAACAAACACAACTGCGTACTCAATTAACTGTGCTTGTTACCACAATGTCTGTTGTCATTCATGGATAACAGTCTGCTTCATATGAAATTAGAATAAGCTTTATTGGCAATAAAAATTACCTGCGTAGGATTTAAATGATGCGCAGAAGCCTGAGAAACGTTTCCTTTTTCTTTTTGCCTTATGATTATCTTTAAGGGGATTACGTGGTGGAGCTTAGTGAGATTAGAATACAATTTGAATATGTACTACTCAAAAGAAGTTAAGGAACACTTGATTCTTTCACAGTACAATAGTTAATCTATCATGGCTACAACAGTAATAGGAAAGAATCGGTTGTTGTGTAAGCGCTTTTGAGCAGTATACAATTTATACAGACGAAATTTTCATCTCATTCCTTGTTTGAATGTGAGGAGAGGAATTGATATTTGCAAAGCTAATTGATCGTGAGTGTTTGTGTGATGGAGTGAGGGTCATTATTGAGGACATGTTTTCCATACAAGAGTAGGAAAGTGTAAGTCAAATGACTACAAGTGATGAATTCCATGTTAAATTGTCCTGCATATATATAGCTTGACTCTCAGGGTGTGGGTAATGCTGACTATGGAATGACAATTGTATTTTTGACAAATCATCTTGTTTGGGAGCTTTTGGGGCATATGAGAGTTGCTTCCCATTGTCATGCCAGGATTTGCTGATCGAGTCCCTTAGTCATGCCGGATCGCGAACAGATCCCTGGCCTGTCGGCCTCATACTCATAGGTCATCAAAGTGGTCGATGTGTGAAACCTGCATCACTTGGGGCTCCCCTTACTTTAAGCTGACATGCCGTGATATATGAAGTACTGTTCAAAGTGGAATTACACCCAACTCCCTCAACATGAGAGGTGATTGAGGTCATGATGAAAATTTGAAATTGTAAAAAATAATTCTTTTGATGCAGATATGTAGCTTTGGCAGTTCTTTCAAAACAGTAAACATGTATTTTCTGAATATATTCCCAGACAGTTAATCTGATAGGTTCATGTATTAGCTTGCATTTGTCATTTTTGGAAACGATTCACGATTTTAACATTCTGAGTTAGAAAATTCCAAGTTTTCAACCCACTTACATAGTTACATCTAGTTTGTAATTGAATTTAGATTTGCATCTATGTTGCTTGAGCAATGAAATATTCAGAATATATCTTTTGGTGTCTTTGTGTTTGAGATAATTACTTCCTCTTTCCTTTGTTTCACAGTGTAATAGCTCCACTTCATGTTTTAGTGGGTTTCCTTAGGCATGAGAGGGAAGAAAATAAATGTGTATGTTCACATTGTGAGTAGAAGAATGGGAGAATTCAGTTTGCATCCTATTGGTCAACTGATAAAACAGCAAGTGTTATGAGGAAAGGATGTTCATTGAGAAAGCCTCATTGTCAAATGTCATCTTCCTGAGGCAAGGGAGTTAACTGACTTTAAAGATCCAGTTTCCATCCATGCCTAACTAGGCTGGAATTATGGAGTTATGATTTGACTGGAGTAACGAGTCTATGCATAGTCCAATCAAAATCCTGTAACGAAAACAACAATCAGTTTTCATAGGAGGGACATAACTACAATCCAACCTCAAAATTCCAGCCTAGTTCGCTGAGGGTAGTAACTGGACTTTTAAAGTCAGCTAATTCCCTTGCCTCAGGAAGATGGTCAAATGTATAGTTATGCTCACAAACGTATTGGTCCAGATTAGCCCTGAAAAGTACACTCATTTTCAGTCACCTGCTTCCTTGCGTATATAATCTTGTAAATATATAAATATTCATTGTTGAACATTTTGGGGATGTAGTTTGCGCTAGCTAATGGTATTCTTGGATATTACATAGTATCCTTGATGTGGATTTTCATTTAATATGCTTCTAAGTTTTAGGTCAATATAATTTTGTTCTTTGTCTCATTTGAAATCAGAAGTTTAAATCTGTCAACTAAGATAATCAGATTTGTGTTGTTGATAGTAAATTGGTAAAGTGGTCATTTGTTCAGGGATACACGTTTCCATGCAAACCATTGTCATCGAGAAAGCAACAGTGAGCAGCCCTGATGGAACAGAGTCCTAATTGAACAGAATTTTAGCAAACCTGTGATGAACTTACATGACAACTTTCTAGGGAAATGGGTGTTGATTAATGGGACCATCCCAACGACAATCGATTATTCAATTCTTTGTTCATTTTTGTAGCCGTCCATAAAAGATATTGTAGGTTGTACCCTTGGTGATTAGCTACCGATTTCTCCTTTAAGAATATAAACATTGTCTTTTCTTCCTTATGAGTCACTCGATATGCAAATTCAAAATGAAAAATTGGAAATGTTTTAAGTGAATTTTTATGTTGATAAGTTGTTGTTTTTTAAGATAAGTTAATTTTGCATACACCTTTTTCTTTTCATGTTAAAATATTGCCAAAAATAGAAGCGTGACATAATGTTGTTTGCACTTGGTGAAAAGAGAATTCAGGTAGAACATATAACACTGAAATACACAGAAGTCTCATTTGTTTATTTTGCAATATGTTTTTCATCAATTTTGATTTTGTTCATGTGTCAGTCTGCATTTATCCATTTGACAAGCGCTATAAATGTTATTGTTCGATTTTATTTACTAGTCAAATAAACTGTGATGTTATTTTGTGTCTGGTTTAGACAGCTGAGAATGTGCAAATTAAGTATCTCTGTATACTGTCAGGTAGGGATATTTGAAATACGAGACACCATTTTCAGATCCCAGCTATGAGGGGAGACACCAGTAAGTAACATTCAGTGCAAACGGTTTTAAACATTGCTTCATGTGAATATTTCATTTCATGTTTTGTCCTACTAAGAGCTCTTCTGTAAGTTTTAGGAAAGACGTGTGAGGGATTGTTTCTATTTATCAAACTTATACACTGGTCAACACATGAAAGAAAACCTACATCCCACTTAATGGACACTACCAGCCTAGTAGTCCTTACAACAATAATGGCCTTGTGGTCAGTCACTGGTCAAGACTTGGGTACAATGTGTGATGGAGTACTCTGATTATGTTTTGTTTCTTGTGTAGAGCTGTAGTTATCTGATCTACCTTGTGTCAATGCCATCCACCTCGGGGCTCCAACTGTACATATATATATATATCATGCATCCTCCTCGATGGGAACTCGCGGAAATATACATATAAAAAAAATATAAATAAAAAATCATTTACTTCAGCCTGTTTTTGTCCTTTTTGTGGTTGCTTTCCAGACTAACAAATCATCCAAAGATGAATGTGACAAAAACCTTCAATTAATTTTGGTCTTCATGAAAACAAAACCAGCACCATCAGTCTCTAATACATAGTATTTTATTTTCATTTGTTACATAGACAGATGTACAGTTATCTCAACAAAACAATATTGAACACTGAGTAACAGATGACCTAGACACTGAGACAGATAGTGATGGTGGTTGACGGGGAGACAACCCCTCGCTTCTCGTGTGCCACACAGGACATCTAGTATACTACTCAACTCTTAACAGGGATTCTTCTTACTCGTCTTCAACTCGGATGACAACAAACTTATGAAAATGTGTCATGTTCTTGAAATGAAACTGAAAATGATTTCGTTCTATGTCAGTATTAAACTCCAAGCCAGCAATCAGTCCTGAACTAGACATCCCTCTGAAAAGTTGAGTGGTATCATTTCACAGAACAGTGTTGTGGGGGTACACTATTGTATCCACAGATATATAATGAATCTGTGGGTACCATTAATTCAAATCTGGGGTTGGTTTGTAGCAAAAAAAATCAAAATTGATTTATTTTTAAGAACACTAAGTTGAAATCGGAATTTCTTTTCCCGAACGATTTTCATTCTGCTGCCTGTGCCTGTGCCTTTACAAGTTAGAGGTAGACTGAAACACAGTCAAATGCTTCTTCTTGTGTTTAATATAAAAGAGACCAGTTCAAAAGTTTGATGTCAGATAAAAATATTAATTCCTTAAATTAAGGGATGGGGTTTTCTATCAGATAAAATCAACTTACCTGATTTCTCTATGTTTTATGTCAGAGCTAAACTAAGCAGAAAATCCCATCCAATATCCACTCTTTCCACAAGTATTGTCATCGCTGGCACTAGTGGTAAGTCCTAGTGTAGAGCATAATACAGAATGGCAGCTTTGATCTTTGAAAAGTCTAGAAGAAATGCCTACAAATGAATTTCAAGACCAACATCCAACTTTTGAACTCGTCCCTAAAAGTACCTACTTTTTTAAAATTACATCTGTTGCACAGTAAGAAGTGAGGGGTTACTTCCCTTGATCGTGTTCTGTTCACCTCTTCTTTCTAAATATCAATATGCTATATGCTGTCATTGAATGAATTTGGATAGAAATGTATCTCACAGGGTACGAACAGCTTGGACAAATTTAAGACTTGTAATAAATTGCTTTATATTCATGAAAATATATTCACCAGATCAGCAAGATAAAAATACTACGTATACAAAAGATAATTAAAGAATACTTAGTATGATCCTCATCTTTTTAAAAAAAATGGTTCATAACATTAAATACATATGAATGAATTGATATAAATTTATTAACATAGGAAGATTTGGAAGTTTGTTTTTCAAAAGGCTCAGATTTCGAAGCAACATGTTTACAATGTTAATCTGCATTTGACATAGATTTTCTTGGTTAACACAATCAGGCATATATTTGGGAAAGTGCCAGACCATCTCAATATTCTAATGCTAAGACTGTCCATAATCCCTTTCTTTAGACAAAGAGTTGTAGCACCAAAATTGGTAAGCCTTGTTTACATGGTTGAGGTTTTGTGATGACAGTCATTCAAACAGACGTCATGACATGCAACAGGAAAGCATATGGTTACATGCAGGAGATGATGTCCTAGTTAAACATACATACACTTTCATCATGTTAGGTCACAAAACATCAGAAACTGGTATATCTTTCTCATCAGGAGACAACACTATGCTACATTAAGATCGGAATATGAATCCCTAATTTCCATTTTTGCACAGTTGGGCATTCTGTATGGTTAGGCCACTGCTGTGTGACCGGTTAGTATAGGTCGGTAGCTTCGGATCAAGGAACATCAAGTGCGCATATTGCCTGCTGTATCCTAGGTAGAACTATACTACACATACTGTGCTGCCTAAACACCAAGGCAGAGGTCATCCCACACAACAACATGCACCGTTTTGTCAAAATAAGTCATTCTTGTTTTAAATTATGTCAATGAAGTGAAAGGTTACCACACTAGGCACTCTCAATGTTTCAATTTATGGAAAAATTTAGCTGAAAAATAAAAATAAAATAAAATAAATGTTTATATTGTGAATTTTGTGAATAGTTACATCATTAACAGTCAATCTGCCTAATTTCTGAAACCGGAATCAACAGATAGAAAAAATAATAATTTGGAAATTCAAAACTTTGCCCTTCTTAATGATCGTATGAAACTGATAGGAATATTGAAATTAGCTCTTTGTTTTGAAGCCAGTACTGAACTGGGGATGCAGACAACTCACTCGAGTCAGGATGGTTCATGTGCATCATTCAGTGCATCCTATCACGTCTTATAATGATATTAACATCAAACAATATTATGAGAACATTATTGAGTTTGGATAGAATAATTCAGATTGACAGTGGGGCATACAAAAATGGATTTTTCTACAAACTGTTATCAAGCGTGATTTCAGCTGTAAGTGAGCTTTGAACAGTATTTCAGTTATATCATGGCATGTCAGATCAATGTGGGTGAAAAGCTCATAGCGATGTACCTAGCTGTTTACCACTTTGAGGAAAGCCACAAGCTTGATGCTGACCATAGATCGCATCCAAGGAGAATCTAGGATTCAGCAGAGATCATCATCAGGGCATATCAGCTATATCCTAACATGGCCAAGGGCCACAACTCTGCAGATTTGTTCATTGATGACAAATTTATACAAACAGAAAATCCAGATCTACGAAGTCCACGGTCAATATTGCTTTTATTCAAATTCATAAAAACATTTACTGAACTCATAAAAAGTCTATAATTGTATATTATTATATTAGGCAAAGTTATCAAACCATGTTGGAAACAATAACGTTGGGAAGTTCCAAAAAATGGAGACATCTGATTGGTTTGGGTTTGGGGAATACAATTTCCAGGTAATTCCCATTTCTGAAGTAAGTGAGTGAGTGAGTTGGGTTTAACGCCCCTTTTAACAGTATTCCAGTTATATCACGGCGTGTCAGCTTAATATGGGAGGAAAGCCCGAAGTGATGCAGGTCTCAGACGTTTACCACTTCGGTGAAACCCACGAGCACGGGTATGGTGCTGATAAACATAATTGGGGCAAATCGGGATTCGAACCCACAATCATAGGTTTCTGGCGTGCCCAAGGGACGCAACTCTGCACAGCGAATCGCGGCGCCTTAGACGACAGGGCCTCCCGTGCCCCCCATTTCTGAAGTAACTGAAGTCAGTTCTTAATTCATCAGACCTGACATTTGAGTAAGTTTGCATTCCTGTCAAATGACATATGACCGGTCAATAAATAGGGCAGAAAATGTCCCAGTATATAATGAAACATTGTCATGGTTCTCCTGGTGATAAAACCAGATGTGACTGTACAAAAGGGGATTGCACCAACAACCTTACAGGAATATACTTAGAAAAGTCGAAATTCCTGTCTCCAAAGAAAGTTCTTCAGTACTGGCAGCACATCTGCTTGATTGAAGGATGGGATTTCACAATTTGTAAATGGGATCAGACACTGGACAGATCATCATTGTGTCTGCTAACTGAATTATGAAATCAAATGAAAAATGGTGACCTTGACGAATCGCCGGAGAAAGGGCAGTTAGCAGCTCTTCCCGATTTGATTAAAAATGTAATCTGATCATCTGCCTGGTAACCATTCCACTCTGTTCTGGAAACAGCCTGATAAATGATTTGGGAATCATATCGTCCAATCACTGATGATAAAATGCACCGATATTCTTCAAATTTGTTTGGCAGTGACGAGTCCAAATTTAATTTGATCAAATTTGATCTTGAAAGAAAAGCATCGATTCAAACTCCTTGACAGAATGGTGCACATCCTTTCACAGACAATTTCACTTTTGCACAAAATTTCAGTTTTGTCACAATCACCTGTGAAACTAATTTCAAGCAACACTGAACATGATGTGCCACACACTTGGAGACAGCTATTATCAGTCAAATATCTAGGCTATTTTGTACATGTGATCAGTAGTAATTTACTGTACAAAATATATATATCATATGTATATTTATTTCAATATATACAGCTACTAGGCCCTGTATTTTGTACATATTGGGATGGTCTTCAAAAATTCAAGCATTCATTAGAAAAAAATTCAAGTTGCTCACTCAACTTTTTGCACCATATAAAACCACTGCTGCATCTAACACATGAACACAGCAGAGGACTTCCACCAGCTAATGGTTACAGTACAAACCACCAATCATTAACTCTCTACAGAACATATGTCAGCCATCATTCAGGATTATTAGTAATTCATTAGCTATTTCTTAGGGAGATAAAAATAAAAATGAGTAGTGAAAAATCATATCAAGTTTCCCAATGAAGTAATTCTATTCCTTTCAAATAGGTTTTTAAAATATCTCAATTTACAAAAAATGCTGGTTACATAATTTCTTTCTGCAGATGTATTTTTCCATCTCTAAGGTAGTGTATTAATCATGTATGACCATATTTGGCTAATACTACCCAGTCGAGTCAAAGAGATGGATGATGAGCTGGGATGAACTACCATTTTAAGATGAGTTCATAATCTACCCAGATTTTTGCAAACAATGTATTTAAGGTTTACTCTTTAGTATAAAATCTTGTTGAGCGTATAAAATTACATTCCTTCATAATTTCTGTTATTTTAGCTCAAAGTTTGATTAAAAACTTTCTCCTGAATTTCCGATAGAAAGTTTCAACTTTGAAAATGTTTCAATGTCTGGATGATGTTCTTTACGACTATCACACAAACATGTGGTCTGTTCAAAATATTCAGTGACAAGCATGAAAGGAAATTGCTAAATGTCATATCACTTCTAATGTATCACTGATTCTTTTGAACATTTCAAAGATGATGACAATTTATTTCCACATTTCAGCAAAGCACTGATGTCATTCCACTAAACAAATTGCAAGAAAATCATAAATGAAAGAATAAAGTCATAATAATAAATCAATAACCAAATAGAAATGTCTGCCATATTTGCTATTGACGATAATTTGTATTATTATAAAATGTATTACCCTCGCCAAATGATGTCCAGATTTTGCAGACACATCCATTCTTCATAACCCTTCCTTTAAGGTGGTAAATCCAATTTTACTTAGAAACAGAAATTAAATACGGTAACTGCCCATTTGTAATTGTGACCCTCAAAATTCAATAATATTTCTCATCCTCCTCCCCTGAAAAGTGTCAAGTTTTTTAAGAACTTCCCCTGATTTCATCAAAATAAATATACTCAAATACTACAGGCTATCGTCATGTTTCAAAACCCTATTTGTTTATACACTACAAAAGTAAATATGCTATTTCCCTCAAACCCACTCATAATGTATAATATATGATTACATAGCAAACTACAAATATCATTTACTATATTAGTGAGCTATGAACTAAATATATTGCTATTTACACCGTATAACATGAAATAAAAATATCATGCCCAAACACCATATAAATTATATATAAAAGTCACATTCTTTTTATAGCCCTTGTACTGATCATAAGCTATCACACATTAAAGTTATTTTGGCATACTAAAAGCAGAAAATACAGTTTACACACTCCTAACATCAGATCAATCTTTTGGAAGGTTTCCAGTACATATTATTTCACGAAATACTGGGCCCACTTGCACAAAGCGATCTTAGCGCTAAGATGATCTTAACTCCCATACTTTAACATAGGCTTACGATAGTCTTAGTGCTAAGATCGTTTCTTGCAAGTGGGCCCTGGATTCTTGTAATATTTTTCAACAACTTACGGAAATGATGGATGTTCTTCATATATTGTGTAAGAGGAAAATGAAGGTCAGGTCACAGAGACTCAACACAAAAGATGGTATCAGTCTGACATGTGAATTAATAATTCATTCAAAAACTGAACAAATGTTAAGTTTTAAAACATTGGTTAGGAAAATATTACATGTATATGTAGCAATAAATGACAAATGATAAAAATATATTAGCCGTTATTTACATATTTTAAAAGGCATTCCAATCAATATTTCAATTACAGAAGAATTAATATTATTAAAACTGGCATCATAAGAGAAGACGGAAAACAAACTGCTAAAATTAATCGGTCAGTGACCAAACTAGACAATCATACCATCTTTGAAACCCAGAAGTGCATGTTCCTTACACCTCCCTTAAGAATAGCATTGGTTACACGAACATGTGATTAACAATGTCCTGTTGTAACCAGTTAGACGATTGACTGAGTGTTTAAATTCTGCTCTGAAAAATATTTGGCTTGTCAGTCCAAAAATATCCTGAAACCCAGGATAATTAGAATGAAAGGATAACAATCAGGTTAAAACAGGGATAACTGATCGTATGAGCAGCAGATCCTGGCACAGCTAAGGCATGCAACTCTGCATACAATTTTTGGTGCTTGGCTTGCTGTCCCACATGTGCTCGCAAGAAGCTTTAGAATATATCAGTTATTTTTTTATAGTATGTCATAAAGGTAGTTGAAGACACCTGTATGACGATGTAGCAGTCTAAGTATTTGTGAGTGAGTGAGTGAGTATGGTTTTACACTGCTTTTAGCAATATTCCAGCAATATCGCAGTAGGGGACATCAGAAATGGGCTTCACACATTGTACCCATATCGGGAATTGAACCCGGGTCTTCGGCTTGGCGGGCGAATGCTTTAACCACTAGGCTACCTGACAGCCCCCTAAGGATTTGTGATGCTCTTCAAAAATATAAAAAATACTGTGAATCTGTATCTGTGATTAGTGTTTTTATCCATTATTGATTTTAAAAATTTGAATCACAAAAAAAAAGGATTTGTAAAACTCAATATGACCTGCCACAGATTTCACAGTTTAAAACAACCACAGTATTTCAATGTTATCGACAGGCTGTCCCTGGGAGAGTGAGATGTGAAACATATGCACCTGGGTTTCAAGGTCAGACTTCATTAATAAAACAAAATAAGAACATAAAATACAATATGTAAAAAGGTCATGGGCAAAATATAAAAATTGTTGAATGTTTGTCTTTGGATTTCCGTTCCTCTTCACGGGAAGAATATATTTCCAAACTCTGAAGATGCATAACAGCGCATGACAATACCTGCATCTCCTATAATATTCACATCAACACAGACTCTTCCACAAAAACCACATCCTCTTGGTCTCCATCAAGAGATAATAAAAAGCTTGAAGGGAAATATGCCAGTTGACCACATTTCAATGTTGTCTCGCTATTGAGCTCAGGAAATTTGCATTTATCAATTACAATGTCATGTTATTGTAAGTATCCACTGGGTAAATCGATTTTGGAATGTAATAATCAATAGATCCATAGCAATTGATTGGGCTTCCAGTAAAGCATTTGATTTGTTTCATACAAAATCCACACATACTGTAACAATGAACCAGTATGTCGCTCAACACTGACACATTCCAGGTGGCATGTCGACATGCAACTCTTCCCCATCCTTCACCATGGACAGAATACAGAGGACCTTACAGGACAAAAATAGGATGATCCAATTGTGAAATCATGTTCAAGGCTGCTGGTAATGAGAGTTGTCTCCCCTCCACTAAGTGCACAACTAGGACTATATCACAATGGTAGGTGGTACTCACAGTTCATCAACACAATTCACAGTACATAGCCACACCAACATGACTAAATCTGCTATGGTTTCCTAGTGATTAATCCTAGTATGGTATCTCCATCAGCCTTCCAAAGGAAACACACAATCTTGGAACCACCAGCATCAAATCCCCATGGAGTTACCCCCAATGTCTACAATGCTGCATTTCCTTTGGCAAATCAATCCTGCAAGAGTCACCTCCCTTTGACAAGTGTGATTGGAGTGATCTCCCTTTGTGTGCATTACATTCAGAGTGATCTCCCTTTTGTCACCAAGCCTCCTGCAAGATTTATCTCCTCTTGACGATGAACACTGCATCAATCTTTGAGGAGGTGCCACTGCGCCACCTGCTGGCGAGGTTTGGAAACCATATCATTCCAGTGCCTTGTCTCCATCGGACCGCTGTGAGCTCCCAAAATGACTTTGCCGATCAGTTCATTTCGACCCACCTTGTCGAAATCCATCACAGACACTTCCAGACACGTCTCACGCATTTTCTCCCATGGAATGTCAAATATAAAAGACTCGTTATATACAGGGTTGAGGGAGCGTTTCTTGATGATGGTCTTCTTCTTCTCCACCTTTGTCCCCCCTTGCATCAGCCAGATCTTCACATATGGATCTGCAGAGAGAAAAGAGACAACTACTGAGGAATCAAAACAAATGGAGAAAGTGGTACCACTTTGGGTTGAAGAAATTTTCAAAACTTAAGATTGATAATGATTTATTGAACTTCAGTAAACTAGTTATAATGAACTCAAAGGGACCACTAATTTTAGTTTGCTATAACTGTAGTTCAATATAGGCATATATAGCATATATGCAACAAATGTACGGGACCAAAAAACAGTTTGTTATATCCGTCAGTTCCTTATAAGGGTGTTCGTTATAAACAAAGTTTACTGAATTGATATATATATACCAATTGTTCACAGCCCTATGGTAATACATTATTGTCAAGTCAAAATATCAACAGCTGACATCGATACCACACTAGGCTATTATTCATTTCCTTGGATGATTCATGTCATTGTTACCAATGGAGTAGATCGATGCTGATGATATCAATGTGTGAAGCCAATTTCTGGTGTCCCCTGCCACGATATTGCTGGAATATTGCTAAAAGTGGCGTAAAACCATACTCACTCACTCAATCATACTGTAACCTAAAAGTATATACACGCACTTCAAATTGTTTTGACAAACATGTATATGCAAGATATCATATATGCAATATGTAATACATACTGGTCTGGGATGTTTAGTTTATTAAAGTCATTTTCAGTAGTATGCCCTTGACTGAAGCTATTCCCACTAGCATATTGCTTGTAACAGACATTTATCATTTTAACCAAATTATTCTCCAATACACTTTTATCAGGCCAACCGAGCTGCAGCAAATTTCCCTTGTTCACACGTAATTATATTCTTACCATGTTACCAACAGACAGAGATGTAACAATGTTTAAAACAGATAGCAGCTCTGGCCCCTCCTCATCAAATGCAAGGAACTTGGGAATATAGTTGGCAAAACCTTGCATGGCCATTAATCTTACATAATCTGTATCATGGGGCTTCAGTAGGGCATGAATAGATAAAAGGATAGATGCATGTCCTGATAGATAGATCTATGCACAGTTACAAACAACTCACTACGCATTGCCATACACATATAAAACCAGTCTATAAAACGTAAAAAAGACTTTTGAAAATCGTATCGATTCTCATGGAAGCAGCTTTGACAATTTGACAATTTTCAATAAAAACTTCTCAAGACAAAAGAAGAATAATTTTGCAGGAAAATTACATCCTGCCTAACATTCAAGTTTAAATTGAATCAGCGTCCTTTGCTGATGGCTATGTTTTCAATTTAATACAATCAGGCCTGAATGCAGAAGTAGTCAGACATTGCATGTGTTGTTCTATCAGCTCCTTTTGCCTCGCACGGAAGTCTTACAACATCATTGTCCTATACGAGCTGGATTGTACAACCGATATGATATGATGTCAGTGTGGCAATATTCAAAGGAATGTTTTGATTAGATCTTCAGAAAAATCACTGATCATCCATCATACAAGGCTTCAAAGGCTTGTAACATGGATTCATCAATGTCTGTTAATATCATTAAATGGTCCTACATTAGAGATCAATGTTTTCGGTTTTTCTTCCTCCAAAAGAAAAGTTGCAATCTTTATGAAATGATATGTCTTGAATAAAAAGCTGAGCCTTGTAAGCCATCTAGGTTCGATTTTTTGTTTGCCGTGTAACACTGCACAGCGATATTCCAGCTATATAATTGCAGCCTGTATATGATTAATTCTGGGCCAAACAATTCAGTGATTCCTACCATGAGTAAAGGTCCACACTGTATGAGAAGGATGACATGATGACGCCAAACAATTTGAGAGAAAAATAATTGATATTTGTCTCAATTTAATTTCTTTTTTTCTAAAAAGGACAAAATAATTACTGAGTCTAGATGTAGCATGATATTAGTATCTAGTTACGTTTTTAGATTTATATCACGATCGATCAATCACACTGTCAGTTAATAATGCCAGTTAATTAAAGATTAACTTAATTAACCCATAGGAATATGTACCTGTACACACACAAAGTAATTTATATTGACCAGTGTATCCTTTAGCCTCTAAGATACATTGGTCAATAATAATAAATAGTTTCACAATTACCAATATCACTTTGGGTAAAGATCATGTCCGATAAATGAAAACAGATATTGGAAATGAATGATCTGAAGCTTGACCTTTTGATGACGTGTTCAATCCGGCAAATCTTCAAGGTTGACGCAGTCTTGGTGAGATTTTGGTTTAAATATGCCAAAGAAATATGAAGTGTGTTTATCCTGACGCAACATAATTGCCCCTAATTTCATGAAAATATAGTTGTTTTTCTGTCTGTGGTAGTCTATTATTGGTCTGACTACTTCCCTTCATACATTTTCAAGAAATGTTCGCGTTGTTCAATTTCCAAGATATGTGTACCATATTTGGAAGGGCTATTACATTTTTATTACGATTTATCATTGAAAGTGCCTTGTCGTTGTTGACATTTCTGACCTTGATGTTTATTAATCTCGTCGGTTGATTTTTACCATTGTATGCAAATTAAGTTGCCAATCAGAGACGCTAGCTAACTATTACCAATCAATTTGTGTAAAATAATCACATGCTACACTTTCGTGAAATTTGACTAAGCTCGATCTGATAATATTTTTGTGCAGACGGGTCACGATGTCAGATAACTGGCAAATTAACATGAAATTTACTTCAACTTTGACCTTGAAACCATATCCAAAACCCTGACCATGTAACTCGTTATTTCGACTACCGAATCAACCAATCGCGTCTTGTGTTGTTTCTGGAGATGGTGCTTGCTGGTCATATTTTGTTTTTATTTCCGAGAGTTTAATGACACAGCTTTGAGGTATACCAACATTTTAGCATAGTTTCTGATAAATATGATAACCAATAAAGTCATGTACGTATAACTGGGCCAGACATATGCGTCTTAGTTTGTATTAAAACATGCAGCAATAAACACACAAGTACATGCAGTGATAAGTATTAGCTGATTATTCATTTAAAGTTCAACCCTTCAGGCACCTGTAGGAACAATCTGAGGTTTCATTACAGTTTACATTTTTAAATCGATCACCATATGGATTAAATTACCAGTTGATCACTACACAGAGGTCAATCCCAGTCAAATGGGCCCTCTTAGTGGGTGACCTTGATAAGGTTTGCTAAGTTTGGGAGGTTAGACATATATGCAGCACAATACCCAACCTCATGGGTTTCACCAAACTAGTAAATGTCTGAGACCTGCATCACTTCGGGCTTTCATCCCACATTAAGCTGACATGCCGTGATATAACTTGAATACTGTTAAAAGCTGTGTTAAGCCCTGACTCACTCATATAGGGAGGTCATGTATCAATACAAATTGATACCAGTACGTATCAGTAAGACTATGGAAAACAGCTTGAAAAGGAATGAAAAAATTCAGTCTGCTGTCAGTAAGCAGAAGAGTTCAAAAACCACTGTTACTGTCCTCACATTTATTTAACATACTGTGTTCATTCTTTCTTCATGAAAGGTGTCAATTTTTATGTATCATTTATTTATCTCCTGAGTGAGTGAGTGAGTGAGTGAGTTGGGTTTTAACGCCGCTTTTAACAGTATTCCAGTTGTATCGCAGCGTGTCACGTTTCCACTTCGGTGAAACCAACGAGCACGGGTATGGTGCTGACAAACCTAGAAACATGATCAGGGCGAACCAGGATTCGAACCCCAAATCATAGGATTCTGGCATGTCCAAGGGACGCAACTCTGCACAGTGAATCGTGGCGCCTTAGACGATTGGGCCACCCGTGCCCCCTGTTTATCTCCTGACTTTCTTATCGAGATACGTATTGCATCATTATGAAGTATATCATTACAGCAATAGAAACAATCCCTTGCAATCCCTTGTGTCCACTTATATACCCAGGATATCATAACACTGCAGAGTCACCCAAAGAGTATATCTTGAGACTGCTTGAAGGAGTTAGATTATATAACCTCTCTGATCATGAGGGCAAGTCGGCAGATTCAGACCAGAATTCAATTCCAGAATGGCACCGTTACTAAACAACCTCTACCTAAAGGCCATCAGAGAGAGTCAGTATTATAACAAGGTCAAAGATGTATTTTAAAGCACCTTTTTACCCAAAACATTGGCTTAAACTTTCATAAGAAAATATTAAAAGCTCACAATTCTGATCCATTTAATCAAAAGTATAAAGTCCTACTCCAATAACTAAATCTATCAAATATGAAAATTTCAGAAACCTTCTTTAAGACAAAACCTATGCAAGAATGTCCATGTATTTTGAAATACCAAAACATGCCTAGAATTCATTCCAGCGAAAACATTTACACAATTCTTTGGCTTAATGGATTTTAAATTCCATCACCAAAGTCTAATGTCCGCATAACTCCCCATCTATGAGAACGCTTAGCCATAAAACAAAGAGAAGCAATCAAAAAGATGGAAAAAGAGTTTAATATCAGTAAAGAACAAGACCAGTATGAATCATGGGAAATCTAGCGTAGATTTTATTGACTGTTTCTAATAAGATATGCTGAAGATGGGCCTGATCAAAGAAAAGATCTCATCCCCTATTCCTTTTGTAGGACAAAGTCTCATCAGCTGTGTATGAAAAGTAAATATTTTCATTTTTTCTGTGGTTGCCATCAGCTCATATAGACAGTACATCCTGCATTATTAAGTTTACGTGGTTCGAATATTCAAAACCAGAATGGTGACAGAAGAAAGTGATGATCTTGCAGAGAAATCTGCTTGAGAAGAAAATATATGCATGAGATTTTCAAATATTCATGTAAAGAAAAAGAAAATTTACTGAAGAGGTCTACTTGGTTGAGACTGAAACGATAAAAGTATTTGTTGTGCTAGTTTGGCCACGCACAAAAAGCGAACTCTGTCTTTCAAAAATGGGACTTTGAATTCATGTTGAAGTAAATGAGTGAGTGAGTTTGTTTAACGCCGCTTTTAACAGTATTTAACAGCAATTATATCACGGCATGTCAGCTTAATGTGGGAGGAAAGCCCGAAGTGATGCAGGTCTCAGATGTTTACCACTTCGGTGAAACCCACAAGGATGGGTTTAGTGCTGACAAACCTAGAAACATAATCCGGGCAAACCGGGATTCTAACCCACAATCATAGGTTTCTGGCTTGCCCAAGGGATGCAACTCTGCACAGCGAATCACCCCCGAATTCATGTTGAGAGATCAAAGTTTGCTATAATACACATGTACAGTAACTATGAACAAATTGTACGCTCATCATGTGCCCATCACGTGCTCTCATGTGTTCATAATAACTAACTTAGAAACTCAATAAATGCTACATTTTAAGCTATTTTAAAATCAGCAACAAACCTTAATTATTTATACTCGAAGAGTTAATGGACTTTAAAAGTAGATACTAGAAGGTTAATGTAAATAGCTTTTAACTTTCAGACAGACAAAAATGGTCGCCATCTGAGTTAGTTAACAACGTGGGTGTAATGTACTGAATAACCAATGACATACCTTTAACCTTTAACACATAAAAAAGTAACATTTCCCAGAAGGAAAATTCAATTTATTGACCCACATTCACCTTCGTCTTTTGCCCCTAATCCTTACAGCCCAAAAGAGAAGTTGAATTCCTTCCCGTTTGCTTAAAGATCAATAAAGGTAACCCCCGGAGGACTTCACGTCACTACGGAGAAGCTGGAAAACTTATCACTACCATCCAACTGAGAGGAAAATTGGAATCTGGCTCGCCAATTAACAGATATTCAGGGTGGTATGCTCGTAAATACCGCCTGCTATTCCGAGCATATAAACATGCCAGTTTACTTGTTGTACCGGTTCCTGGTCAGACGATTGTATTCAAATACAACCAGGAGAAAGCTCCTCCTTATGAAAGCAGTGCTTATGTGGAATCGGACAACTTTTCTCATTATGGGGATCATATCGATCTTAGGGCAAATCGTTCTATGGTATTAACTGGAAAAAGATATTGTGTTTGTGTTTGGATATTTGTTTGATATTGTTTGATCTGCTGGGTCAATATTGATCTGATATTGTTTATATTCAGGTTATTTTGTCTTGGAGGCATTCACATGCGACACACTGCTCCACATCAACGCTGTCAGGGTCACGGGCAGAAATTGATCGGCCGTTTTCAATTTCATCCTTATTGATTTGGCTGGATATGTAGGGCAAGTTTAGGAGGTCAGGTCTGATGTGTGCATGTTCAAACATGTATTGAAGTTTAGCATAGTATGACCGCAGTAGACAATGGAAAATTAAAACACATCCAAGCACAATCTCATTAAAATCAGAACTCAGTTCTTGCTGCCACTAAACAAAGATTTGATGACATCCCATTATGGGTCACGTAAGACCGACCTTTCACGAATTTTGACCGACCAATGGAATGACTGACAAGAAGCCAATATTAGCCAATCAGAAGGTAGCTTTCTCGTGCTTTACCGCACTAGTTTCAATCTGGCGACTACACTTTTAAACATATTTAAACATCTCAATTCAAAATTTGAAAACAGAATAACAAACATTCTGGAACGGGTAAAAGATGGCCTAGATTGTGTGGAGTCAGTCATAAAACCCGTAACTGTGTTACCCAATGTTAAACTTTTGAGGTCACATGATCAGAAATTACGTTCCGACTGCCACTTTCATGACCTGGTAAGCGACAGACTGATTGGTCAGATGAAAGGTCGTTCTGACATGACCCGTAATGGGATGTCTTCAGATCTTTGTGTAGCGATGACAAGAACTAAGATCTGATTTTAATGAGATTGCATCCAAGCATTTCTGATCTTGAGATCATATGACCATGTTACTCTATTAGTTCTGTTGAAGATATGAATGTGAGGGAGTCTGGCTACATCACATCTGCATAAAGCAAGAATGACCGTTATAAAAGTAGCAGTTTGAGGTTCAAACCAGGTCATGTACTTGCAATAATCATTGGACCATCTAACCCCTTCTAAAATCAAAACCAAATCAAAACAACAACGTAAATATAATCATGTGGTTATTATTTGGGTGCATTATACCTATTATCTGAGTCCCATGGAGCAAGTCCTATCTCATTAAAATCAGATCTTAGTTCTAACTAAGCTAAACAAAGATCTGAGGACATCCCATTAAGGGTCACGTCAGAACGACCTTTCATCCAACCAATCAGAGTGTCACTTACCAGATCATGAAAGTGACAGTCGGTATGTGTTTTCTAATCACGCAACCACGAAATATTTCACACGGGGTATTCCGAACGACAGTTACAGATTTTATGATTATATCCATACAATCTAGGCCATCTATAAGCCATTCCAGAATGTTCTTCTTATCAGTTTTAATTTTTTTAATCGAGAATATGTCAAAATATGTTTCGAAGCGTAGTCACCAGTTTGAAACTAGTGTCGTAAAGCTCGAGAAAGCTGCTTTCTCATTGGCTAATTTCCATTTCTTGTCAGTCATTTCATTGGTCGGTCAAAATTCGCGAAAGATTGTTCTGACGTGACCCATAATGGGATGTCCTCAGATCTTTGTTTAGCGGTAGCAAAAACTAAGATCCGATTTTAATGAGATTCGGAGCAAGTCCAGCTGTTCTGATCATAATTACTATGAGCGAGTGAGGGACAGTGTAGAAATTAATATATTATCAGATACAATTTATATGGGTTTTTTTTCTCAAATATTTCATCTACTTAGTAATTTATGCAAACTCTTTAGTTATAGCACAGAATATTTAAATTAATACTCAAGTGAGTGAGTGAGCGAGCGAGCGAGCGAATTGGGTTAAACGCCGCTTTTAACAGTATTCCAGTTATATCATCGCGTGTCAGCTTAATGTGGGAGGAGAGCCCGAAGCGATGCTGGTCTCAGATGTTTACCACTTCGGTGAAACCCATGAGCATCGGTATAGCGCTGACCAACCTAGAAACATAATCAGGGCAACCCGGGATTTGAACCGACATCATAGGTTTCTGGCGTGCCCAAGGGACGCAACTCTGCACAGCGAATCGCAGCGCCTTAGATGACTGGGCCACCCATGCCCCCAGTTAGACAAGAAAACGCACAATGGTAATTGGACCTGGCAATGCTACAACAATTTTATAAACATTGAAAAATGCATTACAAACTCCCACTTTTTTCAAATAGGCATTCTCTTAGCCAGGCTATTCTGCCCACTGGAGGCTATTCAGATATTGCTGATGTGTATGGCCATGGGGAAACCAGACCACAGAAATTCTGCAACTGCTAAAACTTAATCAACCAAGAGAGACGTTGTAATGAGAGCAGAGCAGACAACAATGAACAACTCTTTAACCCTAATTCCTACAGCAGCCTCTTTCTACAAACCAACAATGATGTTGAATGCCACATCCTTCATCAAACTGTCAATCAACATGTTCTCTATGGATGATGATGAATGACCTTGGGAGAACGTACCCAATCATTATAATCATGTTCTTGAGGTAATAGAGAACCAATTTCGTTTTCAATACAGGTGGCCTTGTCAAACTTGTGAAACACTTTCTCACGATCATCTATCCATGCTTTGCCTCTTCATCAATGTGTAGCATCTATAGCTGATTGTGAGAGTATCGTCCATGAAGAATGATAAAAAATTGTAATCAGCTGAATTTTCATGTGACATTTCCTCTAATAGGCAAAAAATGTTTAATAGATTCAGGTTCTGACGGTTTGAGAGAACTGCCCCAATGACTTTTAGCCCATTGTTTCATCAATCATTATCACAACTTGCTAATTATTCCCCTAGTCTGTTTCTTCCCTGACTGATAACCCATCAGAGATGATTACAGATCAGGCCCACAATGTCCAACATTCCTCATCGCTAAGGGTTCAGCACTGACATTATGGGAATGAGAAAATGAACAAAAAATATATATGAATAACTTTAAAGATAGAGGATATGTATTTGTCCTGTTTTTATATATATTTTTGAATATAATAGATCATGCTGAAAACTTAAAAAGTAGAATCCATATATGTAAAAGACTCCAAATTTGAATGAGAATGAGAAAACGAACAAAAAACATACACGAACAATTTTAAATTAACGATAAAATCTCAGTAGCTCACCTGATGATTTTCATATATTCAAACATTACATATCACTTTGTATATTATTTGACATTAGAGTCCATATATGCCCATAGAAAACCAACATGTTTCGACATATATCACCTACACATTGTATGCACACCAAACACACATTCATAAACTAATAAATAGTGCTAGCCAACTGAGATACCATGCCACAGTTTAACATGAATACCCCCAAACCAGACAAAAAAGCAACAGAATCATTTCATTCATTTCAGGATTTTTGTCTCATTCTATCTTCCTCAATAACATATTTAGAAATGTACAAAAATCCTTCTGCCCATTAAATTCCATTTACTATCAAAACATTTAGCGGTAAATTTTATTCACCTTGTTTGTGATAGTCTAGTGGTAAAGCGTCTGGCGGTCGGCATTAAGGGGCTGAAACAAGGACTGGTCAGCTCGGAGTCAGTATACTGTGTCGGATTGGGATATTCATGTTAACCTGCGGCATGGTACCTCAGTGGGCCAGCACTATCAATCGGCATCAGTCTGGACTTGTACAAGCAGCCACACACACACACACACGTGCATGCACATCACTATATAAGTGCAATAATCAATAAACCCCATTTCACCTCACCTTGTTTGTTTTCTACCAATTAAAACATTGTCCAGGTAAGCATTTTCTAAGAATGATATCTAAAACCTGGTTCAGCGTGTTTGTATCACTATTCACTATCAGCCTTATCTGCAGTTCTCCAGTGCATCATACATTATGTCCTTATTGACAGTGTATTAGAAAGGGTCTGGACTGGTCAGCCCTAGTGTCTGTCCACCTACTGACCTGAACTCCCCGTGATGTCCTTGATCTTCAGGTCCCTGGCCTTCATGATGACGATGGTGAGGCGGCCGATGTTTGGCTGGTAACAGAGGGACACCAGCAGCTCACCCAGCTTGCCCTGACAACAAACACAGAAATGTCAGTGACATTCCCAGATAAACACAGTCACATCAGTGCCTTTCTCAGATTAACACAGTCACATCAGTGCCTTTCTCAGATAAACACAGTCACATCAGTGCCATCCTCAGACAAACACAGTCATGTCAGTGCCATCCTCAGACAAACACAACCACATCAGTGTCATCCTCAGACAAACACAACCACATCAATGCCATTCTTAGATAAACACAGTCACGTCAGTGCCATCCTCAGACAAACACAGTCATGTCAGTGCCATCCTCAGACAAACACAGTGACGTCAATGCCATTCTCAGATAAACACAGTCATGTCAGTGCCATCCTCAGACAAACACAACCACATCAGTGTCATCCTCAGACAAACACAGTCATGTCAGTGCCATCCTCAGACAAACACAGACATGTCAGTGCCATCCTCAGACAAACACAGACATGTCAGTGCCATCCTCAGACAAACACAACCACATCAGTGTCATCCTCAGACAAACACAACCACATCAATGCCATTCTTAGATAAACACAGTCACGTCAGTGCCATCCTCAGACAAACACAGTCATGTCAGTGCCATCCTCAGACAAACACAGTGACGTCAATGCCATTCTCAGATAAACACAGTCATGTCAGTGCCATCCTCAGACAAACACAACCACATCAGTGTCATCCTCAGACAAACACAGTCATGTCAGTGCCATCCTCAGACAAACACAGACATGTCAGTGCCATCCTCAGACAAACACAGTCATGTCAGTGCCATCTTCAGACAAACACAGACATGTCAGTGCCATCCTCAGACAAACACAGTCACGTCAGTGCCATCCTCAGACAAACACAGTCACGTCAGAGCCATCCTCAGATAAACACAACCACATCAGTGCCATTCTGAGATAAACATCATATCCACACAAGTGCTTTCCGGTCATTGAACAGAAAGCACTGCAATATTAAAAAAATGTTTGCTACATTGTACAAACAACACACTGCTGGCTATCTACATAAACCCATCATCATTAGGGGTTTACAAAGAAAACATCAATACCAGTAGTTTTGGCCCATAACAGACAGCTCCCATTATCAAATCCTAACATCTCTTTGAAACCCTTTCCTCTGACAGGGCATTGACATTTCATAATTCTTTCCAGCTTAGGACTCAAACTGTCAAAATCATTTGTGAAGAACAGTTTCATCACAAGATCAGAATTCTTTTTCATCACTGAATATTCAATATATTTTTTTCAATATATTCTAATCTTTTATTTCTGTGACTAAGCCAGTGAGTGCAGTTAAACTGTGCACTAACAATCTTCCAGCTAATTGCATTTTCCGATTTTAATGTAGCATGGTCACCATCAATATAGAGCAAATGTTGACTGGGAACTGAACTTCCGTCATTTGCTTTTTAGTATCTGGAAGTAGATGAGAATACGATGTAGCTCTTTAATAGATTTTCTCATCTTTTTTTCACAGCTGCTTCTGCAGCTCTCTGTTACTTTATGTCAACACTTTTCCAAAGCATATGCTGGAGTCCGAAGCTTTAATGAGGTTGACATACTTCAAGGAGAATGATAGAAAAATGCAATAATTGACTGAGCTAAAGATAAAGTCATCAGAAACATGTACCCCATTTTTTAATGCAAAAGAATTTTTATTTATGTTATAATCGTGAAAACAGTTTCTGTTTTCCCAACTTTGGCCATTATGCATATTCCGCTAACAAGTCTGTGACCTTTTACAATCTTGACGTCATATAGGACTAAGGTTGGCCATATTGCATAAGACCAAGCGCTACAGTCATGTAAACCAATTTTTTTCTGTCACTTTTGTAATTGATAAGTTGGTTTATTGTGTTGCCTGCGGTTGCACAACGTTATCCTACAATGGAAATAGCCACCATTTGTTCCGCTATCTAAGCGAAAGGACAGATTTAGGCAGGAGAAATGTTTGGATTCATTGGTGCCAACGTGGGGAGAAAAACCGGAAGTCAAGCAAGTATGCAGTGCTATGATTCGCCTTGCACACTTGGGGTATGAACATCCAAAAGCTGGGCTGAAGAAGAATGCGGTCCCCACGAAATACAGGACAAAAAGTTTTGTCGATAGTTTGCCTTGTGTTACAAGAGGTGCATTTAGGAAACAACAAACTTACACGACTTACAAACACATCTTGTGTGTTATGTTTAACACGATATACCTACATATCATCTTCATTGTGTGATATGTAAAAGAGCTGTTTGCATGAAATAATCTCATAACATCCCCAAGCATGGAAACAGTTTTCGGGAAAATGGATGCAGTTATAATACAAACATGCTAGCACATAATTTAGGGAACGAATGTGTGTTTATAAGCCAATTATTAGTCAATTAATTGTTACATGTTTTTCTTGCATGTCAACATGATGAATATACTCCCAAAAGGGGGATGAACGCCCTTGCATCTTTCTCTGGCTCTGCATATGACCACCAAATATAGAATGAGCTATTGAAATCACATCGCAGGATTAAGTCATGTATGAAAATTTTGTAGAATGAATTCTTGAATGATCTTTAGTACTGGGCAGCTATGTACTCCATGATGACTTAGTAAATAATCTTCAAATCAGGTTAATCAATCCAAAGAGGTATATTTATTTCAATAAAAAAAGTTATGGGAGCCTTGTATCTCTAAAGATCCAAGTAAATAAGCAAATGTTGTTAATGCTGCAGTATTCCAGCTATATCATGACATGTAAATAAAGAAGTGTTCAGGCAAACCACTGACTGACAGCATTGAGTAATTATCCACTACCTGGGGCATGATGACACACTCAGTCCTGCACACATTGTCAGCACCTAGTCCTCTGTAGCCAGGTGTTACTGGGGTCCTTGTCAGGTCTAACTGGGGACCTTGTATGGTCTTACTGGAGACCTTGTCAGGTCTTACTGGGGACCTATCTTGCCAGGTGTTTCCGGAGACCTTGCCATGTCTTACTGGGGACCTTGTCAGGTCTTACTGGGGACCTATCTTGCCAGGTGTTTCCGGAGACCTTGCCAGGTCTTACTGGGGACCTTGTCTGGTCTTACTGGGGACCTATTTGGATAGGGCTTACTGGGGACCTTGTCTGGTCTTACTGGGGACCTATTTGGATAGGGCTTACTGGGGACCTTGTCAGGTCTTACTTGGGACCTATCTGGATAGGGCTTACTGGGGACCTTGTCTGGTCTTACTGGGGACCTATTTGGATAGGGCTTACTGGGGACCTTGTCTGGTCTTACTGGGAACCTATCTGGATAGGGCTTACTGGGGACCTTGTCAGGTCTTACTTGGGACCTATTTGGATAGGGCTTACTGGGGACCTTGTCTGGTCTTACTGGGAACCTATCTGGATAGGGCTTACTGGGGACGTTGTCAGGTCTTACTGGGGACCTTGTCTGGTCTTACTGGGGACCTATTTGGATAGGGCTTACTGGGGACCTTGTATGGTCTTACTGGAGACCTTGTCAGGTCTTACTGGGGACCTATCTTGCCAGGTGTTTCCGGAGACCTTGCCAGGTGTTACTGGGGACCTTGTCAGGTCTTACTGGGGACCTTGCCAGGTGTTACTGGACACCTTGCCAGGTGTTACTGGGGACCTTGTCAGGTGTTACTGGGGACCTTGCCAGGTGTTACTGGAGACCTTGCCAGGTGTTACTGGGGACCTTGTCAGGTGTTACTGGGGACCTTGTCAGGTCTAACTGGGGACCTTGTCAGGTCTTACTGGGGACCTTGCCAGGTGTTACTTGGGACCTTGTCTGGTGTTACTGGGGACCTTGCCAGGTGTTACTGGGGACCTTGTCAGGTCTTACTGGGGACCTTGTCAGGTGTTACTGGGGACCTTGTCAGGTCTTACTGGGGACCTTGTCAGGTCTTACTGGGGACCTTGTCTGGTCTTACTGGGGACCTTGTCTGGTCTTACTGGGGACCTTGTCTGGTCTTACTGGGGACCTATCTGGATAGGGCTTACTGGGGACCTTGTCAGGTCTTACTGGGGACCTTGTCAGGTGTTACTGGGGACCTTGTCAGGTCTTACTGGGGACCTTGTCTGGTCTTACTGGGGACCTTGTCAGGTGTTACTGGGGACCTTGTCAGGTCTTACTGGGGACCTTGTCAGGTGTTACTGGGGACCTTGTCAGGTCTTACTGGGGACCTTGTCAGGTCTTACTGGGGACCTTGTCAGGTCTTACTGGGAACCTTGTCTGGTCTAACTGGGGACCTTGTCAGGTCTTACTGGGGACCTTGTCAGGTCTTACTGGGGACCTTGTCAGGTGTTACTGGGAACCTTGTCTGGTCTTACTGGGGACCTTGTCAGGTGTTACTGGGGACCTTGTCAGGTGTTACTGGGAACCTTGTCTGGTCTCACTGGGGACCTTGTCAGGTGTTACTGGGGACCTTGTCTGGTCTAACTGGGGACCTTGTCAGGTCTTACTGGGGACCTTGCCAGGTCTTACTGGGGACCTTGTTAGGTGTTACTGGGGACCTTGTCAGGTCTTACTGGGAACCTTGTCAGGTGTTACTGGGGACCTTGTCTGGTCTTACTGGGGACCTATCTTGCCAGGTCTTACTGGGGACCTTGTCTGGTCTTACTGGGGACCTTGTCAGGTGTTACTGGGGACCTATCTTGCCAGGTATCACTGGGGACCTATCTGGATAGGGCTTACTGGGGACCTATCTTGCCAGGTCTTACTGGGGACCTTGTCTGGTCTTACTGGGGACCTTGTCAGGTCTTACTGGGGACCTTGTCAGGTGTTACTGGGGACCTATCTTGCCAGGTCTTACTGGGGACCTATCTGGATAGGGCTTACTGGGGACCTATCTTGCCAGGTCTTACTGGGGACCTATCTTGCCAGTTCTTACTGGGGACCTTTTCAGGTCTTTTTGGGACCTATCTTGCCAATTTTACTGGGACCTTGTCAGGTCTTACTCGGGACCTATTTTGCCAATCTTACTGGGGACTTTGTTAGGTCTCACTGGGGACCAACCTTGTCAGGTGTTACTGGGAACCTTGTCTGGTCTAACTGGGGACCTTGTCAGGTCTTACTGGGGACCTTGTCAGGTCTTACTGGGGACCTTGTCAGGTGTTACTGGGAACCTTGTCTGGTCTTACTGGGGACCTTGTCAGGTCTTACTGGGGACCTTGTCAGGTCTTACTGGGAACCTTGTCTGGTCTTACTGGGGACCTTGTCAGGTCTTACTGGGGACCTTGTCAGGTGTTACTGGGAACCTTGTCTGGTCTCACTGGGGACCTTGTCAGGTGTTACTGGGGACCTTGTCTGGTCTAACTGGGGACCTTGTCAGGTCTTACTGGGGACCTTGTCAGGTCTTACTGGGGACCTTGTTAGGTGTTACTGGGGACCTTGTCAGGTCTTACTGGGAACCTTGTCAGGTGTTACTGGGGACCTTGTCTGGTCTTACTGGGGACCTATCTTGCCAGGTCTTACTGGGGACCTTGTCTGGTCTTACTGGGGACCTTGTCTGGTCTTACTGGGGACCTTGTCAGGTGTTACTGGGGACCTATCTTGCCAGGTATCACTGGGGACCTATCTGGATAGGGCTTACTGGGGACCTATCTTGCCAGGTCTTACTGGGGACCTTGTCTGGTCTTACTGGGGACCTTGTCAGGTCTTACTGGGGACCTATCTTGCCAGGTCTTACTGGGGACCTATCTGGATAGGGCTTACTGGGGACCTATCTTGCCAGGTCTTACTGGGGACCTATCTTGCCAGGTCTTACTGGGGACCTTTTCAGGTCTTTTTGGGACCTATCTTGCCAATTTTACTGGGACCTTGTCAGGTCTTACTCGGGACCTATTTTGCCAATCTTACTGGGGACTTTGTTAGGTCTCACTGGGGACCAATCTTGCCATTAAATCTAACCAGGAAACCCAAAGCTCCTGCACAGGATAGTGGATAAAATCAATTGATGCGAACCAGAGACTTTACAAGGACTGTGAAAGTACAAGAAGCTCCAGACTTACTCTGCTGTCCTTACAAGGCTGGAGGTACTTCCACGTCATGGTGGCGTTGGACAGATCCACGGAGTTGAGGGGCACATATGTCTCTCCGATAGGGTCATCACGGCTGAAGCGGTCATAGTCGATCACCTGGAGGTACAGCGTCTTCTCCAACAGTTTGTTGTGTGGCCAGCCTGGTGGGAGGAAAAATCATATCAAAGCCCTGAACAAAATGAGAGAGCAATATAATGGCAAGCTGTGCCGACAAAACACTGCATCATCTTACCCAAACTTGTCTTTTAAAGGTGTTTAATGCCGCACTCAGCAATATTTCAGCTATATGACAGCGGTCTGCAAATAATTGAGTCTCGACCAGACAATCCAGCGATTGACATCGTGAGCATCGATCCACGCAACTGGGGTACGCGGACATGCATCAACAAAGACAGCGAGTCTGACCACCCAATCCCATTGGTCGCCTCTTACGACAAGCACAGTCGCCTTTTACAGCAAGCATTGGCTGCAGAAGACCTGTTCTACCCCTGATCTTCACTGGCCCAATGGTCTGTAAAATAAGTAGGCCGGAACAGGGGAAACTATAGTTAATGATGTTAGTTTTGTTGTTGAGTATTATGACACAAAGTCTGTGCTTCTGTTAGGGATACCATCAATGCTCAGTTATCATTGTGGACACCCAATCAACATATCGGTCAAGCTTTTGACACATGTTGTGTCCTGGAGTTTCATCAGTGTCAGTGTGCAGAGCCCCGTTCAATAAAGCCATATCAGCTACATCTGCTGTAAGTCCATGTTAGTCTCGGAGTTAGCAGAAACAAAAATCGAAGATCACTTTGTGAAACAGGTCCCAAGGCCACATTTCACAAAGCCAACTCAGCTACAACTGCTGCAAGTCATTGTTAAGTGATAGGAGTTACAACAGTCCTTGCGCAACAGTTCGTTTGTGAAACAAGGCCCCTCTGACCATACAGTGTCTGACGTCATGGTGTTGTATTGTTGTGTTAATTTTCAGATAGGAAAATATCCATTGGGAGACAATATCACACAACCAGCTAGCTGGAGGCATAGCAAGCCCTGATCTCCAATCCAGCAAGTTACAACATGAGGTACAGGGAATCCCTGCCAGGAATATATAATCAGTATAGTGAGTGAGTGAGTGAGTTGGGTTAAACGCCACTTTTAACAGTATTCAAGTTTTTTTGCGGCGTGTCAGCTTAATGTGGGAGGAAAGCCCGAAGTGATACAGGTCTCAGACGTTTACCACTTCGGTGTAACCCACGACCACGGGTATGGTGCTGACCAACCTAGAAACATAATCAGGGCAAACCGGGCTCGAACCCACAATCATAGGTTTCTGGCGTGCCCAAGGGACGCAACTCTGCACAGTGAATCGTGGCGCCTTAGACAACTGGGGCACCTGTGCCCCCTCTAATCAGTATATATACTTGGTAGTGTCTGAATCTAACAATCTGGTTGCATAGTTTAACTGAATTAATCCTTCCTGTAGGTATTGCGCAATAATATACCTATTTTGGCTGCATTTGTCCGTTTGTATGTTATTTAAATCTGTACTCAGCAATATTCCAGCTATATGATGGCGGTCTGTCTGTAAGTAATTAATATCTGGAACAGACAATCCAGTGATTGACATCATAAGCATCGATCCACACAATTGGGATACGATGACATGCATCAACCAAGTCAGCAAGCCTGACCACCTGATCCCATTAGTCGCTTCTTATGACAAGCATAGTCACTATATTAGCTGCAACATATTTGTGACAAATCCTAGTTTCTGGTATTTCTCAAAATATTGATCAGCACTTGTAAGCTATAACGAATATCTTTTGACTTGCTTCTGAGTTATGTGGATATGTCTATTTTCGGTCATATACACATGCCGTAATACATTACATATCTTCTATATCAGCTTCACCATAAAATGTCCCCATTGGCATAACGTTCAAAGATTAACTTATATATAGCAGACAGAGTGTGTGAAAAATACCAAGCTCTTAAACTTTGAAATAATCAATATCACTGCGGAGTCATGTTCTATCCTTCTGAAAATTACAATTTAAGAATTTCTACGTTATCTACATTTAATCAGAAATGAATATTCTTCATTGGTGTGTATGAGTATATGATACACGAAGTCATCAAATAGCAATAAATTTTATTTCTTCTAACAGCACAAGGCAATATCTACAAGGAAAAGCTATCTGTGTTGATATACTTAGCCACTGGGTTCTGTCTACGCTACTTAGCCCCTGACCCTGTAGAGGAGTTCTACAATTTGGTGCTGTCAAAACACATACACCAGTCTCCTTACACTGTCTCTGTAGGCTTGATTTATCATGCAGCACTTCAGTCAATGATGGAAGAGTCCACGTTAACTCTACGTCTCACATACAAGTTTGACAAACCTGACCCAGTTCAGGGAGAGTGAGTAAATTAGTTCTAATGTCTCTTTGAATAGTATTTCAGTTACTGACCGTAGGAAAGGAAAAGTCTAAAGTGGCACAGGTCATGGATGGTTGTCACCAGAGTCAGTTTGATCTAATGTCTCTTTGAATGGTATTTCAGTCAACTTGGCACGTCAACTTGATGTGAAAGGAAAGCCTGATGTGATGCAGGTTTTAGGCATGTACATCTTTGGTGAAACCCATGAGCATGCTGACAAACTTAGAAACATGATCAGGGTGAACTGAGATTCGAACCAATGATCACAGGTTAATGGTACACCAAAGGGGTGCAACTCTGCACAGTGAACTGCAGTGCCTGGGACAGCCCTGTTACCAGAGTAAAAAAACAAACGAAAGTTCCATGTCACCTTAGTGGGAGGAGAGCCCAAAGTAATCCCATAGATAAGGATCTCACTCATAGGATCCTGGCATGCCTAAGGGACGCAACTCTGCAAGGTGAACTTGGGTACCTTTAACATTTGGTGAGGTGAAATTGGATTTAACGTCGCGTCCAAGATTATTGCACTTATATAGAGACGTGCATGCACATGTGTGTGTGTGTGGCTGCATGTACGAGTCCGGACTGATGCCGATTTAAAGTGCTAGCATACTGAGATACCATGCCGCAGTTTAACATGAATACCCCACTCAGACACAGTTTACTGACTCTGAGCCGACCAGTCCTTGTTTTAGCCCTTTAGTGCCGAGCGCCAGACAGGGTAACAACAAGTACCATCTTTTAACGTGTTTTGGTATGACGCGGCCGGGGATTGAACCCCTGACCTTCCCCCCTCGGACACTCTACCACTAGACCACGGAGGCGGTCCTTTAACAATAGGGCAAAATATACCCTTAAAAAAAGTCATGAATGAACACAGTTGAATACACAGTATACATGCATCACAGTGGACTAAAGCAAGAAAACTGTGTACGAAAACACGAATTTCCGCCTTGTGTCTCTTCATTCAATATTCGCCATGTCTACAACACTCCAAGTCACCCCATCGCTCATCAGAGATGTATGATGAGAAACACACTTTACACTGAAACTATTCACTCTCCTTCCCTCGAGAGTCATTAACATGAGCGTGTCAATAAAACCAATCTAAAACAAGCATAATACATCATTCAAAACCTGCCACCATAACAGTTACCAAAATTAAAAAGAAAGCAAGTAGCTGCAGGCTATCCATGTTATTAAAATCTAAATTCTACTTTTGATGAGTACACAGCAAGGGTTAAATTTTTCATCAGAAATTGCAATTCATGGCACAATCAGGCAATAAAGCTATTGAAATTGGTATCTTCAAAGCTGTCATATTTGAGCTATCATCACGAGAGAGTAAATTCCGTAAAAGCCTTCATTCTCTTCACACTGTGTTAAGCTTAGAGAAGCATCTTCCTCTGGGATGAAGGAATGTTGGTTTGAGGCCATGAGGCCTTCTCTCACATCATGTCTGGCATGCACGTTCAGACAGGAAGGCTGGGACACCCACTTTCTGCCATGTTGAACACAAGCATGTCTCAGAAGAGAGAAAGTGGGGACAATCATGGCGTTTTGTTCACTGGCCTATAGACTTTCCTCATCTATATTTGGTACTGGCACCAAGAGCTATCAGATTGAACAGTCAAAATAACATAATTTTGAAATTATAGAGCTGACTAGCATAATGATATTTGCTGACATTCCAGAAAGGGCCATGAGGCACTGTAGCTCACTAAAATTGTGGGCAGTGTCTGAAACTCAGCAGGGTAGAGGGCCAGCACATTTTAAAAACTGTAGACCCAGTGGAAAAACTGTAGGCTCAGTGGACAAACTGTAGACTCAGTGGAAAAACTGTAGGCTCAGTGGACAAACTGTAGACTCAGTGGACAAACTGTAGACCCAGTGGACAAACTGTAGGCCCAGTGGACAAACTGTAGGCTCAGTGGAAAAACTGTAGACTCAGTGGAAAAACTGTAGACTCAGTGGAAAAACTGTAGGCTCAGTGGACAAACTGTAGACCCAGTGGAAAAACTGTAGACTCAGTGGAAAAACTGTAGGCTCAGTGGACAAACTGTAGACTCAGTGGACAAACTGTAGACCCAGTGGACAAACTGTAGGCTCAGTGGAAAAACTGTAGACTCAGTGGAAAAACTGTAGACTCAGTGGAAAAACTGTAGACTCAGTGGACAAACTGTAGACCCAGTGGACAAACTGTAGGCTCAGTGGAAAAACTGTAGACTCAGTGGAAAAACTGTAGACTCAGTGGAAAAACTGTAGACTCAGTGGAAAAACTGTAGGCTCAGTGGACAAACTGTAGACTCAGTGGACAAACTGTAGACCCAGTGGACAAACTGTAGGCTCAGTGGAAAAACTGTAGACTCAGTGGAAAAACTGTAGACTCAGTGGAAAAACTGTAGACTCAGTGGACAAACTGTAGACCCAGTGGACAAACTGTAGGCTCAGTGGAAAAACTGTAGACTCAGTGGAAAAACTGTAGACTCAGTGGACAAACTGTAGACCCAGTGGAAAAACTGTAGGCCAAGTGGAAAAACTGTAGGCCCAGTGGAAAAACTGTAGGCCCAGTGGAAAAACTGTAGGCCCAGTGGAAAAACTGTAGGCCCAGTGGACAAACTGTAGGCCAAGTGGAAAAACTGTAGGCCCAGTGGAAAAACTGTAGGCCCAGTGGAAAAACTGTAGGTCAAGTGGAAAAACTGTAGGCCCAGTGGAGAAACTGTAGACCCAGGGGAAAAACTGTAGACCGTGTGGAAAAACTGTAGGCCCAGTGGAAAAACTGTAGGCCAAGTGGAAAAACTGTAGGCCAAGTGGAAAAACTGTAGACTCAGTGGGAAAACTGTAGACTCAGTGGAAAAACTGTAGACCCAGTGGAAAAGCTGTAGGCCCAGTGGAAAAACTGTAGGCCCAGTGGAAAAACTGTAGGCCCATTGAAAAACTGTAGGCCCAGTGGAAAAAACTGTAGACCCAGTGGAAAAACTGTAGGCCCAATGGAAAAACTGTAGACCCAGTGGAAAAACTGTAGACCCAGTGGACAAACTGTAGACCCAGTGGACAAACTGTAGACCCAAACAATTTAGCTGAAGCAGGAAGACATACTCTTGCAATATGAATTACAACCAGTCAAACAGATACTTGCTTGATAACGGTGTTAGAACCTACACCAAAACGTCGCTCTTAATTGCAATAAAGAAGTTGTTCATCCATAAATTCTTATCCTTACTTAGTCAAACAGAAGCTTTCACCGTCATCACACCGAGTTCCCAGAGACTGTGGTGAGAGATGATGCCTACATTTACCAGGAAATTATTAAACATCCTTGTGACTGCATGTTATACACCATTTGAAAGGTCTAATCCTACTGGTCATGAATATGAAAGTTATGTTTATCACATTCCTTAAATAATGCTTAAGAAATAATAACTTAAATAAACTGCAGGCCTGCTGAAATTTAAAACTATGAGGCCGAGAACAAATCTGTCTTCCTCGGGCCTACGGGCCGATGTATATTTTGAACACTGATTGAAGGTATTTTCATAATGTCTTGCATGCAAACATTTCTGGTGATGGCTATTTGAGTGAGTGAGGCAAATTAGTGGTTTCGGCCGTCAAAAACAGTATCCGATGTGATGAGTAATGATACACTACGTTATGATGACACACGCAATCTTACACACATTTAGGCCAGCTGAGCCTTACTAGTGGCAGATAGCATGTGTAATGATACACTACGTTCTGATGACACACGCAGTCCTGCAAACATTTAGGCCACCTGAGCCTTACTAGTGGCAGATAGCATGTGTAATGATCCACTACGTTCTGATGACACACGCAATCTTGCAAACATTTAGGCCACCTGGGCCTTACTAGTGGCAGATAGCATGTGTAATGATCCACTACGTTCTGATGACACACGCAGTCCTGCACACGTTTAGGCCACCTGGGCCTTACTAGTGGCAGATAGCATGTGTAATGATCCATTACGTTCTGATGACACACGCAGTCCTGCACACGTTTAGGCCAGCTGATCCTTACTAGTGGCAGATAGCATGTGTAATGATCCACTACGTTCTGATGACACACGCAGTCCTGCACACGTTTAGGCCAGCTGATCCTTACTAGTGGCAGATAGCATGTGTAATGATCCACTACGTTCTGATGACACACGCAGTCCTGCACACGTTTAGGCCAGCTGATCCTTACTAGTGGCAGATAGCATGTGTAATGATCCACTACGTTCTGATGACACACGCAGTCCTGCACACGTTTAGGCCAGCTGATCCTTACTAGTGGCAGATAGCATGAGTAATGATCCATTACGTTACGATGACACATGCAATCTTGCACATGTTTAGGCCACCTGAGCCTTACTAGTGGTCGATAGCATGAGTAATGATCCATTACGTTACGATGACACACGCAGTCCTGCACACGTTTAGGCCAGCTGATCCTTACTAGTGGCAGATAGCATGTGTAATGATCCACTACGTTCTGATGACACACGCAGTCCTGCACACGTTTAGGCCAGCTGATCCTTACTAGTGGCAGATAGCATGAGTAATGATCCATTACGTTACGATGACACATGCAATCTTGCACACGTTTAGGCCACCTGAGCCTTACTAGTGGTCGATAGCATGAGTAATGATCCATTACGTTACGATGACACACGCAGTCCTGCACTAGGGACCTTTGGAGGACACTGTCAGGGCAGGATCAGACACGCAACCAGGTCACAACTGTTTCCCCCAATACTCATGAGTGTGAAAAGCAACGGTTTATACCGAACCTAACATGTCCCGAATCACAAAAAGTTTGTTGTCAATACTTTAATTTGAAGCCAGTTAGTGGTTGCAAGGTCAGTTTGATCATTACTGCAACCACACCGAGCTTGAGTTTGATCATGACCGTGAGTGAGTGAGTGATTTGGGAATAATATCACTTTGAACAGGTTTTCAGTTATATCACAGCATGTGAGATTGATGGGAGGAAAGCCCAATCCCGTAATCGATAGTCCATCAGAGTGTCAGTGTTTCACGACACAGTAAGTCGGTCACGTCACAATTAATAGTTCACTTCCCATGTGCTCAATTATTCCCAACAAGTGGCCATTGTGCTCACCCAATCCTCATTGTGCAACATGCTTAGATAACTTGGGACCAATTCAGTTTTAGAATGGCCCCAAGAGTGAGGTGATTGAGAGCAAAATTTGATTTAGATTCGGCAGATGTTTCAAATGTCTTACCTTCAAACAAGAAACACTCATTCCAGTGAGGATTCAAGTTTTTCTTTTTCACTTTCGTTAGCAATTTGTGTTTTTTGTCCGGAAGCAACATAATTTTCACATAAGGATCACTGGTACCAGAGAGATCTTTGGCAGGCAAACCCGTAGCACGAAGAATCTTCAGGGTTAAAGTCAAGTTTTGGAAATCATAACCAAGTCCAAATTGTAGCTTTCCTAGTTTGTAATCCACGCCCTCTACAAGAGGAGCTTCATTCTCCTCGGGTGGGCTGTCGTCCATAAGCATCGTGGCGAAGCTCCGCACACCTTTCCACACACTCGACTCCCCCTCCTCCTCCGAGGCCGACCGACTCTGGCTGGACAGGCTCATGCCCTGAAACAGGAAGTGACCCAATGAGTGACCACAGTGGACAAGGAATCATAAACTCAAATACAATAATAGCAAAGTGTGGGTGAGTGGGTGAGTGGGTGAGTGGGTGAGTGAGTGAGTGAGTGGGTGGGTGGGTGGGTGTGTGAGTGAGTGAGTGAGTGAGTGAGTGAGTGAGTGAGTGAGTGAGTGAGTGAGTGAGTGAGTGAGTTGGGTTTAACGCCGCTTTTAACATTAGTCCAGTTATGTCACGGCGTGTCAGCTTAATGTTGGAGGAAAGCCCGAAGTGGTGCAGGTCTCAGACATTTACCATTTCTGTGAAACCCACGAGCATGGGTATGGTGCTGACAAACCTAAAAACATAATCGGGGTGAACAAGGATTCGAATCATAGGTTTCTGGCATGCCCAAGGAATGCAACTCTGCACAGCGAATGCAGCGCCTTAGACGACTGGCCCATCCGTGCCCCCATATAGTAAGTGAGTGAGTGAGTATTGTTTTACGCTGCTTTTAGCAATATTCCAGCAATATCACAGCAGGGGACACCAGAACTGGGTTTCACACATTGTACCCATGTCGGGAATCGAACCCGTGTCTTTGGCGTGATGAGCAAATGCTTTAACCACTAGGCTACCCTACCGCCCCTATGCGCCCTATTATGGTGAGTGAGTATGGTTTTACGCTGCTTTTAGCAATATTCCAGCAATATCACAGCAGGGGACACCAGAACTGGGCTTCACACATTGTACCCATGTCGGGAATCGAACCCGGGTCTTTGGCGTGACGAGCAAATGCTTTAACCACTAGGCTACCCGACCGCGCCATATACACATTATAAGTTGTAGCAGAATCAAAAGGGGTACATGGGGTTTTATGCATCCCGATGAGGCGGAGAGAACGTATGAAACCCTTGTACCCCTCGTGATGCTGCAACAACAAATTTATCTTACCAACATGTTTTAATATGACACTGTAAAAGAATTAAAAAATTAAAACAAATTCAAAACTGATAGAAAACAGCTGTTCAATTGAGCAAAGGTTAACTTGTGCTATGCCACTTGACTTTCATTAACTCTGAAAAAGCGTGCAGCTTTTTGCTTCAAAACGGGTATAAGGGATTGATTCTGCCCCTCAGAAATCCATTTGCAGCCTGTCTTGTTCGCGGCAGGGTATAAGGAATTTATTCTCCTGCTGAGAAATTTATTTACCCTTCAAGGTGGGATACATAGTATCTTATTAAGATTCTGTGGACTAAGCAAATCTCATCATGCTGACCTGGAGGTATGATAAAGACTTTTGTTCCAACATGGTTAGGGCGAGTGAGTTAAGATTAACACTGCCTTGAACAGTATTTCATTAAAATAACATGTCTGCTTATTGGGGGGAAATTGTCAAAAGTGAAGCAGATGTTTACCACTTTGGTGAAACTGGGGAACAGGGCTATGGTGCTGACAAACTGAGAATCATAATTAGAAAAAGTTTTGGATTCAAACATAAAATTATCAGATTCTGGTATGACTAAGGGCAGCAACTCTGCACAGCGAATTGTGGCAGCTTAAACAACCAGGCCTCCCATGCCTCTAATTATATAATATATGACAAACACAACTCTATATTTGGAACACAACAACAATATTCCTATCGATTACATTTAAACATTTCGGTCTCAAGATCGGCTCTATATCAGAAAAGTGCCTCTGGTGGTGTTGTAAAAATCTTACCTGAAAGAAAAACAAAGTCCCTTCTCCTTACAAATAACCATAAAAAAGGTTAGAGATATCTTGATACACATTTCTCCATCACACCAACGGCACCTTGTTAAATAACATCTACAGACAGAATCTGATTCAAATCCCTGAGGGGATCTGTATAAACAAATTGAAAAGTGAAATAGGTGAATTTCTTAACATGTGTGGTGTAGGTGAACTTTTCCTCAATTATCAACCATTATCTCCAAACAATCGCTGAGTTTCCATCAGAAACTGTGAAATATTAACCCTCCTAGTCCCACAGAGAATGATTAAACAATCTACTGACTCATTATAACGATACAACAGTTATGTCGGTTTGACAAAGTAGGATTGAAGAGCTTAATGTAGGTAGCGTTTGTATTTGCAGTTCTCTTGATGTTTTATTTAATGAAGGTGGGTTGCTTTTTTTTGGTTTTTTGGTTTAACGCTCAGCAAAATTCCATATATATGATGGCAGTCTGTAAATAATTGAGTCTGGATCAGACAATCAAGTCATGAGCTTCGACCTATGCAATTGGGATACGATGACATACATCAACCAAGACAGCAAACCTGACCACCTGATCCCGTTAGTCGCCTCTTACGACAAGCATAGTCGCCTCTTACGACAAGCATAGTCGCCTTTTGCAGCAAGCATGGGTTGCAGACCTATGCTACCCCGGATCTTCACGGGTCATTTAACAAAGGTAACTTGCACCTCTTTATGCTGCTTAGTTCAATCTTTGTCCTAAGTGGAATTATAACAAGAGAAGTTTCAAATAGAAGTATCTTTCTTGAAGGGCCCCATAGTCAACATTAAATAAGTAAAAACAGAAATATCTAACTGATTTTAAGACATTCACACAAAACAACACACATTCATATGTATAACTGTTTTTGTGCGTAAATGTAATTGTCTGCAAATATACTACTCAAAAGAAGTTAAAGAACCCCCAATTTTTCATATAACAGTTAATCTGTCGTAAACTATAGTCATGTGAAAATATTGGTTGTTCCTTTACTTCTTTTGAACAGCATATGTTCCAGTAACAAAAAAATTATATATCAAGTTTTCATTGCCATAAACATAATTTAGCTTCACAAAAAGAATGAATTTCACATACCATCTTGGAAGTGAGAATCTGCACCCTATCCAAACCAAGGTGCAATTTACTTTGACATCGCATGTCAAGTACACTTATTGTGATTGGAGCTTTGCAAACTGTGTAAAGTATTGACAAAGTAAATCTAAATCTGCCTCGGATATCCCTTCGTGGCCCAAATCCTACATGCAAATATCTGGTTCCAGTCAGGAGACAGCCTGATAGAATAACTCATTCCTCATGGTATGGATATGGTGCTTGATCTAGCTGACTTGGTCCCAGGAGAATATCCAATGCTGCTGTGTTTTTGTGTTCACTGCTTAATTCAAACTTTTGAACATCACAAGAGCTCTAACAATATATGTTTTCTCCATCTGTTGCCAGTGTGATTTGGTTCAGTAGAGAATCAGAGAATGAAAGTCAAACTGATTTTTTGTCAAAGGACAAGTGAAATAATTACGATCTTTATGAATTAATTATGACTATGAATTTATCACCACTCCATGACTAAATTACCACTCTATGAATTAATTACCATTTTATGAATTAATTACCATTTTATGAATTAATTAACACTTTATGAATTAAAAACCACTTTGTGACATATTACTTATTGTTGGAAAACCACCTCCACGGTGTAGCCCACAGAGCATCTGCTTTTTCCATTTATCTATTTTAACACCGAGTACCAACATATAGATATTATATTTCGCACATGAAAGATGTTTTATCCACATGTGCTTAATATGCATAAAAAATAAAATGTTTCTCAAATTTTTGCAAAGAGGAGGGAGGTAGGAAACTTTCTTATTGAGAACAAAAGTGCTGAGAGAGGAACACGTTACCACCGAGAACACCATCAAACACAACTGGGCACATACAAAATGTTTCTCTAATACAATTAATGCTAATTAGAAAAGAAATATTATTTAGTGGCAATAAAAATGAGTGACATGCAGGATTTAAAGTGGTCGCTAATGCCCGAGAAACATTTCCATTTTTTTAACATGTTTTGAAAGTTAAAAACTATTGAAGATAAATTTTATGCAAATATTTTAACAATGCGAGGTATTCCCCCGTGTTTGGTTTGATGGGTAATAATTGCACTTAAGACACTGTTTGTACAACAAGCCACCGTTAGAATTTTGAAAATACCCATCTTAGAAAAAGTCCAATGCTTTACGAGAGACAGCATACATCTTGTGCATGACAATTACAAACACCACTGTCCACTTTTAACACCAAGGACTGGCTATATCTTGACAGGCTTTCTTATCTGTACATCAAATATTCATGAAACGGATTCAAATGGATTCAACGTTGACAGCCATGAAAAAGTCTCCTGTGTCCTCCATGACTAGTGATTACATTTTCCATGTCGTACACAAATTTACTTCCCCCAGCATTCCCATCATAAGAAATGTCTTCTTTTCTGTAATTTTTGTGCCACATTTCTTCCTGTTCGCTCAGTGGAGACAGACCGGACATATATCCAAACTGCCATGCGTTATTTTAGCTTTCGATAAAAATATTTCTGGAGCTCGTGGGACAAACATGTCTCTCAAATTTAATCATTGTTGAAGGATGTCTCTAGACTCAATACACTTTTACCCTTGGTACTTGCTTTACTGTCCAATCAGTTTGAGTGAATTTTATTTCAGGGCCAAAGAAAAATATTAATTCTCTTTTTCAAGTTATACTTTTTCATTAATTAAAACATTACTTTCAAATTGTTCTCATCAGCTGTTTATGTGAAACAAGGTGTTGTGTGAATGTTGTCATAGCGATATTCGGGCTATGTCACTGTAACCTGTAACTAATCAAGTCTGGATCAGGCAGACCAGTGGTTGATAGTGAGAGCAACATGCCACACACATTGTGGCCATCTGATCCCCATTCAAGCAAGTTCTGACAACCAGGAGTTGGGGACGTTCTCCTACCTGGTTTTGTTTATTTGTTTGTTTGTTGTTTAACACCGCTCTCAGCTATATTCCACCTATATGACGGCGGTCTGTAAATAATCGAGTCTGGACCAGATAATCCAGTGATTGACATCATGAGCATAAATCCAGGCAGTTGGTATACGATGACATGCATCAACAAAGTTAGCGAGCCTGACCACCCGATCCTGTTAGTTGCCTCTTACGACAAGCACAGTCGCCTTTTACAGCAAGCATGGGTTGCTGAAGACCTATTCTACCCCGGATCTTCACGGGCCTCCTACCTGGTAGTGCAATGGGAGGGTGTTGTTCAGCTGTACATATTAATGAAATAGCTTGATGACAATGTTATTGACAATCCCAGTTAATCTATCGCAAAATCCTGACATTTGGGTAATGCCATTGAAAACAAAGCTGTACAGGTGGGATGAAATACAGCCTAGTTTCACGTACCAGGTACAAAACTTAAGAGAGCATGTTTGTTGTCCTGGTTGGTAAGCCTCCAATTTTGCAAATATTGAACTACTTCATGAGTTGGGAAACTGGGTTTAAATTTGAGACGCACAGTAAATGTACCTGTTCATAACCCAGGCCATAAGAAACAGATACAGTCTTACATTGCATGCAGGTTTTCAATAGGGTTGAATTGAAACTGTTTTACAAATGAAATGAAACTACAGTGAAAAACGCTTCCTTTTTGCAACAATGTCACAGTCACAGAGTGAGTGAGTGAGTGAGTGAGTGAGTGAGTGAGTGAGTGAGTGAGTGAGTGAGTTTGATTTTATGCCACTTGTAGCAATATTCAAGCAATATCAATGTATCATAATATTATTTTCTATATTTCAGTGAGTGAGTGAGTGAGTGAGTGAGTGAGTGAGTGAGTGAGTGAGTGAGTGAGTGAGTTTGATTTTATGCCACTTTTAGCAATATTCAAGCAATATCCCTGTATTATTGTACCCATGTCAGGAAACAAACCTGGGTCTTCTGTGTGACGAGCGAATGCTTTAACCACTAGGCTACCCTACCGCCTCTTCTTTATTTTATATAGCTCAATATAACCGGAAAGAGGCAGGCCTTTGACATTTACCACTGTGGTAAAACCCATGATCCCAGAGATGACAAACCAGGAACCATAATCAGGCCTTGATTTAGCTATACAAAACATGCACCAGTGTCACATGTTATTGAAAAATGCAACCTAATATTTATGTCTAAGTACCAAGTGCATGTGCCGAAAAATTCAACTTTGTGTAGGACCAACCCTACCTTACACAACATCAATCTTTGAACAAACTCAATGTCTCTAAATTCTATTTACCATGCTATATCACTAATCATCACGTTGTGTCAGTTTATTGATTGATGACAGTCATCGGAAATCTGTGATTTTACTCATTTAGTGAGTGAGTGTGTCGGTTTAACTCCGCTTTTAACATTATTCCAGCTATATCATGGCGTGTCAGCTTAATGTGGGAGGAAAGCCCAAAGTGATGCAGGTCTCAGACGTTTACCACTTCGGTGAAACCAACGAGCATGGGTATGGTACTGACAAACCTAGAAACTTTATCGAGGCGAACCGGGATTCGAACCCACAATCACAGGTTTCTGGTGTGCCTAAGGGACGCAACTCTGCACAGCGAACCGCAGTGCCTTAGACGACTGGGCTACCCGTGCCCCTCATTTAGACAGGTTTATGCATCTGTGTTTCAGGTTTGATAAATTTATGGGACCAGGGTGCAACCTGGTTTTGTCTGGTGCAACTAGCTTTTGATGTCAACATGCACCTTGTGCAGGTTAAATCAAGTTTGCCCTGCTAATCAGAGTGAATTTGGGATTCATACATAGTATCTTAGTATAAAATGAATGATATGAACATTTTCAATGAAACCCAACCCTGTTTTCTGTAGTGATTAATGTTGTTTCGCTTAAAACATGATAAAATTCGAAAATAATATAGCATTTTCATGTCAATAAAAAGGCAAAACCATATAATTCATGAAGATATCTTAAATGGTTTACGCGTAATTATCCTCAGTTGACTTGGATCAGATGTACAGACATACTGACTGAAGTGTGTATGAGAAAAGGCATTTCAAACTCGACCCCAACCTGAAAGCTTCTTGTACTCTGCAGGAAAACCAATGCCAGATGAAGACCAGTGATTGTATTGTATGATTGTATGATTGTATGATATCTAAAGATCATAAAATCAACCATTTAAAACTTAATTTTCTAGGACATTTGTTAGAGACAGAATATTTTTGGAGTCAGAACTTCAAGACATTAAAAGTTACTCTTGCCCACCTTCACCCCCTAGAATTTCAAGTGGTCGTCCCCACTCCCTTCGGACGGCAGTCAAGACATGTCCACTTGATAATTGACCAAAGTCCTCATTCTACTCAGCGGCCAGCTGATGCCCATAACGCCCCTAAAGACTAGGGTGGGTAACTGGGGACCAATTCCACACTCTAATCACTATGGAAACCAGCCAAGAACAAACCACGTGATGAGCCAATTGAATCTGGCACACAAAGATGAGTCCAAAACTATAAAGTCTGCAACCAGAGCAAAATATCTACACAATCTTAAGCAGCATAAGCTTAACCAAGATCATAATTCATGACACTGATGTTGAAAACCACTCCACGGTAAGATATATATATATTCCCAACACCAACCAGCAACCATTAGAACTCCACAGTGTTGCTTACAGGTCAATCTTGTGATAAACTCCTTAAATCCGATGCGTAAACTTTTAAAACTTTAATGCTGTCTGCTGACTCGCGATCTCTTTAATCTTCCAAGTCTGGCGTAAGCATCACCTCACGGTGACTGAGTAGACGGGCTATAGATTCCAATACACAGTACACAAAGACCACTCGAGGGTCAAATCTTACCCGGGTTATTCCCATCGTTTGGTAGGACTCTCGTGGTGTTTGGTTAATGCCGAGCGACTGGTTTAGGGCGGTTTGGGAGTTGGATGAGGGCTGGACATGTTCCGCAACCATTTTACGATCAGGTCTCTCAAATCTGAAATCAAATATCAATTTTAGACTGTTGCGTCTTATTTGAACCAAAACGTTCCATGATCAGAATGGGAAATTACAGAAATGACATGACAGACTATGCTAAACACTCATTTCCCTCTGCAAAAAAGGTGTTAATAAAAGTTGAAAGAAGCAAATAGGAAGAAATATTAAGAAAGTTGAAACTTGAAAGATTAAGAAAATTTACATTTAATATGTTAGTATAAAAAAAACTAGCACAATATTAAATGTACAGTTTATGAAAGGCAAAATGTTAATAACAAATTTAAATGAATCCTGTTCCATTTTGCTCAGAATTGCACACGCATATCAGTAAGGACAAGGAAACATGACACCACAGAGTGAGAGGTATTTGGAATATAAATCTGAGTAGGTTTGCTCACCAAATAATACTTCAAGAAAACTGACTTAAACTAATAGTATTCCAAATACTCCTCACATACATAACACCAGACACCTGCAAACCCTGGACAGCTAAAAAGAAACACACATCCTAAACAAACTAAACTGTTTACCAAAATACACATAATTACATCAGTCCAAACAAAACATCTGGCAGAACTCTTTTGTACTTGCCCTTGTATTGATATATCTCTAGGCAAATAGTATCTCCTCGGATTAAAAAGATGAGGACATTGTGAAAATGGTTCTCTTAGACATCACAAAGAAAATATCAATTTTGATTCCACAACTGTGTTGTTCCAATCAATCCAATTTCAGAAAGTGATCGGAGAGTTACAAATGTTTTAAGTCTTTATTGTGATCAGTTTCTGAATATGGACAAGGATGAGAAAACAAGACAACTTGCTTAACTTATGGTAGTATAAGTTCTGAGTAATAACAATGATATTCTTCTACCAGATATTTTGTTTTCATTCCGTGAGAGGGGAGATAATCTGCTACTATCACCACTAATACCAGACACCTGACAAGGGAACAACAAACATGCATGTCTTGCACTTGACAGAATTTTTTAAATTCTATAATCACTAACTAAACAACAGTCATTGATTTGTTATTGTCTAAACAATTTCCATTCGAAATTATAAGCTCAACTGTTGAAAAATAGCCACTACATATACAAAAATATATACAACTTTTGATAAGGGTATTGCTTGTATCCCATAATACACAAAACATATTATTTATATGTTTATGTACATGGTATGATTTGTTTGTTTATTTGTTGTTTAACGCCGCACTCAGTAATATTCCAGCTATATGATGGTGGTCTGTAAATAATTGTGTCTGGACCAGTGATTGACATCATGAGCATCGCTCTGCGCAGTTGGGATACAATGACATGCATCAACCAAGTCAGCAAGCCTGACCATCCAATCCCGTTAGTCGCCTTTTACGGCAAGCATGGGTTGCTGAAGACCTATTCTACCTCGGCTCTTCGCGGGGTGTACATGGTATGAAATATATATTATCCTTATCAAAAGCTGTGAAACGTATACTATGAAACCTTCATAATCCAGACAATTCCCAATGATATCCTCCAGAAGACCAAATGTCCAAATTAACCAATCACTGATAAGTAGGAGGCCCTTTAATTAGGAACAGACACCTCAATCTGTAATCGATGAGAAGGCAGAATTGGCCCTGGATTATGGGGCCACTCTGAATGCCGGTTGAAATGACCCTGTGACTAGCATAGAGTCAGGGTCAATGGACCTCGGTCAGTCATCGTACTGGACAATCAATGGGATTGGATTTCATGCATTCTTCATGGCGATCTAGGCTGTGGGTGTGACTACATGTCAAATGTGGCCTTGATAACAGTTTCCTGGCTAGTACAGCTTGTACCATGTCAACTGTTTGGTAAACACAATTATGAATGCTTGTGGTTCTTATGTTTGCATTGATATTTCCAATCTGCTACAGTCACACACATAAGCAGCAAATTATATAATCAATATAGTTACTGACATTTTGTTGTTTAAGTGCTGTCAACACTGTTGACAATGCAAGCTTCATTTGAAGCCAGTGTGTTGCACTATAGGAAACTATAGGTGTCTGACTGTAACTACAGGAACCAAGAGGTGTCTGACTGTAACTACAGGAACCAAGAGGTGTCTGACTGTAACTACAGGAACCAAGAGGTGTCTGAATGTAACTGCAGGAACCAATAGGTGCCTGACTGTAACTACAGGAACCAAGAGGTGTCTGAATGTAACTGCAGGAACCAATAGGTGTCTGACTGTAACTACAGGAGCCAATAGGTGTCTGACTGTAACTACAGGAGCCAATAGGTGTCTGACTGTAACTACAGGAGCCAAGAGGTGTCTGACTGTAACTACAGGAACCGAGAGGTGTCTGACTGTAACTACAGGAACCAATAGGTGTCTGACTGAAACTACAGGAACCAAGAGGTGTCTGACTGTAACTACAGGAACCAAGAGGTATCTGACTGTAACTACAGGAGCCAATAGGTGTCTGACTGTAACTACAGGAACCAATAGGTGTCTGACTGTAACTACAGGAACCAAGAGGTGTCTGACTGTAACTACAGGAACCAAGAGGTGTCTGACTGTAACTACAGGAACCAAGAGGTGTCTGACTGTAACTGCAGGAACCAAGAGGTGTCTGACTGTAACTGCAGGAACCAATAGGTGTCTGACTGTAACTACAGGAACCAATAGGTGTCTGACTGTAACTACAGGAACCAATAGGTGTCTGACTGTAACTACAGGAGCCAATAGGTGTCTGACTGTAACTACAGGAGCCAATAGGTGTCTGACTGTAACTACAGGAGCCAATAGGTGTCTGACTGTAACTACAGGAACCAATAGGTGTCTGACTGTAACTACAGGAACCAATAGGTGTCTGACTGTAACTACAGGAACCAATAGGTGTCTGACTGAAACTACAGGAACCAAGAGGTGTCTGACTGTAACTACAGGAGCCAAGAGGTGTCTGACTGTAACTACAGGAGCCAATAGGTGTCTGACTGTAACTACAGGAACCAATAGGTGTCTGACTGTAACTGCAGGAGCCAATAGGTGTCTGACTGTAACTACAGGAATCAAGAGGTGTCTGACTGTAACTACATGAACCAATAGGTGTCTGACTGTAACTACAGGAACCAATAGGTGTCTGACTGTAACTACAGGAACCAATAGGTGTCTGACTGTAACTACAGGAACCAAGAGGTGTCTGACTGTAACTACAGGAACCAAGAGGTGTCTGACTGTAACTACAGGAGCCAATAGGTGTCTGACTGTAACTACAGGAACCAAGAGGTGTCTGACTGTAACTACAGGAACCAATAGGTGTCTGACTGTAACTACAGGAACCAATAGGTGTCTGACTGTAACTACAGGAGATAATAGGTGTCTGACTGTAACTACAGGAACCAAGAGGTGTCTGACTGTAACTACAGGAGCCAATAGGTGTCTGACTGTAACTACAGGAGCCAATAGGTGTCAGACTGTAACTACAGGAACCAAGAGGTGTCTGACTGTAACTACAGGAACCAATAGATGTCTGACTGTATCTGCAGGGAACTTAAATGATAATTAAATGATCAATCATTACAAGCAAACCCTTATTGTTGATAACATTGACTGTTGTCAAATTTTGAATCTGAATCTAACCACGTTGTCATGACAAGTTTGCTTAAGACATGCAGGTCCATCATCACCACACAATCCTACAGCTATGGAAACAACATGGGACAACCAGCACAGGGGAGACACACATAGCCATATACCACTCACTCTACAACCAAACAGAAGAAAGAACCGGGGACAAAAACTGCATTCACAAAGCCATCTACTAATCAGCAGTTTAGAAGCTTCAGGCAAAATATGTTTGCAGTAATCTCACGTGTAACAGTAAGCAAATTCTAGTGTTCTAAATTATTAAAAATATATCATTCATGCAAAACCTATTTTTTTTCCTTCAAAAAACAGTATGAGGATGTAAAGGATGAAATTGAATATCTTCTCTTGATGTAGATTTGTTTTTGACAATTCATTATTTCACCCCAACACATCTGCCTTGCAATTTAATTCACAAAGCAGCGTTTAAAAGTTAGTATTAAGAACAGGCACAAATTAACACAGATTCTGGAAGAATTATTTTCAACAAATTCATTGTTTCATCCTGATATTTGAGTTGTAATTTGAGACAGTAGAACAGATTTGATGATTCATTAGGAATACTATTGAGGCATTCAGCCAAAAGTAGACATGTTTTGTTAACATGTGTTAACATATTTTTAGATAACTTGTTTGGCAAGAAAAGGAAGTAATCTATACAAGTTCTAACTAATCTCGTAATCAATACTGTTACTCTACTCAGATCTAAGAACCAATTGCAAACACAAATTATTAGCCATAGAATCAAGTTTAAAACTGAAAAAGGTTTTAACTATTGTTTAAAAAAATAATCTGTCTTTTAAGATATAAAAAACTCCTGTGAACCACTTTCAATATTTGATTAAGACAGGTAATTCTAAAATCATGTTTAACTAAATCATTTAAGAAATATTTTCAATCATTGAGGAAAATTGAATTTTATTTATGAAAATGTCTGTTGAGTAATGTTTTCTAAAATCCTTTCCGAAATCTGCTTTTCTATCGCAGTTGCAGTAAGGCCAACAATAAGGTTTTCCATAAAACTAGTTCCAAGAAAGTTGACAGTGAAGAGGACATTGGGGACATCTAAAATATTAGCCATCAATTAATGACTATGATGTAACAGAGGTTGGGTATTTGATGGAAGTATCTACTTTTCTATCCAAGATGTGAAACTGAATTGTATTCAAATAAATATTGATTTTGTTCAAACAAATGACAATTCCAATGACATTCTCTTTATATTCAAGTTATCTAGTTACAATTTCAAGAATCTAAGTACCTAAAACTTTTTCAGGAAACTAACCTGCTTAATAACTGAATAATACTTCAGAAAAAATGCTTAACATTTCAATTCTCATAAAATGAGAACCTTGGTATTTGACCTGTTTTTAAATTGCCTTGTTTATCATACCTTTAGAAGTAATTAAATTCAATTTATAGTACAGTATTAGACTCTAATGGCTTTGTGAATACATTGCATCCTTTGATATACTAGACTTCCACTAAGCTGGCTGAATACCTTTTGAGAAATCCATTGAGTACGCCATTGCTGTAACAGGTAAACAAACAAACAGTTATTATGATAGAAAAAATAACAGCAAGTTACTCGTTCGTGTGGCCGGGGCATGCTGCTCCCTCCTGTTGGTCAAACAGTGAAAACCAGCCCCTGGAATGAAATCAAAAACCACACATCAATTCACGGTCGGTTTGATACCCTAAAAACAAAATCTAACTTCCAATATCAGATATTCATCTTGCTTGGGGTTGGGAAGATAACTTGTTTGAATATGAAATCAAAACTAATCAATTCTGTTCTGTTGTGAACCCCTTAAAAATTGAAGATTTCAACATCAAATATATTTATATTATTTATTTGGGTTTTAGTAGATAATGTATTTGGGTATACCTTGTTACAACCCTTAACGTAAAAATTACTCTAAGTATTCGCAATATATGATTATTCTTCCTCCAACTTTGTGCGTTTTCTCAGACACTGCATTTAGTAGAGCCGTGGAACGGGTGGGTGGATGTGCACTGCAAATTTCACATTCCAATTCCCTCTCAACAACCACCTCCTGGTTATAACTGACAGGTTTTCTTCAAGTGGCCATTGCTAACATGCCATATTGGCCAATTTTTGTCAATCTTTGTACACAAGTATATCATGGGACAGGGTACAATATGACTGGATTTACAGGACTACCCTGCTCAATGCCAATGGAAACATTTTGAGATTTCATTCAAATTTGGTATTCAGGTACAATCTATTTCAGGACACAACTGAATAGGTTTTCTTACCATGGCAAAATATTAATATTACTCAAGGCTGTTCTATTTTAGCTGGTGATATTTAGCATTTATTAAAACATGTATAAATGTTAATATTTATAATAGATTGAATTTCACACAAATGGAGATAAACATGAAATGAAAACTTAGTGTCCTTGATATGAAAGTATCATAAACACCTGATGAATTCTTAATTTTGAAATAATTTGCTAATGACATAGTACCTCAATTATTTGCATTCTCAGTTTTCAATAACGTCACTGATGCGAGTGCTGTGGGTTAAGGACAATTCTGGCAATATTCCAGAAGTATCAGAGAATTGTATGAGACACCAGGAATTGACTCCACACCTATACCCACTTGGGAACAAAAAACTTGTCCCCAACTGCTTAGTGGCATTCATGTGTTTCAAACAACTGTATATATTCATACAATGTGGTTAACTATTAATTTCATACTTCATCTGTCGAGCTTATTATATTTCTAAAGTATTTTCATCTGAAGAAAACCATTATCATGACGAATTACTGTCTCTGTAAAATTATCACAAAAGTGTCTGTAAAATGATCAGTCTCCGTACAATGATCAAAATAGTCTCTGTACAATGATCAAAATAGTCTCTGTACAATGATCAAAATAGTCTCCATACAATGATCAAAATAGTCTCCGTGCAATGATCAAAATAGTCTCCGTACAATGATCAAAATAGTCTCCGTGCAATGATCAAAATAGTCTCCATACAATGATCAAAATAGTCTCCGTACAATGATCAAAATAGTCTCCATACAATGATCAAAATAGTCTCCGTACAATGATCAAAATAGTCTCCGTACAATGATCAAAATAGTCTCCGTACAATGATCAAAATAGTCTCCGTACAATGATCAAAATAGTTTCCGTACAATGGTCACAATAGCTTTGTGTCATGTAATCTATCACTGAATAGTTCCTGCTTGCTTCTCGTAAGAGAATGAATGAATGTTGTTTTATGCTACACACGGCCTGTAAATACAATGTCACCAAGTTGTGCCAGGCAAACAGGGGTCGATAAGAATCCACTTTATAGGAGTAAGGATGACACCTTATCAGCCCCTTAAAACAAGCCAATCCTTACACTGCAGACATTCCTTACAACACGCATGGCGAATTGGAACCCATTCAGTGATGAAATTGTTTTTTTAAGAGCAAGAATTTATCATGTTTACTACATCTAAACTATTTGCATGTGTTTTTTACAAAACTATGAACTTCAACATCTTTTTAAAAAAAACAACCCAAACTGTGACAAGAAACATCACAGCATTGATACATCACAAATGACAACAAAGGCTCCACTACGATAACCACTGTGAATAACACAGCCACTCGTGTAATATATCAATTGCAACATGGATTAAAAACCTGAGTTATATTCCTGGAAAGGTTGGAATGTCCTTACATCGCTCCCCTTTGGAAGTCCTGATTAATAATATGAGTGTATTGTGGCCAAATAGCTCTAGATCCTACAATTATGATGTCAGGGTGACGCCATCAGCCATGATTATCCATCAATTTATAACAGTTAGCCAGGGGTAGCACTGTAAATTGTGCCCAGTTAGGTTTTTGCATCACAATCGCTTGTACAGTTCTGCCTCTCTGCATTAATTTTCTTTATTGGTGACAGGCACTAATTTCTGTTTTAAGCAACAAGTCATCACAAATAAACAGAGACTATCTAATTTTCTCCCTGTTTGTAATCTGGTCCCAAAAAATGGATATCCTCTGGGAGAAGCAATATTTATTCGTCCTGTCATAGTGTCATTGATTATAATGATTGCTAATGTCAGTCCCAAGTGCTGGGAATTCTGTTGTAGAGATGCGTGGAATCGTAAATGCTATACTTGTTTTCAAATGAACTGCTTGGGCCTATGGGTATTTCGGGATAGCACTGATCACCAGCAACTTACTGCGACCGAACGGATTGGGTGGTCCAGCTCAGTGATTTGGTTGACTGCTTGTCATCACATCCAGAGAGTGTGGATCATTGGTCATGGTATCCATAGGCAGATACAGAGGGGGGGTGCGGGGGTGCGGGGGTGCGCACCCCCCCTTTTTATTTCGAAAAAAATCTTTATTTCTGTATAAATTACCACCAAAGACAATAAATATATCTTACTTTTGCACCCCCCCTTTTCAAAAAAGCTGTATCCGCCCATGGTATCAATCACTGGATTGTCTAGATCAAACGATTATTAACAGGCTGCTGTCATATAGCTGGAATATCCCTGTGTGTGGAGTTAAACATTAGTTGACAACCATGGACTTGAATACTGCCAACAACTGGTCATCTCATCTACAGCATGGAATTTTATGTTAGTGCAAATAGTTCATTGAAGTAAGCTATTCTAACAGGTTTGAGTGAGTGAGTGAGTGAGTGAGTGAGTGAGTGAGTGAGTGAGTGAGTGAGTGAGTGAGTGAGTGAGTGAGTGAGTGAGTGAGTGAGTGAGTTTGATTTTATGCCACTTTTAGCAATATTCAAGCAATATCACTATATCACTGTACCCATGTCGGGAATCAAACCTGGGTCTTCTACATGACGAGCGAAAGCTTTAACCACTAGGCTACCCCACCGCCCCTTCTTTTTAGTGAGTGAGTGAGTGAGTATGGTTTTACGCCACATTTAGCAATATTCCTACAATATCACGGGGGGGGGACACCAGAATGTACCCATTTGGGGAATCGAACCTGGGTCAGTGGCATGACGAGTAAATGTTTTCGCCACTAGGCTACCCCAGCGCCAAAGTGTACAAAGAAACAACCAAACAACTGACTGCCTGCACAGCATGAGGAGACCAGGCGAGACAAAAGCGATGCTGATGTATCAAGGCCTGATGGCCTTTTTCCACAATCAGATAATATCATCCTAAGTCAGTGACTAACAACAATAGGAATATCATCAATACCGCATTGAACAGTATTTCAGTTATATCACAGCATGTCAGCTCAATTTGATGTCAGCAAAGCCTGACGTGATGCAGGTCTGAGACATTTACCACTCAGGTAAAACCAACGAGCACGGGTATGGTGCTGACAAACCTAGAAACATAATCAGGGCGAATTGGGATTCAAACCCACGATCATTTCTTTTTTGGTGCCTTTGGGATGCAACCCTGTACAGCGAGCTGCAGCACCCTACACGACTGGACCATCCTGTACAGCTAAATGCCCCCAACCCTACTTGAGTTTCTCAGTTAAAATAATACAGGATGTACTCTGCTGCTACCAGTGGAGAAAGTTCTATAAAACACATACCACATTATCCAATGTCTTTCATCTTTTTGTGTGCAGTCCTGTTTTGCTTCTGGGGCAGAGGTTCAATTCCCCATGCCAAGCTCCTCACAGCGATAGTCCGTTCGCAGAGCTCTCTATACTATCGCTGCCATGAGTCAAAACTCCCCACTGTGATAGGTGTCCCCAACCATGCTTGGAGTTGAACTCGCAACTGAATGACCGTTATGTTTACAAACAAGTGACGACTATCATGACGCCCAATACACTTACCGCTGATAAATTACTTTCTTTGTTTGTCAATTTGAATTTCTATTTCATTAAAAGTATCATCTTTAATTGATATAGTAAGAATGTAAGGGAGCAGTTGGTTGATTTTCCGTTAGTCTGCAATCTCGAACCAATCTGATTATTAAAACAACAAAGTAAATTCATCTGGAAAACATGGTCAGTCGTAAACCTTTTCAAAATGAAATATGATGTCATTCCCAAAGACATAAACAAAAGTATAAACGTTACTACATATGTGGTTAGAGGGCAAATTTCAAGATTCTTGTAATGGCCGCGCCCACACTGGTGGCAGCGATGTTACCGAGAGTGTAACAAAGGTGTCCAAGCTGGGAAGGAGCTTGTCCCCATGCTTGCCAAGGGAGACAACTCAAACAATGTCTGACCATGTTGATTGTGCCATTGCGTCCCGATGAGGTGAATCGTTAATCATGCTATCAACCACTTGTTCTCCCATCCAATACGTTATTGCAACCAAAATGTACGTGAATATTGATGACTCCAGCATAAAACAAGAAACACCCACAGACTTGGTGACACCACCAAAACAAATTGTTAGTGTAACAGCATGACTCATGTCAACCTTGAACACAGTCTATTTTAGAAGTCAATGGTTTGTCAGATTCACAAATTAATGTGATATTCACCAACATAAGTTAGCTACGCGATAAATCTCAAAGAACAATGAAGAACAAAGTGTGGTTT